AAATGTTACAGTAATTTAAAAACTTTTATGTGAGACTGCGTGATTGAGTACGGTATTACAGAGCCTGTAAAAACTATCGGCTTTTTACGGGTTCCGTGTCCGAAACTACAACACAAAGTATTAAGACAAGCCCCCATCACTTAGCTACCACGGCTGAAACTTATGTAAGCTACTAATAAAGTAACTTTTCAAAGTTTCTGTTCATTAAAAATCATTTCACACTACCGTAACTATTCCGTTACAGGCTAGAGACTTACTTTTCCCCCGACTTTTTCACCCGATTCAAACGCAATGGAAATTTAGTTTTAAAATTTCAGATATTCAATTAATACACAGATTTTGTTCAAATTGTTCATAGTGGCATGACAATAATTCCGAAAACACATAACTGGCATCCAACGGCAATGCGTTCAATAAAAAAATAGCCATTAATCAACTCGCCGCCTCAGTATGACTTGTTATATTTAACAAAATGTTTTATTTAATTCATTGTATGTGGTTTTCTAGTACATGTTGGTCACTTAGTTCATTGACTTAACATAAGTAAACATCACATTGAGTGTTTACTTATGTTAAGTCTAACGGCATTATAAGGTCACTACCATATTACACTCTTACTAATTAAGACATTTTTCACACCAAACAATAGTAATATTGCAGATTATAGTGCAACTATTTGCGCACATTTTTAACAACACGCGCCTTTCCTTTCGGTCGTAATTTTTACGATCGAAGGAAGCCACAGATTCAACATTTTAGTTCTTTTTGTAATGTTGTGTAGAACATGACCCTTCTCTTACTTTAATTATAGAAGGTGCCAAAGTAAACAAACACACATATCTACACGAGGAGGGATAGTCCATACTATGTTCAAGCTATGCAAGCATTCGAAACAAAGTTATCAGTTATTTACCGTTGTAAGCCGATATGAGTTTAATCGAAAAAAGAACAGTTTAGATTAAGACAACAAACCTATTCTAAAATAAATATTTTGTCATTGCTTCTTTTAGGGATCGACATGAAAATTTCCAATTATAGTAAATTAAAAAAAAATTAAAATTAAAACATAAAAGATTGTACCATAAATATATATATTTCATAGCTTATAAAAAAACAATATATAGACACACACTATTTACAACAATAATTTAGGTTTAATATCTCCTCGAATGAAAGACATAATATTAGAAAATGGCTTTTGCTTTTATTATTGAACTAATTAAACTGTTTATTAGTATATCGCTTACTGGCAGGCAAACATTACCAAGTATTAAACTTTCATATCATGACTTTGATTAAATAAAAAGTAATAATAGCCTATTAAAACATAAAATAAATATGAAGTGCAAGAGGAGTTTAACTAATATTAATAAGTTACAATCCTCATTGTTTTATATTAAAGATAAAATCACTAGAATAGACGATATTTGTGCGAAAAACGTAAAACAATATTTTTGACATTCCTTAATGCCCATTCATATTTTTGTTTAATAAAACAAAACTACTACTCTCCATTCGGATTATTAAGTAAGAAGAACCAAGCGCCCACGACAGTAATGACGTAAGACATATTATGATCTCACAGTTGATGCTAATACAGGCTTATTAAGGTGTTTATAGCTTAGACTACTATTCAATAAAATAAAAAATATTACAATAGAGAAACAAAATATTTGGCAACACTGACTATAGAGAGAGTTGCCAGAGAACCAGTAGACAAATACAACATTAAAAAATAATTCCCCCAAGGCATCACACTTACTTATCGTCGTAAAAATTTATTTAGAATCCCGCAACTATCTACTTAACTAAACATAATTATATTTAAGTCAACGATTAACATATCACAAGTTTTTACCAAATAACTACTTGTAATAGCAAACTATTGCATCTAACTTTAATCCAAGCTCACGCATGGCATGAAGCTAACAATGAAATAAAGAAAACAATAATAAAAATGTAGTACAGTTACGAACAATTCCTCTTTTCTAAACCGGTGATCGGAAAAGAATAATTTTGTAAAAGTGAGAAAAGTAACAGCCTATAAATGTCCCAGCTGGCCAAAGGCCTCTGTACAGAGGGTATCAGGGCATAGTCCACCACGCGGCCCCAGTGCGGATTTGCAGACTAATAATTTTGTACCTAAATCATTTTGCTCCAAGCCACTTGCAACATTCCATACAGTAAGTAGCTTAGTCAACATATTAGTCGTTTATATAAGAAAAGTTTTTATTAAATTTACAAACACCGAATCGATCGTGTTTAAAATGAACTATATAACTAAAAAAAACTCGCGAATGACACTTAATGGCTCTTCCTTCCGCAACTCAATTTATCTTATTTTTATTTATGAGTTATACGTCACGTTTTGCGACAAAAACTGACAAAGAAACGAAATACCGTTTTTAGAAAGTTTTTTTATTAATAAAAAAACCATGCGCACCCAAATTCATTCCAATCATTTGATAGGGAACCCTTAGCAAACGATAAATTAACGTGCACTTACAATCATCAATTATTCATGATTTAAAAAAAAAAGAAACAAATATTATTTTACGTCAGCAAACGTGCACTCACGTTTACGCCCGTGTCGCGTTGTGTCATTTATCACGGCGATGACGCCATTACAAACACGCCAAACTGCCAATAAAAGATGTATAATTTTGCAAAAACATCAAATAATAGAACAGGCAAACATTACGATTACATATAGCTGTTCATACTATATGAACAGCTATATGTATGACATGCATATAGCTGGTCGAGTTCTGTACATAAAATGTGTAATTTAAATAAAATTACCAATTGGTTCCGTGCATGTTCAAATTTTATAAGTGCCTCTTATATTAAAAAATATAATAGTTTTTTCCGGCAGGTTTCCCTCAAGCTTTACAATTTTTATTCAGTTTCTCGCATATTATATGTATAGGTACATACATAGTTACTCAAGTCGGTACAGTGAATAAAGATTTTCGAGTAAACGTATTGACATATAAAAATGTACATAAACGGTGCACCTTATAAAATTACACAACCCTATACGGATCTAACAGAACTTAATTACTTCATTTGTCTACTATTTGTGCGAAAATTAACGACCACATGGCGATTCCGTATTATGCTTTATGGCATCATGATCTGTCACTGCCGCGTCATTAACGGTCTTCCGAGAAAGAAAAACACGCCATATATACTAACAAAATCAAGAAAACAATATCACACGCCGCTATATAAATAATATCATTGAAAATTCATGGTTTCTTGTTTACAACGAATTTGCAATGTTTTCATTTCCGGCGATTTATTTTGTGTTAAGAAGTTATTTTGTGAAGTGTGTAATGTTAGTTAAGAATGAAATCGACGGGTGGTCTGTAAGATAAATTGCAGGGCAAAATTTTTGTTATAGATGGAACAATGTAAGTTGGTTGATTTAATTATTAAATTTCACTATGGTTAATTTCACTGATAAAAAGTTCGAATCAATAAATAAATTCGTTGCAATTCTGTGAATACAATGAATGGATTTAAGTTTGAGTGAAATTTCAGTGTACCAGTTGGAAATTTCAATGTATCGTTTTTTTTAGTGAATCCATTAAGGTTATAAAGAACCGGATTCAGTCCAAGTTTTGGCGGACAGACCTAAGCCGTCGCGACTTAAATGACATGAAATAATAACGATCAACACATGGCTGCAGTTATTTTTCTCAATAATATATGTATAAATTTCTTTTTAACTTCACAACCCATATCAAATATAGGTTTGCAAATATTTGTTGATCTATGTTTTTGATAATTCTGTAAATATAAAAGGTGTTCATTTATGATATGACAGCAATGAGCTTTAAAATTGTATTTGAAATATGTAACAGTTATTTATAAATGAACATAAGAAGACACTTGTTTTTTATTTCTTTACTAATTTGTTGCTAAACAAATTTAAAAAAATTATGTAGGAACACCACCAATCTGGCAATATTATTATTTTACTCAACTTTGATTGTAACAGATACAATATATTGCTTCCGCGTAGGAAAACGTTATATATACTGTGAAGACAGAAAGCCAGGTGTTTTATTACATTTCAAGGAAACAGTCACATAAGCACAAAATCAAATTAATGATTAACACATATGTAAAACATGATAAAATTACAAATTTTACTGCAAAATATATGGTAATAACCTATATTTAATTTTTATTTCATGTAACATTTGCATGGTAAACTTTATCGTGCGTGATGCATAGTTGATAGTTTTTAATTAATATTACGAAAGTAAGTACCAAAACGTTGAAATTTTAAGTCTTCACAAATAGAAAATTCCACTTAGAAAGGTTTGTGGTATGAAAAATCAATAGAAAATATTTACAAATAACAATAAAAACTTACAGCATGGGAACAATATAGTTAGCTTAAATTTTATTGTTTTGTTATAGGACATGTCAGCAAATTTAGAATATCGCATTTTTTCGATTTTATCACAGAATATTTTCTATTTAGAAACTATTTCCCAGTTAACGATAAAGCGTTTCGTTTGCTTCAATCAATGTAAAATATAAAATTTGACTGCTATATAACTTTAGATAAAGTATATAAAAAAATCCCAAATCTATAAAAAAACTTTAAAATATAACTTTAGTTGAGATTGATGGCAGACTAGGAACTAAAGGGAGTTTCAGTCAAAACTTAATTAGCCGTTTGTAAATATATTCTGTCAATCTTGGAAATACTAACAAGACTGAAACCATTTTATCATAAAGTTTTATATATGCTTGATTTAAAATTTACCCACTCGATATTAAACTCCTCTTGATAAAAGGAAACTAATAATGTATTTAATTTTTTTTTTGTTTGAAGAATACGCATCTTTTTATAGAATTTAACTAACAAATATACATATTAAACCGCAAATAAATTAATGATCATAATATAAATAAAATAGTAATAAATCGTAACTATACAAGTTTTATCTATATATTAGCAATTTTTTCTAGCCTAGCTATAAACTCGGCAAACACGCCTGTTCAAACAGACATAAGACTTTGTGAATCAGCTCATACTGTTCAGAATTTTGTACCATGCCGCCTCTATTTAACCTCATATTGCAAACTATGCCTAGCACATCAACTTTCTGTTCATTAGTTAGCTGTTTTATACCATTAAGTATAGCTATAAGACAACCAGTTCGACCAATGCCCGCCGAGCAATGCACAATGGTTGGTGGTGACTTGTTTTCCACAGACAAATCAAGTGGTGAAGATACCTTCACAGTTACTGGACAAGGTACACTCTCAGCCTCCAGTGGAGGGAAAACAAACTTAGAATCAAACTTTGGACTATCATAGCAGTTGCACTGTTCTTCCTTCTCCTCATCACTTTCACTAAAATTATAACTTTGGTCTTTTAATACATCCAAGCTTAAGTTTAACAAAGCATTCACATCTTTGGGACACTTATGGTCTGCCCAATTATGGAACCAGTAATGGTATACTGTCAACTCACTGTCACTTTTTTCATCACCTAGGTTAGTTTTTAAATGTCTAACACATAGTTTTCGTATCGTATAACCGGCTTTTTTCACCAGGCCTGTATTTTTTATTACGAAACCGCTTTTAACTCCCTCAGTATCACTGCAGAAACCCGTCTCCACCAGGTCCGGACTTCTTATTGTCAGTTCCTCGTTCAATTCCAATGGGAAATATTTCTCGCATTTCTGTCGATTATTCTCAATGAAGTTTGTCAGCATTACGATTTTCTGTATTGTGGCTTGGGACGTCATCGGATCAGAATTCTGACTCACAAAATCCTTGGTGTTTTGTTGTACCATCATCCAGAAGTCATACATAGTGTTTTGAAGAGGGCCCTGTGTCGCTATATAGCTGTTCTTTGTATATTCATGCCCCTGAAAAAAAACCAATAAGAAATGAAAAATTTCGATCCTATTAGTTTATGGTGCAATATGTATAATATACAAAAGTAATACTTTATAGGTTCAATAACCCAAAGAGCGAGATATGAGAAAACTCCATTTGTCTGGGATTTGTGCGATTCTTTGGTCAGGTATTTGTTTAGTAGATCATTGCATGGATACATAGGATGACCGTTTGTGTATCATATACACCATGTATATACCATGACAGGGTTTTTAGTACCCTTCCCTTCACCGCCGGAACATGGTGAACGGCGGAGCACAGACCAGATCCGCTCCTGGGTTCCGTATTGGTAGGCATTTCCCTACGTTAAGGATGAAAGGGATGACCATTTAGATAAAAACCTCTTAGTGTAACCCAGAATCTGCTGCTATATGAATGGGCCTGCACCACTACTGGAATGGCGTAAATAATTTACATTTTTGCATTTTATTATAATAAGTTAACCTTCTCAAAAGATAAAAAAAAGCGAAGCATCTGGCACTGCAATATGTTACTGATATATTAGATAGTAATTAAATACAAACTGATGAATCGCTTGTTCGTGTACCGCATCATAAAATAATAAAAAATCAAGTTTTAAAACATACCTTAATAAAATTGGCATTTATGTATCCCTCGCCAACAGTCCCTGGATCTGCGCGTAATATGAATCTAGAGTGTTCATTGGGCAAAATGGTTTTATATCTATTCTTGGGATGGGAGCCAGAAACAATTGGTTTCTCTTGAAAGTTCGTGGGCATATCCCAGAACTCTTGGTGCAAGTTTCTTAGTAACGTTTTCTGGTACTCCGAACACGGTTGGGTTGTGACAGGTTCAGGTATAACCATCTGAGGGTTTTCCTTTGCAACATCAGAGTCAACACGTCCTGAACAACAGTGCTGGCCCTCATTCGTGCTATGACATTTAACTTTTGAGTAACCGTTCTGAAATACATCATTCAAATCTTTAAGCTGCTGACGAGTCAATACGCTCGACGCATTTTGCAAATGCTGCATGTTCGCCAAATATAACCTAAAATCTTCCGAGGTGCTTTGCGGGCTTAGCGGTTTCGTTGTTATGTTTTTCACAAAGCCTTGTTGAAAATTAGGATCATCCTGCCGTCCGAAAGCATAGATTATTTCGTTCTCTTGGTCGCCGCAAACATATGTCAAATTCTGTGGATATTCTTGTTCTGTTGTGTAAGAAGTGGACCATAGATTATCGTGTGACCCGAAGCCAATACCCTTATCTGTATTGCGATTTGTTCGATTTTTGTACGATTTAGGAATTAAATTCTCCGTGCTCAGAGATTTTCTATGCCTGTCCCTGTGCGGCATCTCTTTCAGGTTGCTATCAATTAAAGTCTCGTCAATTTCAAGGTCTCTTGGTTCTTGAGGTTGAATGTTGAGGGTTAAGGAAGTATTAGAACTGCGTCTCTCCAAGATCCCTTTGCGCGGTTCTGTGGCGACATTGTCAATGCTATGATTGCTGTTATACCTGCTTAAGTTGCATGTAGAACCGTTGAGATTATAATTGGAAACGCTGAGCCCTCGGTTACTTGACAGTTGTGGATTAGACGTATTGATGTTAAGAGTTAATGATGTATTTGAACTTCTGCGTTCCAATAGGCCTTTTTTCTGTCCAAGTTTCATCTCTTTATTCAGAGAACTATTACTAGAATGCCTGCTAAGGTTATTTGTTGTTTGAATGTTCAATGTTAAGCTATTATTCGAACCACGTCTTTGCAAAAGGCAATTTTTCGAAACGTCTCCCGAGAGGTTGGTATTAGAAGAACATATGACCCGGGTTGTTGGCGTCAAATGTTCGGCGCCTACAAGCGATGCGTTTGAATCTCTTCGATCTATTGACAATTTCTTTTGTCTGCCGTCAGAATTCAAACTAAAATTCGAAATGCTTGTTCGAACGGTGGTCAAGTTGTGACATGAGGCCCCTGCGCTGCTCAAGGAACAGTTTGAACCCTGCAAGCTGTGTGTGCTGAGCATCAAACTTTGATTGGAATTCCTTCTATGCAGTTTCTTGATAACCTTCTCATCTTCAGCACTGGGCTCAAAATCATCTGAAGGCACACCCTCGGGTAATGTTTTTAGGTTTGTGCTTGAAACACTTAAATTTTGTTTGTAGTTAAGAAGATTGGAGCCGAGAGTCTGCCCAGTTTCTGCAAAAAGTCCGGCCTTGCTATCAGCACCTAAAATGCTTATTTCTGAATTGGTTTCGGGACAGTCAGTAATGTTTTCATCAAATGAGCCTCTTGTACGTGATCCCATACGTGAAGATCCTGCCTGATATAACATTAGACTAGCGTGATTTTCCCTAAGATATATGCCACTGTCTTGACCTTTCATATATAGCCGCATTTGCTCCGCGTTAGATTGTAAAGAATTGTATCCCATTTTAGCCGCGGATACGTCATGTTTGATACTCCTTTGAGCAAGTATTCTTTTCAGCTGTCTCTTCGGAGTATTTGGTACTGATATCGAATTCTGAGGTACTTCTAAAGATTTTTTCTGGGGCAAGGAAAGATTAACAGACTCCGATGAGTCCAGAGACGTCGCTTTGACTTTCAACGTAGGCGTTTTAACTTTCTTCTCCTCCGCGTTAGTGTACAACTTTTCAAATTCTAACAATTCTTTTTCCAAATCGCTGTCTCTTTTCGATAGATCTATTGTCAAATTTCTAAGGTTTTTTCCTTTTCGTTTGGTATGAGTTTCTACCGGCGCTGTTGAACCTTCTTCGGACGTCACAGTAATTTCAAATTCTTTCGGTGAAAACCTGGGCATGTCTAGAAATGATTGAGTGTCAGAACTCTGTCGCAGACCTTTCTTCTGAACAAGACCAGGAGATTTGGGTTCTTCTGCTTCAATTTGTTTATCCTTTTGTTCGATATCAAACTTAAACGTCGGCCTTTCGTTGGAATTCGTTTTTAAATGCCTTTCTACATTCTCGCAAGACGTACTGGTCTCTTGATTCTTGTACGCTTCGTTCATTTGATCTTTCATTTGTTTTGCTACCGGTATACCTAAATTTTGTTCGATAATTCTGGCGTTTTCAGAATCTAAAGAAATCGATTTTAGTCGTTGTCTTCTGACCTGCGCTGAACTCGTTTCGCGTGGCGTCAATTCATGCGTCTTTATAATTTCTGATTTATTCTCAATATGCATTGAGTCGATTTTGGCACAGCAATCAACTACGTCTTTTTCTATAACTTCAATTTTAGGGTCGGATTGTTTGTTGCCTTCATGTTTCGATATACTTTCTTCGTTATTTTTTATATTCGTATCGCAACTATTATGTCGTCTATACTTCTTTGCCTCTTTATCGGCAGGCGGTGTAAATCTTTCCCTTTCAATGGAATATCTCCCACCATACCTTTTCGGACGAGGTGATCTCACAGCTCCTTCTTCTACAGCCACTTGTTCAAAAGTAAAGTAATTCTCTTTATTGTAACTATGAACCTTAGGACTAGGTCGAGCGCTCAACACTTTGGGTGAATTAGGTTTTTCACATAAACCATTTGCTCTATTTAAATGATCGCTTAACGCTCTCGGCGACTGCGGCACCTCTGCGTCGCGAGGAGTGTCAGGAAAGAATTTTGGAGACCTAACACTGTCGTAATATACAGACTTTGGAGACGGATCAGCAAAAAAGGCAGGTGATACCACCTCGGGTGGCGTGAAAAATCGAGGGGAGCTCATGCTATCTGCTAATAATTTCGGCGAGAAATCAAATTTCGTGGTTGACGATTTCTCTTTAGCTGAACTGCACTCTATGACCCTGGGCGAACTCTGCACCTCTACTTGTTCAATGTTGTCGGCGTGAGGGTTTTCATTCACGCTGCATAGGTTTAGCCGAGTACTGATCGATCGAAACCTCCGCAAGTTGCCCGGCGACATGTCCGACGATGCTTCCCCCGAATCGCTCATTTTAACCACCGATGGCTCGTCGAAACCAAACACCTCGGCATCGGACTCCGCACTAACGAATGGGGACTTGTCGTCTTTTTCCAAAGATGGCGATCTAGTTGCGCTGTACTTTTTGGCGCGCGACTCGCGGGCCAGTTCGGCGCCAAGGTCCGTATTGACTAGCTGCGCCAACGGGCGGGGGATGCAGGGGTACTTGTATTCGAAGGGTCGCTTATGCAACCAGTGCTCTGGGGGCGGGAGACGAGGCAGGGGAGGGGGCGGGGGCCGAGATTCTGTGCTGGACACTTCGTGGGCAACGGTATTCTGAGCGAAGTTCTGGACGATGACAATCTGGGGAGGTTCGGGTGGTGGTAGGTTGGACGGGGGAGTCGGGGGGGCGGGGACCACTCGGTCCGCCGGAGCGCCTGACAGTTCCGTGTGCGTGCAGCGCGGCTCCGAAACGGCCGCGCAAGTCAGTCGGGCCTTGTCGCCACTCACAATGTGAACCTGTGGATGTAAATGTTCATAGTTTTATTTTTAACCAATGACGAAGATCGATTGTTTATTTTCGGCGCCGTGATAATATTTCGCATCGAATATGACTGTTTCCCTCTTTTTTTCCCATCACGCGATTCGGTTTTTTATTACTATTGTTGTACTTGAATCTTTCATTCATCATGAAATCTTTAATTTTTCGAATGACTTTCTGTTTATTCATTTCTTAATAAGTAATTAGTAAAATAATTGCAAAACGTTAACATTGTGCAAGAGCTGAACTAAACAAAAAAAAAACTGAAGCATCGTTGGCCGGATGACGTAACCCATCGGTCACGCTTTAACGCTTAAACATAAAATTAGGAACAATTTTCAAACGCTCTGAAAATACGCTCCATACTGAAAATTAATGAACACTGCGTTATTTTCTAGAGCAAGGAGGCAACTGTAAAGTCGTGTGGCAACGCAGCGGCTTCTGCCGTTTTTTGATCAAGGAGTATCGCATGTACAAAGGCGACGATTATCATTTGATTGACCATTTTTTAACCTACAATCCCGTAAATGATACATTATGGGATTATAGGTTCAAGAGATCATAGCAGCTAAAAAAATTAAGCGCCTCATTTGACACAATTTAATTGTCACATAACCCGTAACTATTTTTCAACAATCTATACCTTATACGTTCCACTGCTGCGGCCCTCTGTACAAAAGCTACTGGGACGTGTACCAAAGGATCAAACTATTGTTTGACAGACTTCTTTTATCTTCGATAATCGGCGGTTTCAATATTCTAGCGATTAGGTATTTGACAAGTTTCATAACACCTACTTACGCCAAAATTCCATCTAATGTTCTATCTTAGATTCGGTTAATGGAGATATAATTTTGACGTAAGTGTTATGGACCTAACGTGATAACCAAATCTCTGGTAACCAAATCTACAGATAGATGAAATATCGAAACCGGCCGTTTCCGAATTTGATAAACTGTCGAGGAACGAATCGCACTTTTGTTTCCGATTCTTCGACAGCCATCCCCAGTCCCACTTACCTTATCTAATGCGAGATGGTGGCAAGCGAGCTGGCGGCACTGATGGCGTATGCAACGGCCGTGTGGCTGCGGGCGCAAGGGGATCGTGTACCTGGTGGACGAGCGTAGCGCGCAGCGGCCATGCGAAGTGGTGCGGCTGCTTGCTGCGCGGACGACGGCAGCGCAGCGCGAGCAGCAGCAGCAGAGCGGCCGCCAGCGCGCCGCACCACCAGCCCGCCGCGGCGCCCCACATGCCCCGCGTGCCCCGCCTGCGCCCGACGCGCCGCGCCTCACATCTGGACCGACGTTTAGATGGAAATGGGGACAGGTTTACGGTGGTAGGGCCACGCAGCAGCCTCGGCTGTTGCACGAATGGGCGAGCTCGTCCGGGTAAGTACCACGACCGCACATACAACGGGCGTAAAGTGGAAATATAAACAAATACTTTCGCGTTTCGTCTGGTAAGTGAGGTAGCTGGAGCCCAATTTTCAAAAGGTTGGCAACGCATCTGGAACCGTCGGGTGTAGCAGATGTCCATGGGCGGCGGTATTCACTTAACATCAGGTGAACGGTCTGTCCGCTTGGCAATTTTTCACATAAAAGAAAAAAAAGTAATAAGTATTGCCTATGGTTTGGGAATAATGGTAATGACGCTGGGGAAGAAAGGATCTCGGGTGGCAGCCTCGAACTGGCCAACAGTGTGCAAATGTGCGGGGAGTCGATGGATGCAGGTGGGTCAGGATCGTGCTCCGCGGCAGTCTGTGGGGGAGGCCTATGTTCGGCAGTGGACTCAAAGAGGCAGAAATGATGATGACGATGGTGATGGTTTGGGTCGTCAGAGCTGCGATTTAAGGTAGAGTCTGAGGATCGCGAATCTCAAATTCGCAACACAGTTGTGTCTGCGAAAAAACACAGACTAACACTCTATCTAGTGAGGAGAAGGGGGTCTTACACTGCGAGGCTGTAGGCGTACCAGGTTTGCCACTCGAGAAACTTTCTTCACTATCGGAGATTCTACGAGCTATATGACCCATTGCCACTCCTGCTTACTAATCTTACGAGCTATGTCGGTTATCGTTGTTCTACTGCGGTTGTCTCGGTACGAACCCTATCACGCAGAGAAATATCGCGCATAGCCTGCTCCATGGTCGTCAAAACGACCATAATTCAAAATGCTTATTAAAATGTGGAATGTCTCCTTATCCATACCATATATAAAACAAATGGTGTAAATGATTGTCTTGTCGTACGAATTGAGTGCGCACACTGAATACGTTTTTCTTCGTCAAATAGGTAGTGTTTCGGTAATATCGCATTTGTGAAGTCCCCTGCCATGGTTATTTACACATGGAAAAAGAAACTTGAACATATTCTGAATACTATACGACTAAATACAGTAACTTTGAGATAAAGTAAAAAAATTAACTTTCTTTTATTCAGATCAATTTATTTCATAGTAATATTGAAGTATTTTTTTTGGTTTGTGATCGAATAGCCTAAAAAACATTTATGTCCATTTCCTTTTCTACATCCATTTTTAGTGTTCAACGAACGGAAATGTTTTAAAATCGTAACAAATTCAGGTTTTTTTCAGACATCGGAACTACACTTCTAAATTCACATCAAGATTTTTCACGTTTTTAGGGTTCTGTACCCAAAGGGCAAAATGGGACCCTATTGCTAAGACTCCACTGTCTGTCCAACTGTCACCAGGCTGTATCTCATGAATCATGATAGTTAGAGTTGAAATTTTCACAGATGATGTATTTCAGCTGCCGCTATAATAACAAATATTAAAAAAGATACACAAAGAAAGAATAAAAAAATGTTTAAGTGGGACTCCTATAAACAGACAGTCTGACTCACTTTTTTGCCACCACTTTTTTTTGTTTTTTATTATTTTATAATGTGAGTTAACATGAACACTCTTGTGAGGAGAAAGTTACCTAGTTAATCTAATAAATAAAATATCATGAGGTTAAATACAGCATTACGAAGCTTTGTTGATAATGATGGTAATTGTAAATGGTATAAGCATATTATGAAATCTTAAGTATTAAAGTTGTTTGATTCTAAATACTTCCTCAGATCCTTAAACAAAACAGAATTGAACCTGACCTGATCTTACACTGTGCAAGAAGCATAAAGATGACACACACTTGACAATTAAACACACTTGAATGTCTAAAATACATTAAAATAATTGTTTCATTTTGTTTCAAATTTTATTAAAATTTCTGATTTCTGCATTTCTTCATGTAAAATTTGACTATGCCAAATAGTAGTCCTCTAAATGCTTAATATTTTAAAATAACATAAACAAACTTGCTCAACAGATATATAATTTCCTGAAAAAAAAAAATGTGCAAATGGACACTGGAACTTATAGAAACTGGTTATCATGAGTAGTTTTCTGTTGGGGAGTAAAATATCCAGCCAGCAATATTTAATTTCCATAAAGTCATGATGTATTCCTGATAATAAGAATTCTAGGTAAGTAATTCATCTTGTACTTTGGAGCAGTTCAATAAAACTATTACATCATTTTGATTGTGCCCTTTTCAAAAAATTACACATCATGCATTCGTCTCACATTTTAAGTTTGTTGTAGAGCAAATGTTGTCTAATTTTTATATATAAAAGTAGTTAGTGATAGCTGCCTTTATCTACAACCTCGTCAGTTCCCTTCTTCTTTAAAAAATTTTAATAACATATCTATTGATCCCCTTTTTATTAGAAATGTTTTAAAATTTAAGGTACCAGTAGCCAAGCATTTGGATAATAAAACTAGATTGAATTGGCCGAACGTCTAAAGCATTAGATATTGGTTTTTGCTTTTGCAATACATAACAATTAACTTACTTATTTCTTTCTTTCTTCTTTAACATACTTCAATTGTTAGCAATAAAAACACATTATTATAAGTTTTATTCTAACAATCATGCTAGCAATTGAGGAGTACCTAGATAGTGTGCACTATTTCTCTTTCTTCTCTAACAAGTTCTGAATTTATCTGAAACTATTTTTAAGGCTTTTAAATAAATAGTAACAATCTAGTTAGGGTCAAGGTGGACAAGCTATGAAACTTGAAGTTAAAGTGGAATAATTATTTGACTCCTATTGACTAGTAAAAATTTACAACATACAAAAATATATTATTTGATGATAATAGAATAATATGATGCAACTTAGAATATTCTACTCTTCTTCTATGCATGTTTCTAAACTCTGAACAGGTCTTGAGATCATTTCCTATGCAGGACATAATATAAGTTGTACAACCTACAGATGTTCTATTTCCAGGTGATGCTTCATGTGCAATTCATTGGGCTTAATTTAAACTAAAATAAATATCCTTAATCGTAAAAGTAGAATTCCAAAAAAGGATTCCTTTTTGAATTACTAAGTCTCTTAGAATATGTTGCCAAGCAAAGGAGCTTAATCATTCTGTAAGAAAGACCTTCAAATGCATGAGTAACATTTATGTTCATTGATATTCTGAGACAAATGTAAAACTATTATGAGCGTTTTTTCGATAAAGGCTTAATATTTACCCCAAATGTTGATGTTTGTGTGTAGAAAAACAATAAAAACAATAAAGTGACATTTACAAGATAATCATTGCGTTTTATTCAAGATTGCTCCATAATCTTTTCCTAGATTGATATATCATGTTTATTTGTGTCACATTAAGGTCATTTGATTTTCATAAAACTATTATGGAAAAAATATATAATACAAAGACTAAATGTGATACTGACTCATTTCTGTGGCTAAGCACCAGTTCTTTATTTGCGTTGGTCAATTTTATTTTAATTTGTTTTTTTTATTTTCTAAAGATAAGCTCTAATATAGAGCATTGGTAATTTAAATAACAAATTAAGTTTCGTCGAATTATTACAATAAAAATGAACTGCTTTAATAGCCATTTCTTAAGTAGACAAAAATTAGTAATATATACAAACAATATCTACGTAATTATTACTGGAAATATGGATATTATACGTTCATGTACAAAAATAACTGCAAAATACTTACTGTGCATGGAAATATACAGTTCAAAGAATCCTTCAGGTCCAACACTCCACTGAATACGTATTATTGCATTTGCACTACCGTCCAATAAAAGAAACACTTCAACACCACACTATACGATGTTTTGAGCAATTAATATTTAGCAGTATTTTTGTTGAATATCTTTAGCAATGATTTTGACGTTACGTGAGTCGGCCATTTTTCTTTAAATCGGGAGACAACAATATGGTGTTGCTAGGTCTACAACTCAAAGGTTTTTTTACCTTTATTAGTTAGTCACTCCACAATGAACGCAACCAGTACAAATAACATCATAATTTATATGTATATTAACAGGAAATCTAGCGATATATATAATTAAGTCATATCAATATTTACAAATTTTACGGAAACTGTATCTTAAATTCATATATTAGTAAGAATTTAATGAACATTCTTTGAAATCCAGTCAACACGTAAAGGCTGCTAACTGAAAACTTGAAATAAACAGCTACACCCGGCAGCCCCGGCAGTATTTTGCCAACAAAGTCAAAGTAACCATTCAGTTTCGTAAAGGGGCATGCGCAGTATAAGCTATTCAATGAACTGGGCCACTGGGGCATCGACTGTCCCTGCCAGCTACTCGTAGGTCACTTTGTACAACTATGTACATATATAAATGTTATGATCTGGGTCGCGGAGTATTGAACTGGGGTAGCTTTCAAACGCTTTACATGTAAAAGCTCTTATCATATTCTAAAATGATATTGTATATTTAAAGTACACCCATTTAGACGAATACTTAATATTGTGTCAGTTATTGGTAAATGTTACGGCAATTTCCTCTTAAATGCTATAAAAAACAAGAAAACATAGATTATGTTATGAAAAATGAAGATTATTTTCAAGATATTTATTTCAAAACACTTCCAATGGAAAGATTCCCATATCGATTATAAAAGAAATACGTCTACTAGTATACGCAAGTCAAGTTTGATATTTATACAACCGTGTGCTGAAAGTATTAATATAAATATCTTACTGGTTTATCTTACTTAAGCTGGTTTCTTTAGTGGTATATGTTTGATGGTTTCAGATATTTCGTTTTACGTACTCTAGTTGAAATAGTACTTACATCGATCCAGTGTATCTTGGCATTCGATACAAGAGAGTGCTATCTACGTTTGTAGTCTCGCACCACCTCCTGCCAATGTAGAGCTTAGAGCTCGAGGAAATCCGACTCCATGACGTCGTATTTTTGTATTCTATTTTTAACTATTTTTTGTTATAGCGGCAACAGAAATACATCATCTGTGAAAATTTCAACTGTCTAACTATCACGGTTCATGAGATACAGCCTGGTGCCAGGCGGACAGGCAGACAGCGGAGTCTTAGTAATAGGATCCTGTTTTACCCATTGGGTACGGAACCCTATAAATGGTCGACGATGGAAGGTTGTGATGAGACAAAAAGTGTCAGCAAGCAGTATAAATAGCATGATAACTATAAACGTATGGAGGTGCAGCAAGTTGCTCTCAGTTGAATGTCTTTAAAATATGTGATAAAACCGTCGCAATTCTTTTTCGTCGCTGTCAGTTTTCGAATCTGCGCCTTTAGGATTATGCGTCCCGATGCTTTAGCCGCCAAGATATGCGATCGACATCCATCCTCATCGCGCGAAAGTCGACGTCTTGTCTACTTCGTTGTCATTGTGTTTGCAGCAATGCTTGGCGTTATCTAACGTGATTACTTTACAGATCAATAGCCTATACATGTTCTATACATGAACCACTATTGGGCAAAGGCCTCCTCTATACAGAGGGTATCAGGGCATAGCCATTCGGCATGAATGAAAGGCGAGCGCTCGGACAATTTGCTATCACAGCAATACGATATGGAAACGAAAAGAGTTAATGGTTTGATTGTTTCAAAATAAGCAATGCTTATTAAAGATAAATGATTTAGAGTGCTGGAAAGTTCTTTAACACAAGTTCTTCCAGTTTGTCGTATGATACATTACTATACCATGTACCTTCATGTAATAACTCAGACCTTTGGGGCTACAAATTTGTTATAATACATTTTTAATAATAGCGCTGAGCTTTCACGTAGATGTTTGTACGTGAAAGGCGTTGATATTATTATGTAAATTAGAATAACAAATAATACACGAAGCAATTTTTAATTTATAAATTTAATATTTATTTAACTTTTCAAAAGTTGTTCGTTACTCAGTACAATATTATTGATATTACTTTCTACAGTTACATTATATAATTTAAGATTATTTTTTCACATTACGTGGTTGTTTTAATAAAATCATTTATGAAATTTTATTAATAGTTAAAATAATGAAGTATATAAATTTCTATAATTCATTTAAACATTTATATTAATTTTTAACTGTGCCGTCATTGGATAACAAAATTGTTCGAGATGTTAAATATAAACGCGATTTAATCGTTAAACAGTGGATATTATTATCGTAAATAAGGGATATCGTCATTTTTAAATACACTTAGAACAATCATATAGCACCGTCTTAGATGCCAATTAAATTATAACACCCGAAATTAACTCCTATGAAGTTATATGCAGTGCAAGTCCGGAGAATGAACATCGATATTACATACAAAGCATATTTAAACAGAGAAAATTATTTAATCCTTGCAAAATAGTCGGCCAGAGACTAGGCTAGTAAGTTGGAAAGCGTTAAAATAATGGATATGATCGAAGAACGATCTTATCTAAGCAGCTTTAAACTGTGGTAGGGCCGTGGCATTGCGTTGGCGTTGGCAGGGTAGTTGCGTGCAACAGTCTCTTCTCTGATGCACGAATGGGCAGGTTCGTCTGGGGAAGAACCATGACCTCACAGAATACCGGCGTGAAGTGCAAGAGTTACACATCTGCGTTTCGTCTAGTGAGTAAGGTAACCGAAGATAAATTTATTAAAAGGTGGCAACACATCTGCAACCCTACGGGTGAAAATATCAATGGGCGGCGTATATTACTTAACATTAGGTGAACCACCAGCTCATTTGTCCACCTTCTGACATAAAAAAAACTAAGATATTTGCTATATTTGGCAATGCTAGGTAACATCTTAATAAATAGCTTATAGGAAAACTACGTCAATTAACTATAAATGTATGAGCCAATAAAAAAATATACTCGTATAATTCAGTTGTAACTAGAAATAAATTAATTATCAGCGATCAGAAATCGGAGAATCAATGAAACATCCGTGCACATTATATCAGCACCTGTTTGCCCCGTGGAACAACGCGGCTTCCGTAAATGTCATTCATAACTGACCTGGAAACTAGGGCAACCTAGTTCCAGGCGTTGGTTGACGTCACTCGATGTAACCCAGTGTCCGAAAAACCCCATATTATAGATGCACGACATTTGAGAGCGCATGTCCGTCATATAAACAAATAATAATATCGAATGAGTCGTAACAATATGTTAAATAATTTTGGAACTTTAAATTGAACACGATAATTTTATACTTCCTTTAATAACATTATATAGCAGAGTTAATATAAAATATATTGAGAATCATTAACGAAAAATCATTTAAATATAAATCTAATACGCAATTTGTAATTAAAAATATTTTAAATTTGAAAATCGGTCAAAATCGCATCACAAAAATGGGAATATGCTTAAAACTATGATAAGGCAAATTAACTCTTAAATTACACCATCATTATTCGGTACAAACATTCATAAAAGTCATGCATTCAAGAGGTTTAACATTATTTTAAATTCCTTTATAGTTTACGTAAATTTTCTTGTTCTACAACGAAATCACACAATTTCATTTCGTCTACTACGACGAATGGGAACCATAAAAAAACTAATAAATAAAATAAAAAATTCTGTCAACTCATCCAGGCGTCCTAGATGAGCAAAAATTTAAATAAAAAAGTAAGTACAGAAATGGCGGCAAATCCAAAAGTTCGGTTACTGATGCATGGACGTGTTGACATGAAGACACACTAGGGCATAATTTACATTAAAAAAATGATTGTTCTCATCACACATTTCTTATCGCTTACTACATAATACAACGAATAAGAACTAAAAAAAAAATTTCTCTTAACATCTAAAAATAAAAAGGTAATACAATAAATAGAATTAAAAATAAACGAAACAAAAAACTGTCAACTCGTTCAGACGTCTTATATAGTTGGCCAGGGGGTCGTCGTTAATAAATCTTAGATTAGTGAAAAATTACAAAAGAAACCGAGGAAATGGCGGCAAACTCAAAAGACAGGTATTAGGTGCCTGGGCGTGTTGGCCAGCGGGTCGTCGATAGCCAGCAGGGCGTTGAAGGAGAGGAATAGAGCGGCGGCCGAGGCTAAGTGCCACAGATCGTGCGTGTCCAGTAAGCGGAGGGCAGTACACGCGGCGTTGTGCTGACGCGAATGCGCCGGCGTTTCCTGCAACCGAATACAGTTTAGCACAGTGCCCGATAAAGGCTAAATGTGTAGACTTAAAGCACAAACATCGATCAACAATGAAAAGCTGACTAATAAAGTTCTCCTTCGAGTTCTGCGCGTATACCCTCGAGTGCAAAACTTACTACATAAAAAAACAGCGATCCATAAAATCTGTGAATCCAGCTTGTACTGTCGGGTGTGAAAATATCAATTTAAAAAATGGTCAACATTTCTACGCATGTAGCTCGAGTGAACAGTGAAAAAAGTAACAACCCACAGCTGGGCAAACGTCTCCTGTATACAGAGGGTATTAGGTTAGGGCACAGGAACACGGAAGCGCAGTTCATCCGCGACGAGTCATGTGACCCATTGACGAGTCACGCGACCCATTGACGCGTCGCGTGACCCACTGACGCGTCACGTGACCTATTCGCAAGTCGCGTGACCAACTGATACACCACGTGACCCACTATCACGCGGCGCTATCAAGACACGCGGGACGCTCGGCCACTCACCGACCACTTGGTGCGCGAGTCCAGGAACAGCCTGAGCGCCAGGGCCCAAGCGGCGTGCGCCAGCGCGAGCTGCACCCACACGTGCGCCGGTATCCGCTCCCGGTGCACCAGCTTCATCAGAACGTAGCTCAGCATGTACAGGATCGCGTTGCCCATGAGGATCGCGAGCAGGTGACGCGCAAAGTCCTTGTTGTGCTCGTACATCCTGCGCGAAGGGGCGCAATAGCAGTTACATCTTGTTATTAATTCGAGTAGGAGTAGGATCGAGGCGGAGAAATTGACCGCGCGAGTCGCCGTTTTCCCCTACTACATCACTTTTAGCTAAGCCGTTCGTCGGCCACTACTTGCATTACAAATCTGCCCATATATGAAGTAGAAGAAGAAACGTTTATTCACGGTCTAAAAACAAATGAATACATACAAAACTTAAGAATAATAACGTAACTACACAGAAACTTAAAATAAATGTAAGCATGAAAAAAAAAACAACAGTAAGTGATGGTCTGTGTAGCAGCATAAGACCGTGAAACGGACGGGACTCGGTAAAAGTCTACAGTAACTAGTTCTGATCCCGACACCGGTTTTCAGTCCGGCCCGCACTTCGAGGCAACTCGGACGGCTGCGACAGTGAACTTGCAATGAATAGCTACAGCGCAGTATAGCGAAAATTAAATTATTTTTGTTTGAACCTTTCATTCATACAGACAGTGGTTATCATTCATCTGATGAGGTACCTAAATAAAAATTAAAACTAATGTTTGGTTTTTTAATATTGCTGTCAGCTGCTATATTTCCATTTCGGTTTAGGTTACCAATGTTTATCCCTACCCTGTGGTACTATGACACTTAACGATTAAGTGGTGGAAACGTGTAATAATTGAAAACATCAAATGCGATATGAATACTGCTGCAGTCGAGTTTGTCTTAAACGGCGCTGCCAGCTGGTCATTATCCAACCGACATCCGTCCGTGTGGCGCCAATCAATGTGGGATACCCGTATGCTGCCAACGCCCAGTTGGCGAGGTTGGCCGCGGCGAGTAAAGCCGCGCGCGCAGTGTAGCGAGGCACGAACGCGCGGCGCCCGCGCTCCCTCAGCGCCGACCACGCCCGCGCCGGAATCGAACATTCTGGAAGGAACAATCGTCTCAGTAATGCGAAGCGATCAAAACACCCCCCTCAATAATGCGAAGCATTCGAGAATTCTCGAATGCGTTTCAGCAAATCGAGGGCAGAAACGCGGATGTGAAGGTTGAAGAGTGACCAAAATATTTTAGACCCACTTGGGACTGAAGCGATAACATGCAATGCACTGTAGTCTATCCCCGCTTACGAGGAGAAAATAACACTATGCGCACACGGTATAAATACCGTCTCTAATACCGAATAAATACAGTCTCGTGGAAACATGAACAAAATATTTTATTAAGTTTGAAAAAAGGAGCTAATGTATCTTAAATAAAACCTTCTTTTAAAACGAAATAATTTTTTTTTTTCGAAACTGTCAAGAAGTTAACAATCAAGGCGTCAAACGAGTAATCGTTATGTTAATATACAAGTAAAAAATATACTTACCCATTTTAAAGCGACCAATGTAGTATATCTTCATTGTGAGAACGAAACACACTGTCAGGTGCAATATGGTGAACACCACCCAGAAATACAGGCTCGGATAGGTTATGCCGAAATAACCTAAAAGCATATATCACCACCTTTTAGATAGGGAAAATGGCCATTGCAATGAAAAAAATTGAAAAAAAAAGTTTTAAATTTTAGAGTTTTTTATAGTGCTAATCTCTGCACTTAAGATTGAACATTAAAACATGTAGAAAAAGTACGAAAAGATTGTCGCCGCTGTGGGAATCGAACCCACGTCTTCGACATTCGCGGCTTGACGCTCTAACCACTGAGCTAAACGGCTGATAGCCACAGCGGCGACAATCTTTTTCCTTCTACATTGTACTTTTTTTGAAACTACATGTTTTATCCTTTCCAAAAAACAATTTCGAATATGTTTTTAAACGATAATTCAACGAGAGATTTCGCCATGCTTTTTAAAATTTCTGTTTTTTATAAATATAAATGTTCTTTAAGATGTACATTAAAACCTTGTAGAAAAGTAAAAAGATTTCTTTCGAACCCACGTCTTCGCCATTTTGACGTTCTATATTAAACGGCTATTTTCGCCACAAATTTTTTTTAAATGGATTTCCTGTAAATATAAATGTTCTTTGGCTGTAAAATCCTTAAAGATTTCTTTATTCGCCATTTTTATATTTAACTATTTTCGAAACATTTTTTTAAATGGCCTAGTGGTCCGTATAATTATTTAATTATATATATAAATAATAAAATAGATTAGTCCTAGAGAAATAGTAATATCATACGCTTGTTACCTTCGTTAATCCTACCCATAATCATAAATTAATGTACAATCCGAGTTCAAATGCGAGTGCTTATCACATGCTCTATACTAAAAGAATACACGGTGAGGCAACCTGCATGTTTTCTAAAATAAAACAAAAAATATATTTTGAAGATAAGTGAAGTCCACTAATCCGGAGTGGGGTTTTGTGGTGAACTAAGCCCTAATGCCCTCTGTACAGAGGCGTGTTCCCAGCAGTGGGAAGTATGTAGGCTGTTCCTTTATTTTAACGTAATACCATGGGACTATTGCACTATGGGACTGATGGAATGGATAAGATTACTGGTCCTATACAGTGGTCTGCCCTTAGCCTGTTGAGTGAGGTAGCCGGGGCGCAATTTATTAAAACTCGCTCGCCACCGTCTCGCATAAAAAAAGTGTACCCACCGATGAACATGGCGACGGCGATGAGCATGAAAGTGGAGTGGGCGCTCGCGTTCACGTCTGGGTGCCGGTTCTGGTACAGTTTCACCATCACCAGCACGGCTATCACGTACATGAACGAGGAGTCTGCGGAAGGAAACCAATTAGCGATGACGTCACGAGCCGGCTCCCGACCAAAGTGGGATGCGTTCTTTCACTGAAACGGGGAAAGACCACGCTGTGCGTATTACTAATGCGGTTCAAGTGTCAGCTGGCCCACGTGATGTGAACACAGGGCCACGTGTCAGCTACGGCTGTTGCACGAATCGGCAGCTCCGTCTGGGAAGTGAGGCCGCGGTACTTCCCGATCTTCGGACCGAAGTGCAGTGGAAGCGTTATGTCCTCTGCGTTTCGTCCGGTGAGTGAGGTAGGCGTGGCCCATCTTATTAAAAAGTGTCGCCGAAACTGCAGCTGGCTGTTGCAAATGTCCATGGGTCGCGGTTATCACACGATATAAACAAAAATAAAAAATAAAATAAAATAATCAGGTGAACCGCCAGCACGTTTGACACCTTCTGATATATACACGTACATATTCGATCTATCTCACTCTTGAGGAATAAGGGCAGAAAGTTAGATAAATAAATTAATTTGAATTCAGGTTACATATAGGTGTAACTACTTTAAATGAAGTGAACTTAACCTTCTCATGGTAAAAAAAAAATCATTGACACTGTTTGTTTGTGCACTAGTGACTCGGGAGCCAGTTATCGGATTAACATGGTTCTATTAGAATATCGCAATATATTATCCGGTAAATAGTCAGGCTCCTCCGTATAAGCCTCAGCCTTATAGAAGACCGGCGTGAAGTGATTGAGGTAGCCGGGGCCCAAATATTTAGAAGTTGCTAACACGTATGCCAAACCAAAGGAGTCCATGGGCGGTGTTAATCACTTAACATTAAGGGAACCGCACTTCCTCACCAAATTCCAGACATAAAAAATATCCACCAAAGTTTGATAAATGAAATAACTTTAAAAACATTATTATGTTTATATTTAAGTTAACGACGAAAAAATTTTTCTTTAACACTTAAATATAAGGCAATTTTTTATATAAAGCTGCCGTATCTGAAGGAAATGCTAGGTACACACCGAACTGAAAATTCATCTTGTTAGGGCAGAGATGGTAGCAGGCGGAAAGTAGACCTTCCATCATCAGCGCCAACCCCATAGAGTAGAACAGGCCGTGGTGTTGTGGGATGCCCAACTCCTTCGTATAGATTAAAAGCACGGTCAATATATCCAACGACAAAAAACTGATAGACGAAAAATAAAAAATAAAATAAAATAATCAGGTGAACCGCCAGCTCGTTTGACACCTTCTGATATATACACGTACATATTCGATCTATCTCACTCTTGAGGAATAAGGGCAGAAAGTTAGATAAATAAATTAATTTGAATTCAGGTTACATATAGGTGTAACTACTTTAAATGAAGTAACCTGAACCTTCTCATGGTAAAAAAAAATCATTGACACTGTTTGTTTGTGCACTAGTGACTCGGGAGCCAGTTATCGGATTAACATGGTTCTATTAGAATATCGCAATATATTATCCAGTAAATAGTCAAGCTCCTCCGTATAAGCCTCAGCCTTATAGAAGACCGGCGTGAAGTGAGTGAGGTAGCCGGGGCCCAAATATTTAGAAGTTGCTAACACGTATGCCAAACCAAAGGAGTCCATGGGCGGTGTTAATCACTTAACATTAAGGGAACCGCACTTCCTCACCAAATTCCAGACATAAAAAATATCCACCAAAGTTTGATAAATGAAATAACTTTAAAAACATTATTATGTTTATATTTAAGTTAACGACGAAAAAATTTTTCTTTAACACTTAAATATAAGGCAATTTTATATTAAGCTGCCGTATCTGAAGGAAATGCTAGGTACACACCGAACTGAAAATTCATCTTGTTAGGGCAGAGATGGTAGCAGGCGGAAAGTAGACCTTCCATCATCAGCGCCAACCCCATAGAGTAGAACAGGCCGTGGTGTTGTGGGATGCCCAACTCCTTCGTATAGATTAAAAGCACGGTCAATATATCCAACGACAAAAAACTGATAGACGAAAAATAAAAAATAAATTATTTGCATAAATCATTTTAATATGTGTAGCGAAAACTTTGGAATCCCTTTGAAGAATATAATGCCCACAAAGGGGTGTGAGGTTTGGCATAGATAATGTTTATACGTAGGAAAGAATGGAAAACGAAAAGTATGTACAATATGTGATGCAAATAAATAAAATAAACATTCATCGTTAATTTATAGTCTGTTGTCAAATACCTGCACAGATCAAAAATAGTTGGCATAGAATTTTAAAATGTCAGATTAACGGAAAATTATAATGGAATGTTCTCATTTAATTTTATGAATTACGTTCGAGCAACGGGTGAGAACTGGTTAATATTAATTATAACTCACATTTTTACATGACACAAGAGGTTATTTCTGTCGTTCTGCAAAAAAAGTTCCGACGCACCTTCGGTTGGTTCGCAGAGCTGATCTGGCGCCACCAGGTCTGCCCCATGAACACCAGCCCCAAGACCACGTAGCCCACGTTGGAGTACACGTGGTTGAAGTCTGAGAGGAAACCGAGCGGATGCGCGCAGAGGAAGTTGTAGTAACACAGATCCTGGTTGCCCGTTTGGAACACCATCTAGAGGAAAAGTTAATTTATGTAACGTGTAATGTTTATATGATACTAGCGACCCTCCCCGGCTTCGCACGGGTGCAATGTATTATACATATGACCCTTCCTCTTGAATCACTCTATCTAGTAAAAAAACCGCATCAAGATCCGTTGTGTAGTTTTAAAGATCTAAGCATACTAAGCACATGGGACAGACAGACAGCGGAACGACTTTGTTTTGTACTATGTAGTAATGCACAGCAAAGAGACGTTTACATTTCAAGTGACAGTCACTCACTTGTTTTGCCTTCCCCGAAACCCCTCCACTAACACTTAATCTTTATGGTATGGTATTAAAGTTCAAATTGACTTTTAAGTATTATTACGAATCTTTTGTACGGGAATATAGAAAAGTGTTGTCTTTAGACTTTTTCAGCCAATTTTTTAAATTTTTTCTTTCATAAGAACATTGTCCTGATAATAAAAAACAAGACAAAAAAAAGTGAAACCGGTCCAGCCGTTCACGCGTGATGGCATGACCAAGGAATTAGGGATTCAAGGAATTATATATATATATGGGGTCGACCCATAATATATTATATATATATATAATATATTACGGGACGACCCCCCCCCCCCCCCCAAGTGTGCGGGAAGTCGAAGGATAGAAGTGGCTCAGGATCGTGTTTCGTGGCGGTCTTTGGGGTAGGCTTATGTTCGTAAATGGTTGTTGATGATGATGATTATAAATAAATAAATAAATATTTCAGGATATTTTTTTAGTTAATATACTAGGAAAACAAATTGACTTAACATGAATAACATCGTTTCTGATAAGTTAAATGTTGATGAATAGGCTGTATGGAGAAACCTTTCACAAAGCGGAGTATACTAGATTCGTATAACTTTAGCTTTCATTAAACGAAGGTTGAGCATAACCGTGTTACTCACGCTCTGGTATGTGGACAACAGTTGCACCACCGGCAATGCGTACACCACGGCGACGGTGAGCGCACTCCAAAAGTACCTGATGAAAAGTAAGGCGATTTGTATTCAAATAAAAAAAAACAGCAAAACTTACACCCGGTCTCTGAAACACTGATCCTGATAATCAGAAGTTAACTAATCAGCTGTCAAATGGCTTTTTAATTGTTATTTCAGTTGCCAAAAGAATTGGTAAACTATTTGAATTGATCATTCTGATCATTAGGAAGATCATTCTGATCAACATTTCATCCGCGGCTAGGTCCATGGCTGAAAAACTGCGCCTAACTATTCGTCACGAGATTGTATTTTCTTTAAAACTGCTGACACACAACATCTAGACTCTGAAAGGCTATTTATGGATAGGACAATTTTTTGTTGTACCCGCACAATCAGTAGGCAAGGTAACCATTAGGACTGTTTACAGTTAACATTTGAAAATAATTTCAATGTCGTTACTTTAATTACTTTAATACATGGTAGACTTAAAAAACCGGTCAAGTGCGAGTCGGACACGCGCACGAAGGGTTCCGTACCATTACATATAAAAAACGAAAAAAAAAAAAAAAAACACCACGTCTGTTGTATAGGAGCCCCACTTAAATAATTTTTTATTTGTTTTTACAGCGGCAAAAGAAATATATCATCTGTGAAAATTTCAACCGCCTAAATATCACCGTTCATGAATTAATGATTAGATTTAATTAATACTTAAGGCCTAGCACATTTTCATATGGGGTTTAGGCTTTAGGGTCTGACCTAAGCATATTTCTAAACAACATAACTCTATAACTTGTAAAACGAAGACAAAATTTCCATTCACCTATCTGATCGGCGACTGTGTGCGGTTTGCTTGGCCCTGCTGAGCCCCGCGAGCGTCAGGGGCGGATGAAGGTCGATCTGGACCTTCGGCAGCACAGGTTCCCTCTCGGACCCCGGCTCCAGGTCGGGTTCGGAATCTAGATAAGGTCGGGTTCAGAATCTAGATTTTTTTTTATGCGATAAGATGGCAAGTGAGCTGACGGTTCACCTGATGGTAAGCGATAGTGACCGCCGCCCATGGACTTTTGCAACACCCATAAAGTTGCAAAGGCGTTGCCACCTTTCAATGAAGTGGGCCCCGGCTACCTCACTCACCAGACGAAACGCAGAAGTGTAACACTTCTACTTTACGCCGGTCTTCTGTGAAGTCGCGGTAATTCCCCGGACCACGGACCTGTCCATTCGTGCATCAGCGAACTGATGCGTGGTAGCACTGCCAAAGATAGATATAGGTTACAGATAAGGCTTTTTTTTCTTTTACAACATTACCATAGACGTAGGTAACATGATGTTTTAGAGAGGTTAAACAGGCACAAACGTTTTTTTTTTGAGGAATAATTTTTACACAACATTATCAAGCAATCTATCCCAAAATAAGCAAAGCAAGTGCTTATTTTGGGATATATTAGTTAACTAATAAACGTATGGCGTAAGAACTTACTCTTTTTGAGATCTAATGAGCTGTTCTTTTCGTTTTTGATTGTTTCGAAAAAAAATCATCGCACTCGCTTCTTTATCGCCCAAGGCAGCGACAGGACGACGCTAGCTTAGATTTCTCGATCTTATCGATTGCCAAACGTGAATACCACGCAACAGCCGAATCTGTTGCGTGGCCCTACCACAATTGCTCGAAGGTAGGGCCTGCACCTGGTATACAGCGTGTCGTTACCATCGCGACAATAAATGAATACACGTCTAACGCTACTTGCCAATAATCATAAAAAAATATAAATGTTAATTAAAAATATTTTTCGAACAAACTAATTAAGTAAAAAAGAAACAAAATTTGTTACATCCTATACAACTCGCGCCATAGCGTCGCATTACAAGCCTCTCCTTCTAACAGTATGTTTTGTCTCTTTTAAACTCATTCAACCCATTCATATGCTTTGTGACCTTTACAAATGAACTTTACGTTACGCTTTTATAGGTAAGGATGTTCTAAAATTCTTTGTTTTGTAAAATTTAATAACTCTTTAAATATTGATGTTTAAAGAAATTAAATGTTTAATACAACTTATCCCCTATATGTGTGTTCATTTATTGTCGCGATGGTATCGACACGCTGTATACTTTTAGCCCGTAAAAATTATTAGTAATAAGAACTACGGATGTCATCTGGTGTTATTTTTAGTCGAATGGAGTACCAGAATCCTCCTGTTGCACCGCTGTCTGGCTTGGTCCAGGATGAGAGCTGATCGCCGAAGAAGTACCTGGGCCCTCCTCGATAACTGTTATTTCTTCTGCGAACAATTCAAAACACTCCATTTGAAACGGGAGATTTAGTAATAAAACATATATGTCAACAGAAACTACATTTTATTTATTCTTTCTTTCCCCTGCCCACCTAGGTAGGGTCAGCAGAATATGTGAATCATGTTTTCAAGGTCCTCGAGCCTCCTTAGTAATAAACAATAATAAATAAAATATTACTTTCATTTACTTTACTATAATAATATTCATGACAGAATCTCATTTTTTTTTTATTTTTATATAGCAGAAATGAAATAGAACACCACCGTGACACAGCTGCTAAGCCATTGGTTTCGGCGTCGGGGGTCGTGGGTTCGACCCCACATGGGACAAGTATTTGTGTGCCCCACAAGTTATCTGTTTGTTTCTTCCCAAGGTGGGTTGACGTCAGGCAGGAGGCCGGTCATAAAAATCATAGCCAAAACCGAATACATCGTTCGAATTATGTTGTGCCCTGACCCACCTTGGTGGGATAAGGTCAGGAGGATGATGATGTTATATAATATTTCAATTATTGCTATTATTTCGTTATTATTGTGACACTGAAGGAATACGAACCGGTAAAGGAGCAACGTATGTAAGTCAAAAGTGGCGCGAACACAGCAACCATAAACACCAATCCCAAAGCCGCCAAAACGCCCGTTATGTATTCCGTGTAGGTCAAAGCCGGCACCACACGGAATCTGCAACGAGATTCAATTCAAAACCATTTAAATCTCGCATATGTATGTGAGATGTACGCATTGAAAGGATACGATTTGCGTGCGCATGTGTGTAGGTGCATGAGTGTGTGCGCGAATTGAAATGAAATTGAATTGAATGATTTGTGAATGTAATGATTTCATACATTTCTTTTATTAAAGTAATTGAGAAACATCAGTCTTTGATCGTACAACACGTATTTCATTTTGGAAGTTATATATTTTCTTTTGGCGATTTGTAGAAAAATTACAGGAGTGAATTTTTATGATGCGCGATGCCATGAGGTGTTATCATGGCGACCGATAACAACTCATCTCTCAAAGAAATTTCATCGTTCCAAGTTATTTTACTAAGCCGGTGTCAATTGCATTTAGTGTCTGTTTTTCACAAGGAGTACGAACAAATACGGGATAGAATTTTTAATTATTTTTCTTTTGTCACGCTACAGAAGTATAACTTCTTACGTGTGTACAAGTACACACACATGTTTTTTTTTTTAATACATAATTGTTCCATTTTTAACAACGAATATTTCAAACGACACTTTGTAATTTGTCTGTAACCCTAAAATAGTCCTATCAGGGCAGTTCTAGATTGCGTTCGTAAATTTATGCTTGTGAAAAACATGAAGGGCATAGGAACTATTTTAAAATATAATACATATCGATTATTTTATTTCATTCGACGACCCGAATGGCGTAGTTGGTAGTGTACCTGACCCCTGTGCCAGAGGGTGCGGGTTCGATCCCAACTACTGGAAAAATATTGTGTGATGAACATAGTGTTTTTCCAGTGTCTGGATGTATAATATGTATTTATTTACATAAGAAATGTATGTTTATCAGTTATCTAGCACCCAGTACAAGCGTTGCTTAGTTTGGGACTAGAGACCGTTGTGTAAAAATATGACCTCAAATATTCAATAGTTATTTCCACATACCGGAAGTTCTTGACACGTCCGTCCTCGATCCAATCCTCCAAACTCGAGAGGCTGTCCATATTATTATCCCCGGTGCAGTCGGAGTTGCTCTCTTTGACAATGAACACCACGTAGAAGCCCACCGGGAACATGGATTGCTGTGAAAGAAATATTACGTCAAGGCCACGCAGCTGCCTCTACTGTTGCAAGAGTGGGCAGCCTCGTGCGGAGTGGTGCCACGGCCTCACAGAAGGCCGGCGTGAAGTGTAAGTATTAAGGTCTCTACCACACTATGCCGGTGGGAACGGCTGGCATTCACGGCGGGTATTTCTGCCAACGGACCCGCCGCATGAACGAGCCGCCGGCTCAATTTTGTTCGTGTAATATCGCTCTTCGGCAAGTAACGGCCGCCGACGGCATACCCGCGCGGCAAAAACCCACCGACTGTGCCATAGTGTGCAGGAGCCATAGGAGCGGTGAAGTAACCGGGGCCCACTTGATTTAAATTTGGCAACGCATCTGCAACCCAACGGGTGATGCTTACCGATGAAAAGTGATCTTTGTATTATTATACGATTTCGACTACACTTACAATTGCGACACGATTCGATAGCACAAGCCGGCATAATCAATTATTTTCGTGGGCACGTTATAAGTAGATAAATATACAATCAAAGCATTTTCCATTCCATTTTAGCGCACTCACCCAAGTGGTAACTAGCTGTTAGTAATGTAAAACTTTTGGTTTCTGTTAAACAGATCCTAAAATAAAATTATTAAAATAATCGTTCCCTTTGATTCGTTTTGAGTACTCATGAAAGTAGGAATCTATCGGAGATACACAAATTGGCTGCAATTAAAAGAATTTCTCTTACGAAAGATGACAAAATTTAAATTGTATAACAGGAGACAGACGTCCAAGTTTTTTTTACGGTGGTAGGGCCACGCAACACTGTTGCACGAACGGGCAAGTCCATCCGAGTGAGTGTTACACTCGTGCGTTTCGTTTGGTGAGTGAGGTAAGCCGGGGCCCCGCTTTATTTAAAGGTGGCAACGCATTTGCAACCCTATGGGTGTTGCAATTGCCATGGGCGCCGGTTATCACTCAACATCCGCATCGTGAACCGCTCGTTTGCCTCACCTAAAAAAAAAGTTTAATAGCGATTATGTCATGCGGTGTTATAACTATGTGCGCATGTCACTCACCGTTATACTGATGCCGCCCTTCGTCGTCATGGTGAGGTGGTAGCCTTCGTACAGCATGTCCTTTTCGTTGTCGAACACCGGACACTGTAGATGTTAGGATATTTTATATAAAAAATACTTCAAAATATTATTTAATTGTTAAAATAGATGTATTGTCAAAAGATGAAATGAATAATGGATAATAAATTAAACAATAGTCATTTTCTAAGATCGCTGCGGGAGCGGGGCGGCATAAACAATAGGTGCATTAGTTCGTTCGAAAAATAAACTGTTTTTTTTTTTTTTTCATTTTTAATATTGGTGTAAACAATTCACAAATGTAGCCAATCTTAAATAGTAGAAATAAAGGCAACTGTACATCGGACGCAGTTGGTGACGTTAATATAATTCAAAACATGTTAATATTTCAAGGTCACTAAGTTTCGAAATGAAGTATAAATTTAAAGATACTTATATTGAAACTGAGTCATGAACGCTCGACGTCAACATCTTTGTCTTGTTAAATTTTGTAGAAAAATTTTTTGCCGCTGCAGGAATGAAATCCAATTTTTTTTTATTATTGTATGTGAGAAAAAGCTAAACGAGATGGAGGTTCGCCTGATGTTAAGTGATAACCTGCCCATGGACATTTGCAACACCCGTAGGGTCGCAGATGCGTTGCAACCTTTTAATAAAGTGGGTACCGGCTACCTCACTCACCAGACGAAAAGCAGAAGTGTAACACTTCTACTTCACGCCGGTCTTCTGTGCGGTCGTGGCACTAACCCGGACGCTCCTGCCCATTCGTGCAACAGCGAACACTGTTGCATGGCCCTGTCACAGTTAAAATTTCGCAGTATCTACATACAGTTAAAGATTGGCGACCAGACGCTTCACTACTAAGCTAAACGGCAACTATTAACGGAAACTTTTCGTTCTTTTTTCACCAAACCTTAAGTACAGAGATCAGCACTATAAAACTTGTTAAAACCTCACCGAGTTGTTCTGAATGGAGACCACTGCGCAGACGTTGTCGTCCGATTCAATAGTTAGCATCACGCTCTTCGGGATAGTATAGTTGAATCTGAAAATCGAACCAAAGACTACACAAACTGCTTTGTGTCTACGGCTTAAACTGATACGATTACCTACGCGGTGTGGTACACGTCCACACGGTGCAAATCTAGTCAGATACAATAAAACAGACGTTCTGTACCCAGATATACTTTTATACCCTTGACTTTTCACGAAAGAGACTAGCACGTTCCACCGCAACTCTAACGAGACTGACTTAAAATATAATAAAATGAACCGTCAACTGTCCAATTAAATAAATAGTAATAATATAGGTTACTTAAAGTACGAGCCGTGATAGCTCAGTGTCCGGGCGCTCGCCTTTATTTCAATAAACTCGAGCATCTGAGTTCGATCCCCGGTGCCGGCACCAATGAAGTTTTAACTTTAAGTGTTGACTTATCACGTGCTCCGCGGTGAAGGAAAACATCGTGAGGAAACCTGCATATTTTCGAAATAATAACAAAAAAAAATATTTTTCGAAGATATGTGAAGTCCGCCAATCCGCAGTGGGGCCGCGTGGTGGACTATGCCCTGACACCCTCTGCATAGAGGAGGCCTTTGCCCAGCAGTGGGACATGTATAGGCTGTTACTTTACTTTTACGACTTTACTTAGAGTCAATAATATTCGTATGTATTCGGCGGCACGGAACTTATTTATGAGTACAAACTAATGCCTAATTGAGAACGTTGTGTAAAAATATTGTCGAAAGTTCTGATAGACTAACACCTCGATGTCCAGCGTTCCACAACAGTGCGAATTTCAAGGCATTTCCTGCCTCGCATAATATGAAAACAAAAGACAGCTCCCGCCAGCGGTCTTTCCAAACCGTTACGACCTGGGAACTTTCAAGAAGAGAGCATACTCTTTCCTAAAAGGCCGGCAACGCATTTGTGAGCCCTCGGTTGTTGCAGGTGTTCATGGGCGGCGGTGATTACTTACCATCAGGTGAGCCTCCTGGTATTTTGCCGCTTTTTTCCCATAAAAAATAGGTTTAATTTTTTTCAATCAAACTTTTTGTTACGGATAAAAAGATTTCACAGCTGAATATAAGAATGTATAGATTATCTTATAGTTCTGCTATTACTTAGTAGTGTATATGGCAATACCTTGGCAATATGGCATGGTTCATCGTATGGTTGAGGGGATCCTTGTCGAATGAGAAATAATAGTACTTCGGAGTACTCGGTGTCACATTGAGATGCACCTCCTGCAAGCGAATAATTGGTAATTAAACAAATCAGAAAAAAACAATCTACCATTACTTTGGTGGCGCCTTAATAAAATGCAAAAAAAAACAGTAGATAAATGTTGAGATTTTCGAGCCGTGGGGATATCGGGTGTTTAACACGCATATGATAAGAGCATTTATGGGGTTCGTTATCCACGAGACACAAAAAAAAATATTATGACAACTTGTCTGAAAAACTCACATCACAGAAAAGAAATTAAAACAGCGTGTTCAACATTAAACAAATAAAAAAACGTGAAGTGGAAGTGTTACACTTCTGCGTTTGGTTTGGTGAGTGAGGTAGCTGGGGCACACTTTATTTAAAGGTGGCAACGCGGTCCATGGGCGACGGTTATCACTTAAAATCAGGTGAACCGCCAGCTCGTTTGCCATTTTATCACATAAAATAATAAGAAATAAGAACCAATGCAACCGTATAAATAATATATTAGAAAAAACACAAAATAGAAATAAGGTCCCTGATCACCGATATCGGGGGGAAAAGTATGTACAGTAACAAAAAAAACTTAAGAAAAACCTTATTGAGCTCGACGTAGAAGTCAGAGACGCGCCGTAGTTTGATATTCACAGATGTGTTGCGGGGATTCGAGGTTGTTATCTGAATCATTGGACGATTTTCGCCTGTGGTGTCTGGTGAAGTAAAAGGCATGACATTCGTCACTTTACGTCATCATCTTTAAGTTTTCATCGTCATCATCCTGCCCTTGTTCCACATAGGTCGGCTCGCCACATGTAATCATGGTCTAAGTGGTTTCGATTAGGTTTTTTAGGCCGACCGCCTGCCTAACGTCAACCCTCCTTAGAAACAAACATCCAGGTATGGTCGACGGTTCACACAAATTCTTGCGAACCTAGTGTAGGAATCGAAGCCACGACCACCGACGCCGAAACCCGTAGCGCAACTGTGCCATCGAGTCATGTTTTAATATAAATCTGCTTCGAAAAGGGCTTTTCAACTTATCATAATTGAATGACACCTTCGGTAGACGATGTGTTCATCGTTGTGATCAAAATATTCAGAACGGAAGTGATAAAACCAAATCTGTCAATACAATCTTTTCCATCTAAAAATATCGGATATTTTCGATCTTTCCATGGTCTTGGAAACAGCGATATCCAAGAAAAACGTACGTCAGGAAAACAAATGAACGGATAATTATTAAAAAAGAAAAGACTTTATATTTTGTAATGAAATTTAATTTATAATCTTATATGTAAAAATTAATTGCTGTTCGTTTATCTCGCTAAAACTCGAGAACGGCTGGACCGACATGACTAATTTTGGTTTTGAAATATTTTTGGCAGTCCAAAGGGAAGGTTTAAACGAAGAAAAATTATGGGAAATTTTTCGAAAACATGGAAAAATAGCAACAATTTTATTTTCTCATACAAACTGTACCTGTCAACCTGTCAACTGTCTGTGTAACCTGTTAAAACACTTTATGCGTGCATTCCGATTCCTCGAGAAATAATTTATATCGACTAGTTCTAAATAAAATTAAAGATATCTTCACATTAGCGAGTATTATCAATCTGCAATTTTTAAATTTGTAGAAATGAATGTACGAAAAGTTGTTTTTCTTTTTCGCCAATGTGGCCAGTTGGCCGTTAGCTTAGTGATTACAAAGTTTGGGCGAATGCGGTACACGTAGACTCGATTCCCGCAGCGGCGAGAAAATATTCGTCCACTTTTTCTACAAATTTTGATGTTTCATATTAAGTGCAGAGTTTAGGACTTTACAAGTATTTAACGTCAAATCTGCAATTCGACGTATATTATTGTTATAAACTTACTTGTTATGAAATAAAGTACATACTTGGTCCAGCGTCATGAGGACACAGTGTCCTTGCCATGTCGTCAAACTGTAGCACGGCATTTTTTGTCGCCACTACCAGCGGAAGCTCCCAGGATGATATTCCTAGCGGTACCAAAAATACTTCAATATCCGATCTGCTTTAACAATTTGAGTACAGCTTAAGCAGAAATTTACTGCATGCAGTCAAAATAGGCATAACAAAACATTTTCATCAAATCGTGTACTGTTTAAGCAACAAAAACCGGCCAAGCGCGAGTCGGACTCGCGAACGAAGTGTTCCGTGCAATTATCTATAAGAATTGCAAAATAAAATCATGTCTGTTGTATGGGAGCCCCACTTAAACATTTTTTTATTCTATTTTGACTATTTGTTGGTATAGTGGCAACAGAAATACATCATCTGTGAAAATTTCAATTATCTAACTATCACGGTTCATGAGATACACCCATGATAACAGACGGACAGACAGACAGGAAGTCAGACAGACACACAGACAGACAGCAGTCTTAGTAATAGGTCTAAAAAAGTGTGTTCAAAAATATTGTGTGTGAAAAATATTGTGTTTTGAACATAGGATTTTTCCCGTGTCTGGGTGTTTATTTATATTTATAATATGTATTTATGTAATTGCTTAATTTGGGACTTGAGAACGTTGTGTAAAAATGTTTCCTAAATATTTATTTATTCGTCAATTGAAATAATGTAGTAACTATTAATTTATTAAAGTTGACTCTAATGAGACATCGTATCTCTTTCATTTCTACGCCGTGTAACAGTGAGAGCTGAGGCGTGCTGCTAGGTCGACGTATGTAAACGTGTGTGTGCAAAAAATTCCATGTTTATTATATTAATGTATGTATATTTGTATGCTTATCAAGAGGCACAATAAGTGAACTTGTATATTAGATTTCAGAGATTATGTATTACCGTATCCTTGCAAATAATAAACAAACATCTATTTATTTTTCGTAGTTTCTAAGTTGCTGCTGCGAGCACACGAGAATGGAAATTACCTTCACTTAATTCGCTTTTAAATGTGATTTCGTCTTTCTTATCGAGACTCAAAAGGCATGAAGGTGTTTCAATAAAATTCTTTTGATTTAATAAATACTGCAGTATTATTTGCACACACCTTTTTGTTGTGTAGCCGTAATGAATACTGGATATTCTCCATCAAGACTATCATTCAACGAAGCGTGGACACGTGTAGGGTAACCATGCCATTTGTCAGAGTCCTAGAAACAAAGTTTTTTTACATTCGTGAACAATTATGGTTAAATAAGTATACAATTTTTTTCTCTACTATTCCTTATATTTCAAACACTGCTTCCATTGCCATGGAGCAGCCGAAAGTTAATTTAAAAAAAATTAAGGGCATTAAACCTGTAAAATAGTTTCATGTATATAAAATAGTTTTATAAATAATAAGTAGAGACGCGCCGAATTGTCGATCGAATATGCGCTTACGATATATTCGCATATTTTATGTATTCGAGTACGTATCATCCGAATGTTCGGTTATTTTGCCGAATGATTACCGAATATTTGGACAGAATTATTTTAACATTTCCGCAAGTAAAATTATGAAAACAGAACATAGTATTTATAAAGAGTATTTGTATATGGCGATGAGTGACGCCTCATTCAAGCCACACACATCGCCATATATATAACATACAAGCCCTAGTAGTCATCATACACACATCTATAACAAGCATCTAGACGTGGCTCAGAATTCCAATATCATCAAAATAACTATACTTAAATATAGCACAATGGCAATAATTATGATAACTGAATTGTACCGATACCACACAATGAATGCTATAAAATATAGACTCAATGAATGATGATTCTAAAATCTAATGAAAAATTTACCCTGCATTACTTAATTGCAAACTACTTTCAAAGCAATATGACTGAGTGTAGGTCCAGAGAATAATGAGCAATAATGCAAGAAAGTTGAATGCCATAGATGAATACTGAATCTATCTACCCAATGACTCGGCACATATCTAAAAAAAATCAAACTTGCCCCAATATTAAGGTAATTGAAACCTTATATTAGTCCCTTAATACAAAATAAAGAATCATAAAGAAAGAGTTATTGTTTATCAAGAATGTAAATAATAATTCAAAAAAATAATTCATCCTTTAAAAATATATAGCTAAAATATATCCTCTATACCACCTCATCAAAGTCGAGTATTTGAGTAGTTGAGCTATTCACAGACACACTTATCAATGAGTCATATTTGTACCTGCAACAATAGAAATAAAAATTTATCTTTCTAGTAAATAATGCACTTTCTATAAATCGTCACATCTACTTTTGGTAATATTTATTCATTCATAACTTAAAATTTTCTTTCAAACTACACATAAAAGTCTACACACATACACAAAACAACCAGCTTAAGTGAAGTTCAACCGGTAATGAACATATACATGAAAATTTTAATTAAAATACCTCTTCTTATATACATCTTTTTTAAGTTTTATAGAATTGAAAAGTGGCTTATTTGACTTTGTGGGGATGTGGTGAAGCCCCCTGTAAGAGGGGGGGTGCGGAAATGTATAGTTTGTGAAATATATTAATTAAACTACCCTAACCTATGCAATGTTACTATGGTGATATTTATTGAGAATAAAGTTGTGGAGGTAGGGAAAAAATAACCACGAAGGCTAAGGTGCCTTAACCTTCTAACCTAATCTGTTGGATTGCTCTGAATTGGGCTGTCAACCATAATGATGACATCGAAATACTTAATCAACTTGAAAGACGATTAAAATATAATTTACCTCTGTTATATTTTCTATTTGTCTCTTTTTTTTTAAGGCAAAGATTTACCGTAAGCCAAAAATAATTTTACGGTCTGAAACTCTGAAATAACATGCGTTAAAAGATGATATAATCATTAAGTTGTCTCTTTCTTATGTTTTAGAATGTGAAACAATAGTGTTCTAAACGATTCCTAGTAGTTAACCTATAAAACTTAAAAAAATAATTTCTCGAAAATTATAAATTTCCGCAAGAAATCCTTCTAGTATTTACAATGACTTATTACGTATCTATTCAAATTAAAATTATCACGAAAATCGTGCGACCGTAAACTAAAGCAAATCCCCTACTTGTTCTAGCAATAATTTAATTTGAATAGTAAACAATAGCAGTACTTGTTTGTGAGCTCTTAAAATCTGTAGATATATAGATGAGTGATATGCGAAATATTTTATTCAAAGACGTGTACTCTATGCGTTAAAAGAATACTTTTTAACAATGTTTAAATATATTTAAAAAAGACATTAGAGAGCATGAATAAAATAAAAAAAAACTGCAATAATTGCAATAAGTTTTTACTTAGCTTAGCACAAAAACAAACGTCATCGATAGAACTAATGAATAGCGAAATGGTTCAAACTTACGTATTGTAAATAAAGTTTCTATGAGTCACATTTTCAAATTTAATATTATTCTGCGCTATAACAAATATTCTGTCTGTTGATAAACACCATAATAAGATTAACAAAAACATTGCCTCTTCATCAAAATATTACACTTGTCCTTGCTTAGTCAAATCAAAACCCAAGAGTAATTTATATATCAAAACAAACTAGATTAGCATGTCGCAAATCGTCCAGAATCGTAATTTGCTTTTCGCAAGTCGCAAATTTTTCAAAGTTAAATTGACAGATTATCTTTTTCTTATGTAGAATTTCGGATAACTGGATAAGGCACAAAGATTCTGCCAATATGCTGATTCAGAAATTGTTTAAGGTAAATTATGAACTTTAAACAAGAAGAATTTTATAAATAAGTACAATTAAACCTTATTTTAAAATATACAAGGCTTTTAAACGTCTTTTACAAATTCCTTCAAAATTATCCAAATCAATCAAATTCATCACGTAAAAACGTAATATAATTTTGCTACTTTTTAAAATTATATATAATAATTACTAATTACTTGGTTTACAATATAATTATTTTAGAAGACTAATAAATATTTTATATGGAATAACATTTTATCAGGTACGCAAATAAAATGAAATGTCATTTTTTTGAAATAGGTACTTAGGAAAATTAGATTACCTATGTATCAAAAACGAGAACAGGCCTTTTTTATACCAAACACTGTGACGCAATGTCAATCAAGTAGAATTGACCAATGACAAATTTCAATGTTACGTCATGCTGTACAGTAACCAATAAACTTTTAAAGTTTCTAGTCGTTTTATTAACGTAGTCGGCTGTATAAAACACAGACGTAGTAAATAAATTGAAAATGGCGTCGTTTTGCCGATCAAATGAGCTTGAGAATCATTTATTCTGTGTTGTCTTTTAAATAAAGTATCGTCAATTTTTTGTTAAAAAAACATCCAAAAGTACAAATTCTTTCAAAAACAATTGTGCAAAATAAGGAAGCTGTTAGGTTTCCGCAAAGATCGCGATGGTGATTTATGTAAAGTTGGTGTGATATCAAATGTTTACATGATTTGGGGGCAGGGCTGGGGGTCAAAATGCTGCCGACAGTGGAGGAGAGTCGAGGCTACGACTTCCAGGACCCGGAAAATTCAGAGAAGTGGCGAGGACTGTTCGTCAACTCGCTACGCAAGGTTTGTATACAATATGTCAGCATAAAAGTTACCTCATCCTAAACATTTATAAGCTTTATCTACCCGTGTTTGAATGAGAATACTATTTTTATGAATAATTAATGATATTAATAAAAGTTTAACCCTACATTGAAGGGATAATTTGGGTTTCTTGTGCAATATTCATGAAACAATCACATTTTTCGTGCAATTTTTTATATTGTATGTAATTTACGCAAATCATGCGACAAATAGTGACAGGTTGCGTTGAAATATATATTGTTTTTGAAATATTATAAAATTAAAATTAAGTAATATCTAAAGTTAAGGATAATGTTTTATGGTTATTGAATAACAGTATCTATTAAAAGTAACTTAAAACTTACCCATAAACATCAATACATGAGATACCTAAAATTGTCATCATTTTTATAATAATAGAAACCTATTATAGTATTAAATAATTCATTCAATTTCTTTGAATTCTTTGATGATAAGCAGTGATGACTTAACAGATACTAGGTTAAGATAAGAAGATTGTGGGTTTTAACCCTAGTGGTTTACTACAATGTGATTTTATTTTCTATGATTGATAACTATTAATGTAATAAATGTTACTGTAAACGACAGGTGTGTTTCCTGTTATTTTGTGAAACTAATTACTTAGGTAACTGTATAGAAGGTTCAAAAGCTGTGAAATTTTGTCCCTGTAGTCTTTAACCATTTCTCACATCTTGTTAACAACATTGTAAGATAGAAAAACCCAGACAAGTACTTGCGCACAGTTTTCCATACCATTATTTATTAAAACTGTGAAAAAATCACCACTTTATCTTTTTTTAATCTGTTTTTTAGTATTTGATGTTATATTGGCAACAGAAATACATCATCTGTGAAATTTTCAAGTGATAGTTAGATATCAGGGTTCGTGAGATACAGTATGGCAATAGACGGACAGATATACAGACAGCAGTGTTTTAGTAATAAGGTCCCAGTTTACTTTGGTGAGTGGAACTATAGAAATTATCCATATTTATTTGTATGGATAATTTTTATAGTTCTGCAATAATAATTTAATTTTTTTATTTTCCGCAATAATAATTTAATATTCATTTCTTACTTTATTCAGAAAACAAAGACAAACCCGCACAAATCTGTGCAAATAGGTATTATTCTTTATATCATACAGTTATTTTCAGTTATCTTTTGCTAATTTAATCTTTGAGAAATTTTGAATTAGGTGGGTAGACATTAAATCTGTTTCATTGTCAATTACAATTTGCTAATAAATAATACTAATTTTGCAGGAGAAAAAAATATTTTATTTTTGACAATTATACTTAGCAATGAGTAGAAAATATGCTATAGCATGTGAAGATAATAATTTTAAAGGTTTAGTCCAAGCCTTGTAACAGTATAAATTATCAAATTCAACCCTCACTTTGGACTGCTGTATTGTAGAAGCATTTTTGTGATGAGTGAGTTATCTATGGTAAAGATGGAAAAAGGCAGTTTTTCTTCAAGTTTAATGGGAAAACTGCAAATCCAATGCTATTTTGACTAAACAACCTACAATTTTGCATACTTCTCTATTAAAATAAGTTTTATTTTGCATTTTCCTTTATATACACAAATTTTTAGGTCTTGGAGACGGTGCATCCAACACTAACAGCAGAAGAGAGTGCGCTTGAATATGTTGAGTCACTCTGTCTCCGTTTGCTGGCAATGCTCTGTGCTGTCCCTTCTCCACTTACTGTCCAGGTACGAAAGTAAAATTTATAATACATTTATATAGTTAAAGCTAGACATATGTCAGTCTAGGCACCAGATTTTTATATAATTTTCTAAAAATAATAGAAACTTCATCTACTGTGTTTGAGAAAAAAAAGGGCATATGAATGGGCAGAGCTTATTATCAATAAAGATGTACTGATTCATGTTAACTTCTCATCTTGGTGTGAATTATACTGAATAATAAAAATAGAAATCAATTATATTATTCTACAATACTACTGTTTGTAGGTGTCATGGTGGTCATGGCGGGTTATTTTACTTTTAATTTCATTTACTCTAGCAGCATACTACAATTCTCGATACTAAGTAGAGTTAAATGGCGCAGTTTAATACCTGACTTTCATGACGACCATACATATAAGCCACAACACACTAATAAGAAAGACATAAAAAAAGTTATGGAAGATAATAATAATCTTTGTAATCAACTACATGGTATGAGCAGCAGATTAGCGTTATTAGACCAAGAGGCAGGCGATAGTTACGTTGAAATCTAGTATGTTCCTGATCATTAATCGTTTCTTGACCATCATATGCCAAATTGCCAAAACTTTGTCATTTGACTTAGAGGATAAGAATGTTATTAACTTATATGTGGCGGCAAAACTTCCACGTGATATTATCGTTAAATTATTTGGACCTCAAACACGTTACGAATTTTTGGCGGCCATACGAAATTTTAATAGGATTCGTGCGCCAAAACCAATTAAATACAAGTCACTTATGTTTAAATTATTATGGCATTTATTGTTATCTCCTTAACAGCAGATAGACAATTTGATATATCGATTTACAACGATAATTCGAACGCCATTGTTATCTGAAATTTAAATTTTCAAAGTGCTTACCGAACTCAAGCAATGATGCGCCAAGCATCGCTTCAAATGCGAAAAAACAAAATAGATAAAATACGTTAAGATTTTCGTCGGTGTGGTAATCAGCCGTTTATCTTAGTGGTTAAACCGCCTGGCCGCGAATCCGAAAGGGTTCGAGTCCCGCAGGGGTGAAAAACCTCTTACAATTTTACTTATTCTAGTGGTAGAACATCTTTCCCCTGACAGTAAAAGCTTCATACCACTAGGATTGCGGCGAAGGAAAAGGATATAAATTTTGTGTGAGTGTGTAATGGTCAATTCTAAGTGGAATTAATATCTTTCCAAACAAATTCTGTTTTTAATTTAGCTCTAAAATTATTAATTACGTTAATCCACGTAAATCTTCGTAGTTATATTTTTTTGTCAATAACAACAAGTTTGTCTTATGTTTTTTATCCACACGATATTATTGTTCAGTATGGAATACTAGAGGTCTAAGAACTACAGTAGATGATTATGACACTGCACTTCTTTGCAATGATTACGATGTGATAAGTATTACAGAGTCCTGGCTGAATAAAAACGACGAAATTTTGACGATGAAATTGTGGATCAAAGGTATAACGTTTTTAAACGGCATCGGCTACCATGAATAGCTCTAAAAAAGATAGTGGAGGAGTTATGTTGACTGTTCTAAAGAAAATTTTAACAATTAAAAATATTCCTACGAATCTGCTGGCGCGGTGAGGTAGTATGGCTACAAACTGCCATTTTTTGTCTGTTTTAACATCATATTCGTAATATTTTACGCGCTAATTTTAGTACTTTAAATTTAATGTTTAATTTCGTGGTACGAGCCCCCACAAGATGGATGCATTTGGCTCAGGATCGTACCACTAGGGCAGGTCTATGTCCAGTATTGGCCTCGAACAAGCTGAAATCATCATTTCGGCAATCGGTTAACATCAATAACATTTATCGGTGGTGGGGCCACCCAGCAGCCTCGGCTGTTTGCACGAATGGGCAGGCTCGTCCGGGTAAGTACCACGACCTCACAGAAGACCGGCGTCGCGTTTCGTCTAGTGAGTTAGGTAGCCGGAGCCTAATTTTCAAAAGGCTGTCAACGCATCTGCAACCCTCGGGTGTAGCAGATGTCCATGGGTGGCGGTGTTCACTTAACATCAGGTGAACCGCCTTGTCGCTAAGCCAGCGGAGTTAGTTAGATTATATTATGCGTTCCTAGGATGTCGAAGAACGGGTGGCGCGAACATTCCCCACGCCTTTGGACAAGTGGGCGTTGGCGGACGCCCGTGAGGCAGCAACGAGCCGTCGTCGGCGACTGCTTCTGCCCCTCGACAAGTTGCACCAACTCCTGCAAAAGGTACCATAACGTGAAATAGAATTCATTTACGTATTAAAAAGTTTGCTTAAAGCATTAACCTACCTAAAAAAAAAACAATAAATTAGAATGTTGCAATTATAAGTAAAAACTTTTATATTTCACCTTTATAAGTAACAGAAAATTATTCTTGAAATCATCATGAGTATAATACTTCGCGTAAGTTGAAATACTATTTTTTTATGATTACCTATATGAAAAAAATTGTCTTAGGGCTGTTGTAGAGCATTTGTGGAGCAAAAAAGGAGTTATTTCACGTTATTTTTTCGATCGTTTTATGTGCGGCAAGTCAATGTATGCATGTGGCTCAGGATCGCGCCTTGATAACAGTCCACGGGGAGGCCTAAGTTCAACAGCGGTCTCGGAAACGGTGAAATGGTGATGATGATGAAGATGATGACATTTTCGATCTCCACAGGAGGTGTTGCTGTACAAGATCGACACATCAGTATCGGTATTCATGACAGCGGTGCTCGAGTATGTTAGCGGGGACATCCTGAAGTTGGCCGGAACGTTCGTGAAGAAGATCTCACAGAAGTCCGGCTACCAGACCATAACTTGCAGTGACATTAAGACAGCGATGTGTGCGGACAAGGTGATGAATTTTATGAGAAATAATTGATGAGAAACACTGTTGTACGAATGGGCAGGTTAGTCCGGGTAAGTACAACGACCTCACAGAAGACCGGCGTAAAGTAGAAGTGTAACACTTCTGCGGTTCGTCTGGTGAGTGAGCTAGCCGGGGCCCACTTTATTTATGAGTGGTCACGCATTTGCAACCCTACGGGTGTTGCAAATGTCTATGGGTGGCGGTTATCACCTAACGTCAGGTGAACAGCCAGCTCGTTTGCCACTTTCTCACATAAAAAAAGATGTGATATATTTTTATTTTTTCAATAGTGGGTATTGAACTCGACCCACTGACAAAAGAGACAGGTCCACTAATAACTACGTGATACGGGCCATCAGCAGAAACATCCATATCTATCTCAAATTCCGAACCGTCTGGTCGCTTGGCAACTTCTCACATAGAAAAAAAATATCAGCTAAATTTTGACGTTCACGGCCAGGTGCTGATGGACATGTTCTACCAAGAGCCGGAGCTGCTGGCGGCCGGGGCGGCGGGCGAGAGGCGCGGGCGGCGGGGCTCGCTCACGTACGGCGAGCTGGTGCGAGATCTGCTAGCGGACGAGCGCCACTTCCTCCGCGACCTGCACCTCATCATACGCGTGTTCAAGGACGAGCTGGAGAAGATCCTCGAGAGGGACAGCCGCGTCAGTACTCGCCAAAGATCACCTACCCGCGAACAGAGCACGGCGATTTGACATCGGCCGCTATTAGCCCTCTTTAAATAACGTAACAGCCGGTTGAAAAAAATAATCTGGTGAAAAATGCCAGTAATCCGGTTAAAAATCTCTTATCAGCAATACTCTCGATCGTACTCGAAAGTATGTTGCGTTAGTTGATCTTATCAAACCAATCCTCAATATAAAGTCAATACAAAAGGACAGTTAATTTGGCAATATACTTGCTATCTTTATCTATTTCTGTTTTTAATAGAAGAAGCAGTGTAGATAAAGGTAAAGCAGGTGCATTTACTTCTATCATCATATTACTGTGTTTCAACCATGCACCAACCATCTTTTGCTGTTACACTAATGATTAATTAATTTAACTGTGGTAGGGCGACGCAACAGTATTTGTTGTTGCACCAATGGGCACCTGAACATTTGTGCAACAGTGATCACATATATACAGCATAACTGATTGTGATACTAACCCGGACGGACCTACGTCTGGGTTAGTACCATGATCAGACTTAACATAAACTCTAGAGCTTATTTGTTACATTCTTTCACAGGCAATATCATTGATATTCGGGAACATTGTGGACATTTACGAACTGACTGTGACCCTGCTCGGCAACCTGGAGGATGCAATGGAAATGTCTCAGGACTCACCTACACCGTACATAGGCAGTTGTTTTGAAGGTAATTGATTAGATTCCATTTGATAACTAATTTTTAACCTGAATTTCTGGAGTGTTGCGTTCAATATTTTTTAATTATAATTTTTTAACCATAATTCATAAAATGTTAAAATTATTTTTAACTACACTTTTATTAATACATAATTATGTCCCACTGTTACATAAAGGCGTCTTCTTGATAGAGGCTTTTAGGGCGTAGTCCACGAGGCGGTCCAATACGGAATTGACGGAATTATCAAATATTTTAAATGTTATTTTGCGTATTCATTTTGTTCATAGTACGTAAATATTTTTGTGCTTTATTTTTCAAAGGTTCTGTACCATGGTAAATCAATAATTAAAATTGCAAACAACAATTTCATTGATCAATTGAACGTAAAAACGTTCGGGATTTGAATTTTGGTTGTGACTATAGCGAATTAGTAACGAGCGCTCACTGAGTTGCTCGGACTCCAATACCTAACAATATTATAAAATGTGTAGGCAGGACAGAGGGCGATTTTTCATCTCTACCCGCAGTCCCGAACGTCACCCCTCTAATATGTATGACTCCGTGGCGCAGTTCCAACGTATTGGCTTGCGCGCTGGGGGTCTTGGGTTCGATTTTCACACGAGACAACAATTTGTGTGACTCGCAGATAATAATTGTTACGGATCTAGGTTTTAGTCCACATGAAATTTATGTATGTAAAACGTCCTTACAACTCAGGGTACAATAAGCGAGTAATGTTTTCGAAGCGAAGACTACAATAGATCTTTCTAGGTCGCAGTGACGAAACCCCTTCCACAAAAAATACAGTACACATCTCTAATACCTACATACTGTTATCTGAAAGAACTTCAGAAGCGCCTATACGTAAACGATGACTTCATCCTGACTCTTTTCATCCTTGAAGAGCTAGCAGAAGTGGAGGAGTTCCGCGCATATGTCCGATACGCGAACATCGTGACACGAAAGGAGTCACGAGAAGCTCTGCAGAATATTGTCGACGATCCTGTTGTGAGTACAACTACAGAATTTTTTCGTTTTCATCAAAAACATCTCTACAATCAGAGAATACCGTTGCCCCCTCCCGTGCATTTTAAAAAAACTTAATACAAATTTTAATTTTAATGGCAAAAGCGAAATCTCTCGTTCGAATTGTCGTTGCAAAAAGTTATTTGAAATTGTTTGTGTGCTGTAAAGGGCTTAAAAAAAACATGCGCCACGTAATGCTTAAAATGCTAAAAAAATACAATATAGATAAAACACGTTGAAATTTTCTTAACCTTTGTAGTGGGAAAGTTGTTCTTATTATTACTACATTACACGAAATAAATAAGTTAATACCACTATTTGTTTTACCAATAATTTGAAGGTATACTTATTTATCGCGTTAACAGTTCCTGTTATATTTCGAAGAAATAATGCAAGCGGAACCGCGGATACCTAGGAAAAATTTAATCAATTCGCTTTCGTCATTCCGTCTGATAAGTACGTAAGTGCTTTCAAGACAAGGTACTTATTAAGTGCCGTGTTTACTACAGATAGCATAGAACAGGCAGACTAATAAAAAATACTTTAAAGACTTAGAAGCGATATTTTTTTATGTGAGAAGGTGGCCAATGAGCTGGTGGTACATCTGATGTTAAGTGATACGGCGCCCATGGACGTTTGCAACACCCACTTTATTAAAAGGTTGCAGATGCGTTGCCACCTTTTAATAAAGTGGGCTCCAGTTAACTTAGACACCAGTATAACACTTCCACTTCACTCTGGTCATCTGTCAGGTCACAGTACCTCCCGGTCGGTTCTGCCCATTCGTGCAACAGCGAAGACTGTTACTTGTCCCTACCACAGTTAATACTTGTGTCAACTCATTTCTAGTTGTCGGAGAGGTTGGACACAGCTGGTCACGGATTCAGGTTGGCGGTCAAGTACTACCTGCCCAAGTTGCTATTGGCGCCTGTGGCCCACGTGTTCCTCTACCACAATTACGTGTTGGCTCTCCTGCAAATCGCACCCGCCTCTGAAGACCGTGAAAGCTTTAAACAGGTGGGTCCATTCACTTTTATGTCACTGCGGTAACTGTCAGAATTATATTGTCACTGGCAAAAGTTACAATTAAAACCAATTATATAGTAAAGAAATCCAAAGAGGTCAATGTGTATGCTAAGTCATTTGTGTTTCCTTTTATTTTCAGGTTGAGTGCAACCTTCATCCCATAAAGAAATTGTTAATGAAAGCACTTGGAAATGGACCAAAAATGTAAGTTTTGAAGAATTGCCTTATATGAAATGGAATATCTCTTGTGCGTAATGTATTTTTACAAATGTGTTCGAACATACATGCAATCAGATATAGTAACAATTTGCTTCTCCATTGTAAGCCTTATTATCAGCGACATAAGATACAATAGATCTTCTACGTCGCAGTGGTCGTTCAGATTTACTACCCAACCGTTCCCGCACAGATTATAAAAAAAACCGACATTCTGCAGGGAGGCAACATTACGCACGGCCGCGAGAGCGAGACGGCAACTGGCCATAGAGAAGTGCAACGAGCTGGCGAGGCTGGTCGACAATTGGGACAACAGAGACGTTGGCCAGTGGTGTAATGAGTTCATTCGGGGTAAGATTAACAGACAGTTCATAGTCATTTTTTTTTCATGGACCAATGAAGCTGATATTAATGTAATCTACTTTTAATTATGATAGTATTGTTACCATAATAGATTTTTCAACCCAAGCGATTCAAATCATAGTATTGTAATCAAATGATAGTATTGTATTGTAAATGCATCATGATGTGTGTGAAAAATCCCAAATTATTTGGATATATGAAATGCATGCATGCATGAAGGGCATGAAATTTTAAAAACATAGAAATTGAAATATTGGTAGTAACAATATACATTGTCCTAAGTGCTTTAAAGATGAATTGTTCTTTAATTGTGTTGAATGCGTTAATTATTGCACTGCATTAAAATGCGTTAATTATTTTTTTAAACAATGCTAGTGCACCAGTTGGAAATATTTCCGAGTTGGATAAGTTAAATGTCAGATAATGTGGCGAGAAGATGTTATACTCTGTGGATACTTTGTACATTTCAGAAGTTTTGACCAACAAGTTGTTGGTCTGTACCCTGCTCAATTAGAACTTCATAGTGTCATTAAAATTCCGTCAATATTGGTAAAAATTTTAAACTTTTCTTTTTAGAGGACACGCTTTCAAAAATTGGACCGGGTAAAAGGATAGCAGAACGCAGGGCGTATCTCTTCGATGGCTTACTACTGCTCTGTAAGCCTATAGCGAGTTTGGTGAGTTGTCAGTGTTAAAGTGTCAAGGTACATAAAGAAAAATGACTGCTGGTGACAGGTGACAACTCGTTCTATTGTGCTTTTTTTTATTTTAAGGTGGCAGTGAACAGCAGTGGCCTAACAGCCGGCGGTAGCGGCGGGCAGCAGTTGAAGCTCAAGGAGAAACTACACGTTCGGAAACTGGAACTGGTCGATAGACCCGATACTGATGGCATGTATTGAGCTCTTTACTTTTCCCAAACAAAAAAATATGTATAGGTAAGAAAATAAAAATAACTAAACTTTTTATCCAGTGTGCCAGTACTCTTTTTTTGTGGTAAAGGACATTAAATGTAATTGATAACGGTTTAATTAGACTTGGAATTATATGTAAATGTGAAAAAGTTGCTATTGGTCGCTATTAGGTTTGGTGCATCGTAAAAATTATTCCAAAACGCGCCAAAAGATGTATAACTTCGAAAACGAAACATTGATGCTATTTTAAATGTGCTATAGTAGTAGCTATGGGAAGAAAATTTATTTCGTAGATAGGTGAAGGCTCCCAATCACCAATAGAGCCCCATGGCTGATCATATCCTAATGTTCTCTGCAAAGAAGAGACCTCTGCTTAAAATTGGGGCATGAATAGTCAAACTTCAATGAGCTTTAATATGTAGGCATATTTATATAATCGACATGTATACGTTTCTACAACAAAATCCCAGAAAATGTTCTAATTGAATCAGTTACTGAATTCAAAAAACTTGTAAAGGGATGTTTGTGCGCTAAAGGCACTATAATATTATTGTTAATTATTCAAATGATTACATAATTGAAATGAATTGACAGCACAAGGTAAAAGTGGAATCTAATATGTTGTATACATTTTTGTTATTTTTTTTTAATTGTGTTAAAAAATCGTCCCATTTTCTTTCGCCGGTCCTTCTCAGTGGTTTTTTTCCGAACTAGGAGTGTTTTTTGACAATCAATGAGTAAGTGTAATGCTTCTATATAAAATAAAGATATTTGAATTTGGTTACGATAACACATTGGTGGAGATAATAAAAGCGTTTTGATTACACAATTATATTAAATGTTAATTTCGTGTCTTTCAGAGGGCCGTCACATGGTGGAGCTGTGCCCACGCGTGGGCCCACCCGTGCTGCTGGCGGCCGCCTCCTGCGCGGAGAAGCGCAACTGGATGTGCGACCTCGTCATGCTCAACACCAAACCCATGCTGGACCGCAGCTTGGACAGGTAAACTGACAGAATAGGCTCAAGTTTATCTGTATAGAATATTATACCTTTATAAGTGACCTCTGATTTGGGGACTTCAGTTTTAGTTAATGTTAGGTCGGCGTTCGCAATCTGTTCTTTTTAAACATCGACAAGACATTCTAACAATTATAATTATATATATATTTTTTAAATATTACAATTATACTTCAGAACTGGAGCTTTATCTAAAAATATTCCACGCGTCCTTACATGTATGTTATTGTTTATTTTTGTTAATCATCTTTTTAAAAACATTGCCCTTATCTTAGGATAACATTATCCTGTGTTGTAAGGACCATATACAAACATAAATTTCACGTGAATAAACACCTAGATGCGAAACAATTATTTGTGGGTCACACAAATAGTTGCCCGTGTGGGAATCGAACTCACGACCCCCGACGTCGAAGCCTGCCTGGTAACTGCGCCACGGAGTCCCGTTTATTTAATTTAATGAGCAAAAATTACACCTGTCACATTTGGTGCTAAATAAGGTCCATGTATCGTTATCAATACCGTACATCTTAAAGGAGCGTGTGTGGTTTCATTGTTTTTTCACTTCTCAGCGAGTCCTGTATGACACGAGTTCGCTCTTAATTACAGCATCCTGCTGGACCTGGAGAGGCGGCACCCTTTGAAACTGCCACCAGTGCACCTGTACCGGTTCGCCGTACCAGACTCACCGGACAACATCGTACTGGAGGAACGAGCCTCGCCCAACACCTCACCCGTACCGCTGATCAAGGTGATACCAGACTTTTGTTCATTGAGTTTCGTCTCCTTTAATCTTTATGTACATAATCTTATCCTTTAAACGAGCAATTCTTGTATATATATATAGATATATATATATATATATATATATATATATATATATATAATTGGAATCTCGGAAACTGCTCCAGCGATTTTCATGAAATTTAGTATGTGCGTAGATTCGGGGGCGAAAAATCGATCTGACTAGGTTTCATTTTTAGAAAATGTCGTTTTATCCCAGTTTTCAGGGAATGAAAAATATTATTCGAATACGACGGTAAATTACACTGAAAAAAAAAAATGTTATAATAGCTCGGTCGGTAATCGGGCGGCCGCTAACAAACAGCCACGAAACAGAAGGCCGTGGTTCGTATCACGATCATTTACACACTTATTTTTTTCCCTTTTTTTTTAAGTTCTTTCTTTTGTGAAAAACAACAGTTCATATTTTCTTATTATTACGTCGGTAAGATCGAAACATATTATGAATATTTCATTACTTAGTAATTTGTATCTAAACGTAATTTCCAAAATACACAATTTACTAAAAAAAAAAAACAAACCGAGCAAAGCTCGGTCCTCCAGGTACTTCTTCTTCTATAAGTGTGTATGTCACTGGACTCCTAAACGGCTGGACCGATTTTAATGAAATTTTGTCTGTGGCTTCAGGTTGATTCGAGAATGGTTTAGATTCACAATTCGGTCCACTAAAATTTTCTTATTATATAAATAACCAAACAAAATTAAAATTTATAAATAACCAAACAAATATTGATCCATTTCATACCTCACCAGCAGTTGCCACGGCACTCCTTACCACTTTGTTACATAAAAAAAAAAAAAAATATTAGTTTTACTGTTATATTTTTTCCATAATTATGTTAATGCCATTGTACTCATGTGTCTTTTTATTCCTTGTATTTATTTATTTTCTATAGTACCTATTATTATTTAAGATTTCTAAATGTGAAAACTGAAACATCAAATGAATTACTTGCGTTGCCACCTTCTCCTTTGACATACAACAAAATGACTTGCATAAAATTATATAATGGGCTCTTTTTTCATACAGGGGGCAACACTTCTTAAACTAGTGGAGAGACTAACTTATCACATCTATGCGGATTTGAACCTGGTGCGCACCTTCCTCACCACCTACCGCTCGTTCTGCTCCCCCAGCGAGCTGTTGGATCTGTTGATAGAGCGATTTCTCATACCGGAACCCAGCGAGGTGTATGATGCACCAAGAACAGGTATTTTGATAACGAGTGTACTCTCAGTTCTAGAACGCTTCCTTTTTTTTTATTTCATACCTTCCTTATTTTAATATTTAGTTATATGTTCACCGAATGAATAATTTATATATGCAATAATAGTCTTAAGTTTATGATTTGGTAGTTAATTTGGATGCTTAAATGGGACGAATAGGCCGAATACCGAAAATAGACGAAGGGTCGAGGCATATCTCATCTACTACTACAACTCTACTACTCTCTACAACTACTAGTAGTAGAGTTGTCAACTACGCAGTATACTATGGTCATTTTTTTATGTGAAAAGTTGCCAAGCGAGCAGGCGGTTCACATGATGTCAAGTGACTCCTCGATGACTCTGTGGCGTAGTTGCCAAGGTATTGGCTTTGGTGTCGAGGGTCGTGGGTTCGATTCCCACACGGGTCAACTATTCGTTTGACCCACAGATAATTGTTCCGAATCTGGGTGTTTGTTCGCGTGAAATTTATGTTTGTAAAACGTCCTTACAACACAGGATAATGTCCTAAAGTAAGGGCAATGTTTCTAAAATAAAAAAATAATAAAACAAGAAAAAAAAAGTGACTACCGCTACCCATGGACATCTGTTACACCCGAGGGTTGCAGATGCGTTGACAAACTTTTGAAAATTGGGCGCCGGCTACCTCACTCACTAGACGAAATATGAAAGTATTATACTTCCACTTGACGCTGGTCTTCAGTGAGGTTGTGGTAGTTAACGTGCAACAGCCGAGGCTGCTGCGTGGCCCTACCACTGTAAGACTTAATGACTATAACTATGGTAATCACTTAGCGTTAACAGAGTGTCAAAACTGTCTCTTTAATATCTTAAATTACGTTGAATGGGGTACATATTTAACATGCGATAAATTTTTGTGCACGCAAGTCTCAAGGACCAAGCCTCTGAAAAAAGACATTAGTCCTAACTCATCTTTGCTGGACCTTGAAATTGGTAATGTATTGCGTTTTTGAAATGCCTTCTTAGTATCAGTACATCTTATATTAGACATCTTATGTGAAATAATTTTGACATGTAGGAGAAAGAAATGTGTGTAACATATAGCGATCTATTTTTCTATGTTCTCTACCAGCAATGTTCACTAAACATTCCACTGCAGCAAAATCCACTATGATGGAATAACTGTTCATTCCTAGTCTTTAGAAATTTACAAGATTATAAATTTATAATTCAAAGTAGATTTTGCAAAGGAAACATTGGTGTTGTGAAACTAGTAATGTTTAATAGCAATTTTGTTTCCTTTAATGTCCTGTACAGACTGTGTGGAGAGCACGGCGAGCAGTGACGCAGAGAAGTTGAGCAAGAACACGGCGAGGGAAGATTGGAAGAGGTACAGAAAAGAGTTTCAGCAGCCGGTAAAGTTCAGGTACGGAATGAAACGAAAACTTGCTGCTACCTCTACACTTGATGAAACATTAAAATTTGTAGAGAAAATATACTAAAGGTTTTCGAGAAAAAAATTCTAACCCATGTCTTCCGGATTCACGCCCAAATGCTTTAACCACTTAGCTAAACGGAATTTTATCTAAATTGTTTTTATTTTTCACAATTTAGGCAATGCTTGTTAGCTTGGTAGCTATCCTGATAGCTATAAGCCGTTCGCGTTAAGAAAGTAGTGAGTTAACATTCTATGCGAGCCTAGCCGCACCCATCGATCTTACCCAAAATTATAAAGTGAAGTTCACAGTGACTAGTTAATAATTAACTTCAGCGAACCATAAACGACAACTCTATAGAATATATCAGATTAAACTTCATCTGATCTCGGAAACTATCTTTCCAACGGGTATTAGATAATGCGTCTGTTAATACAAAATACAATCTTGGGACTGTAATAAAAAGTTGTACTACCCTGTTGTGAAAGAAGTTATGAACGAATATTAATTTGTATTATAATTTACAGGGTGATAAACGTGCTGAGACATTGGGTCGACCAGCACTTCTACGACTTCGAACGCGAACCTGCACTGCTGGAGAGGTTGCGGGAGTTTTTGGAGTCCGTAGACGGAAAGCCCATGAGGAAATGGGTGCAGAGCGTTCTCAAAACGGTTCAGAGAAAGGTGATTTTATCCAACTTAAAGTGATTTATCCAACTTATAAATAACTTCTTACTATTATAACTAACTAAATAACTACTTACTAAACTTATCCAACTTATAACTAAAGGTGATTTCATCCAACTTAAACTATTTAACCGATCTATCTAAAGCAAAACCATAGTCTTACAAGCCGTTCATTGGATTTCGTTTTATGTAATAATTACAACACCACCAGTTACAAAAAAAAATGGGAGACTGTAATTACAAGTAAAATATACAAGAATAATATGACACACAAGATATAAATAAGCTGAGAAAGATAAAAACGGAGAACCCGTCGAGAACGATTTTAATTCGAATTAAAGGCTGCATGCTCGCCATCTAACGTAGGAACGATTCGCAGAGCGGGCAGAGCGAGCTGGAGGCGGGCGGCGGCGTGGCGCACGTGTTCGACCGCGCGCCGCCGGCGGTGCTGCGCCACGTGGCCGAGCCCGAGCGCCACGCGTGGCACCCGCTCGCCCTGCACCCGCTCGAGTTGGCGCGCCAGCTCACGCTGCTCGAGTTCCAGCTGTACCGACAGGTGGGCGCCGCCCTTTTCTTTTTTTTTAAATCAAACTTCTAATGCGACTTCCGACACGGTTGCGTGGAACGTTTAACACTACCGTGGAGGGGATACGAAAGCACTGTTGCGTTAAACGTTTAACGCTACCGTGGAGGGGATACGACAGCACTGTTGCGTTAAACGTTTAACGCTACCGTGGAGGGGATACGAAAGCACTGTTGCGTTAAACGTTTAACGCTACCGTGGAGGGGATACGACAGCACTGTTGCGTTAAACGTTTAACGCTACCGTGGAGGGGATACGACAGCACTGTTGCGTTAAACGTTTAACGCTACCGTGGAGGGGATACGACAGCACTGTTGCGTTAAACGTTCAACGCTACCATTGAGGGGATACGACAGCACTGTTGCGTTAAACGTTCAACGCTACCGTGGAGGGGATACGACAGCACTGTTGCGTTAAACGTTCAACGCTCCTGGGGAGGGGGAGAAGAAAGAGACAGAGCGAGAGTGAATGCGTGCCACTCGGAAGATTCAGTTCCGCGCGAAGGGACTCTACACACTATTTTATGTGAAAAGTTGCCAAGCGAGCGGGCGGCTCACCTGATGTTATGTGAATAGTTGCAGATGCGTTGACAACCTTTTTGAAAATTGGGCTCCGGCTACCTCACTTACCAGACGAAACGCGAAAATGTTTGTCATACTTTCACTTTACGCCGGTCTTCTGTGAGGTCGAGGTACTTACCCGGACGAGCCTGCCCATTCGTGCTGCGTGGCCCTACCACATTTATTTTGCTCAAGAACAGTGGCGAGTGGCGGTCACCGGGGCTGTTAATACCACAGCATGTCCAGTGGCATTTCTCCGTCGAAAAAGATGATCGATATGTGCAATTTTGTTGCCTGTTACCGGCCACCGTACTTATTTTACTGTTTACACTCAACTTTAGTCTGTAAGTTAATTTTCATTGTACACACCTACCTATTTTTCCCTTGATTACATTCCCATACAAAAGTATAGTCACTGTCCTTTCAAGTAGAACTTTCTTTAATTTTTGACAAAATCTATATTTAACAGGTGAAACCATCAGAGCTTGTCGGCGCGGTTTGGACCAAAAAAGACAAGGACAAAACTAGCCCAAACCTGCTTCGCATAATAAAACATACAACCAATGTGAGTTCTGCTTACACAACTTAATATCATTATTACAAACTAAAGTTATATATGTCAATATCACTTTATCAGCAATATGACCGAATGTAATTATGTATACACTGATTACCTTTTAAATAGTTACTTGAAGTTACATTTTACTTTATTATATCTTTTATCAAGTGCATTTTTTCCAGTGTCATGCAGCAAGTAATGTCTTCTACCCTTTAATCTCACGTTCCGACACCAACTTATGCGTACGACGACGGGTTTATGCATGCTCTCCTACATGTTGATAACAACAATCCCTATGGGTTAACTCCCACACTATTTATCATTTAATACAATCAATGCGATCAACGGTAGTATTGAATATCAGTTCTGTCTCAAGAATAACAGTGAGCGTTAATGTAATACAAATGTGCTTGATCTAAAGTAATCAAAAAAATTAGATAACGCTAAACAAAACACTGTTACAAATTCACTAAAAAAAGTATATGACATCGAACTTTACGCGGTGAAGATGTCAACCGCTTAGCTTAGTATAAGTTAAGTTCTAATCCCGGCAACGGCAGAAAACTTTGCGTCGATCTCTTCTACATGTTTTTAAATGCAAATGGATTTTGTGGATTTTAATCGATACCCCCATTGCCTCCAGTTCACCAGATGGATGGAGAAGTGGATAGTCGAGAGCGAGAACCTGGAGGAGAGGGCAGCAGTGGTGTGCCGGTTCCTCGAGCTGGCGATAGCGCTTCGCGACCTCAACAACTTCAACGGCGTGCTGGCGGTGGCGGCCGCCTGTGGCAGCGCTTCGGTCCATCGGCTGAGGGCCACCTTCCAGGTACCACCGGACCAAGGCCATAGTCCCTATTTAGCGCTCCGCACCCAGAGGGTAAAATGGGACCCTATTACTAGGACTTCGCTGTCAGTCTCTCTGTCTTACACCAGGCTGTATCTCATGAACCATGATAGTTAGACAGTTGAAATTATCACAGATGCTGTACTTCTGTTGCCGCTATAGCAACAAACACAAAAAAACGGGATAAAAAATATTTAAGTGGAGCTCACCAGACGAAACGCAGAAGTATAACAATTTCACTTCATGGTGGTCTTCTGGTAGTTCGTGGTATATCCCCGGACGGAAGTTATGTTTACAGTCATCCCAGGAGATACTTACGGGATTCGTCTCTTGCCGTCTCATTTTCAGGGCAGCGGTGCAACTTCGCTCTCTGTTCCGCTTCAAAAACACTTTGGCTTACATTTGCTAACAAACTTATTATTCAGTTTTTCGAACACGTATTTTTTTAATATTAGGTTATTCCAATAACTGACAATTCAGTTTTTGCACACGGCAATCTTTTCGCAGATCTCGAAAAGCTTATTTCGCTCGGTAATTTCCACGACACTGTATGGTGGTCTATTACACTTATGTTACATAACTGAAATAACTCGTTGGTGCTGTAGCTAACCTATAGAATTCGTCGTCCGGAGTAGTGGATTCAATTCCCACACGGCACAAGAATCAGAGACCCACCGATAAATCAGCTGAATAGAGCTGAATAGAGCTGGCTCACCTAGGCAGAACAAGAGTAGGAGTTATGATGATGGTGATTTACACTAACCATAGGCCACATTCCTAGAGAAAAATATTTTATTAACTATTTAATAAGATTCTATTGAATAATCATATTTGTATTAACATTATTATTCCAGATGGTGCCTCTAAGGCTTATACGCGCACTGGATGAGTTTCGGGAACTGAACTCGGACCATTTCCGAAGATACCAGGAACGGTTGCGGAGCATAAACCCGCCCTGCGTGCCCTTCTTCGGCATGTACCTTACCAACATACTGCACATTGAAGAGGGAAATCTCGGTAAGGAAAAACGCAGTTTTAATTAATCTATGCAGATAAATAAAATTGGAGTGTCTGTTTGTAATATTAAAATAACGGTTTTTTACTAAAATGCATATGGATTTATACACGGTGCATATACCAAAATATTTTTTTTTACAATTTTTGTCTGTCTGTCTGTATGTTCCGGCTAATCTCTGACATTCACTGGTAGATAGCTGATGTTATAAGGAGTAACTAAAGCTACTTCTATTATTAGAAATTTTATTTATGTTAAATTATACGCGAAGACACGAAGTCGCGGACACAGCTAGTAACAAATAAAGTGTGGTTTAGTTACGTCCAAATTTTAAATAGAATGTTACAGATGTTGAACAGTTAGTAATAATTTCAGTTAAATACACGAAATTACCCAAGGATATATTATGCATGAATATATAATTACATTGTTTGTATTTTTTCAGATTTTCTTCAGAATTCGGAACTGATAAACTTCTCAAAGCGTCGCAAAGTTGCGGAGATAACGGGCGAGATTCAACAGTACCAAAATCAACCCTACTGCCTCACGATAGAGCCTAGGACGAGGGTAAGAGAAGTTTTATTAATAAAAAAATTTCCTTTATTAACATTTTACAGAGTACTACATAGAAAAAAGTTTATTTAAATAGGCCTTCGTAACTTAACGTTCTTTGCTCTTTCAATGTCTCTGGTTTTCTGTTTTGTCGTTAGCTAATACAGATGTAAATTCACTTTAATCTTTCTGTAAGTTTCCTATTTGATGTTGCAGGCATTTCTAGAATCACTGGACCCTTTTCCGGGTATGGATGACAAGGACGTGACGAACTACCTCTACGCCAAAAGCTTGGAAATCGAACCTCGACCACCTGTGAAGCAAATGCCTAAATTTGTAAGTATTTGAGATACTTATTTATTAATATACGATTAATTCTCATAGACTTTTAAGTTATATACATTACTCACTGTTTTGCATTAGTGAACCCTTGTATATTTTACATTTTAAATAATTACTTTTGAATATGTTATAAATTTTATAGTATGGTTACTGAAATAAACTTAATGTTATTATTATTATTACAGTTATGATTGATGATACAAAAGAGTAAAATGAGTTTTATACTTTTTTCGAACGTTTGCATGTTTGGTCCTTCAAGCCGGATTTGGATTGATGACATTATGGAGGCGAATCGGTGGGGTAAAAATGCGTTTAGATGTATGTATATTGATGAAATGCGAGAGAGATGTTCAGAGACCATAGAAATTGGAATCTCTGCCGACCCGCGTGGAGGAGTGGCGTGAACCTTTGTGCTTTCATATGTTTTGGGTATTATTGTTTTGCTGTAAGGCGTCTTAGGCTAGAATGGTGAAGATGTTTGAAGGTTTGTAAGGAGATAATAATAGAAGTGAGTAAAGAGAATGAGATATAATACTTTATATATCATAGTTTTGCTGTGACGCGTCTTAGGCTAGAATGCACATGATGTTGAAGTTTTGTTTAGAGTATTAAGTATCATTGTTTTGCTGTGAGGCGTTGTAGGCTAGAATGATGACGTTGAAGTCTTTTGTTTTGCCGTGAGGCTTAAGACTAAGACTAGAATGGTGATAGTGTTGAGGTCGTGTTTTTTTTTATGGGTTAAGTTGCCAAGCGAGCGGACGGTTCACCTGATGTTAAGTGAATACCGCCGCCCATTGACGTCTGCCACACCCGAGGGTTCCAGATGCTTTGACGACCTGTTGATAATTGGGCTCGTCGTGTTAAGAGGAATGCGTTGCTCCACAGCCGCGCCGCTATCCGGAACTGTCCCTGAAGCCGGTGAAGGTTTCGCGGAGGTCCCACGACGCTGGTCACCACTCCGCCTCCAGCGCGTCCAGCACCGACGACAACCTCAGTGAGCTCCAATTTCGCCCTTTCATGAAACTCCTAGACTCTGCGCAGCATACGCTAGGATCCGACGACGCAGGTCGTGGGTTCGATCTCCGCGCGCGACAAGTATTTGTGTGACCCACAGATGACCGAGTAATTAATAGACGCGACGGCTGAGAATCTATCGCAGTAATCGAAAGCTAAGTTTTGTTTTTTAATTTTGTAACAATCTTAGTGAAAAAATAATTTTATAGTCACATTATTCTAATGCCACTCTTATCCAAACCTAATTAAAGATTGTGCTCCCTTATAAGCAGTTGATTCGATAGCTTTATTTTAAAGTGATTTTATTTGAAAATATATATGTTAGCTGGATTTTTAGTAGGTTTAGTGATTTCTGTTGTTTCAAATGAATTAAAAATGTTGATATATTTTTAGTACTATTTATCTAACAAACGCGGTGCGGAGGTTACGCTATTTGCCAGAAAAGAACCGGCCTTATCACCAACAACTCATAAACCTAATCGACGATTATGTAAATTACTTTATGTAATCACATGTTAAGATACAATTATGTAATCGCTTTTGTGGTCACAGGTGTATCGCAGCTCTCGCCTACGGGCGGGGGAGCGTGGGACGGCGCCTCAGTTGCCTCTCTACAACTGCACCACGACGACAAAGGTATGTGGCAACCCTAACGTAGCTTTTACTTTGGTAGGGCCACTCATCTGGTATATGGCAACCCTCATGTGGCTTTTAATATGGTAGGGCCAGTCATCTGGTATATGGCAACCCTTATGTGGCTTTTACTATGGTAGAGCCACTCATCTGGTATATGGCAACCCTTATGTGGCTTTTACTATGGTAGGCCCAGGCATCAGGTATATGGAAACCCTTATGTCATATCTATTGTGGTAGGGCCACGCATCAGCTTCTGCTGTTGCACGAATGGGCAGGCTCGTCCGGGGAGGCATCACGGAACCCTGGCGTGTACTTGAATTTATGAAGATGGAACCTATTTTAAACCGAGGGTTTATCAATCTATTTTAACAGATTTATCACGTTTAAATAAAACTAATCTCATTGTTACAAATGATCGGGAAGGATGCATTTGGCTCAGGGTCATGTTTCGTGGTTGTCTATGCCGCAGGCCTATGGTCAGCAATGTAGTCAAAAAGGCTAAAATGTAAACTGTGGTAGGGCCATTCAACAGTTCGGCTATTGCACAAATGTGCAGACCACAACCTCACATAAGACCTGCGTGGAGTGGAAGTGTTACACTTCTACGTTTCTGGTGAGTGAGGTAGCTGGGGCCCACTTTATTAAAAGGCGGCAAGGGATCTGCAACCCTACATACGTGTTCAAAATGACCATGGGGGGCGGTGATCACTTAACATCAGGTGAACCGCCGGCGTTTGGCACCGCTAACGTACACAAAAGGTCGACGATGATGCTGACGAAGATCATTTCTCCGGCAGGTTCCCGTAGCGAAGAGCGCGGCTCGCTGACCAGCCCGCGCCTGGAGCGGTGCTCGAGCAGCTCTCTGGGCCAACTGGGCCAGCTCAGCCTCTTCGACAAGGGCCTGGCGCTCTTCGACAAGAGCAAGTCCACGGTCGTCCTGAACGCCAGGTGAGCGCGAGTCCAGTGGAGGGGGTACTACCATTTTCGGCTTTACCTTTTTTTTTTTAATATCTAAAGTTCTCAGTCGAGCAGTTTATCTGATGTTAAGTGAATACCGCCGCACGCAACTAGATGCAGTAAGACTAGAGAAGTTCCGCTCTGGACAGGTCTAGTTAAGCGAACCGGTGGTAGTTTCTTGACGTTCATCGAGGGCTTAAAATAAGCCTGTACTTAATAAAGAAATTTTGACTTTGACTTTGAAACTAGTATTATCACGTGCTAAACGATGAAGAGAAACGTTTTAAGAAAACCTGCATATTTTCGAGGTCACATGGTGAAATATGCTCTAACTCCCTCTCTACAGAAGTGGCCTAGCAGTTGGATATATGTATATATATATGTATTATAATCCGTTGAAACTGCCTACCCTTCTGAGTTTCAAATTTATTACACTTAGCGACTAACGCCATTGGCTTTTTACAGGAGCAGTGGCCGGGACGAGCCGCCTTCGCCTCGCGACAATCATTCTCCGAGACATGATCGGTGAGAACCTCCTGCCACCACCTTCTTAGGACCATAGACATACAAATACAATCCAATTCACCACTTTAGTACTTGAGAGTCCCAACACTCTAGTCTTCATACAAACACTGTACCTGAAGCATATGCTCGGCTCAGTTCGGAATAGATGATATCAGACAAATATATGTCTTATCTGTGATGGTTCTATTTGATCGGTGTCAATATTTATTCAAGGTCCAATGAAACCTATAGAAAACAAATAAATATAGTTAAATTAGTACAGTCACATCGTAAACGTATACATATGTAAACGCAACGTCATATAAAAATATTTTGTGACACGTGACAAGTGTAAAATTTCATGATAAACATGAATTCCATCTCAATCGCTGACCCCTTAAGTCATGACATCATTGTAGGTCCGTACGGTATGAACGAAAAGCTCTCACCACACCCTATGAATATAACAAAGCGGTTAATATATTCCGTTTATCGAGTTTCCTTTGTTTAAAACGCGATGGCCTCGTCGTATATCACGTAGAAAATGCGACGCAGCCGTAAATAAGGTAGCCGAAAAGGGGAGGTCCAGACCAACAACCCTAAGGAGGTTGACGGTCGATGAGGAGCTAATGCTCGGTTCCTATATTCAACGAACGGCCGTAAGTTGCATAGCTTCGTAACTTTCATAACAAATTGTGGATTAAAAGGAACGCTAGTAACTAACTTTCCGTAAGTAATGCTCCCCAGTTCCCGACTCCTAAGAGAAGGAACTTGGGGATAAAAAAAATTGTACCGGGGAGTTTCTTTCGCCTGTTTCTTCTCCGTTAGAGGAAGTTCATTGCAAGAGGGTGGTAGATTAAAAAATGACTATCGATAGATGAAATGAATGTTTCTTATTTATTTATTTTTTAACATAGCCCTATACTGTAGGGTATCTATATCCTGTGTAGCGATTATTTACCGCTAACACCTTTGACTTGGGCCAACGTATAAAATCACACCACATCGTATGATCGACGACGTCACTGCACTGGGCAGCGGTAAACAACTTTGTGCAACGCCCACAATTAAGATGGTCGTCTAGCGATCTTTTGTCTTCGATAAAAAGGGGCGGTGCTAAGGTATTGCTACTCCGTGATGGCCGCCACTCGTCCTTTGTTTACTCAAATGTTTAACGATTTTTTATATGCTTAACTCACACCATGTTTCGCCTTTTGTTTTGGCGCCTATATAAACACCTGCATTTCTTCAAATAAACAGTATTATCTATTCTGATCTCGACGTTTTAATTGCATCAAAATTTGAAGTTCCTACTCTAGTTCCTACATCCTGTATTTTTCCAAGCATAAGCACGTGGACAAACACCCAGATCCAAAACAATTATCTGTGGGACACACAAATAGTTGTCCCGTGTGAGTATCGAACCCGCGACCCCCGACGCCGAAGCCAATACCTTGGCGACTGCGCCACGGAGTCATCGTGAAATCATAATTCTCATGTCGATGAGTAAATGTTTTTTTTTATTTTGTGGATTTTGAATAACTCCGAGAAACTGGTTCGCAGGAGCAACTCGTCGACGCTGAGCCGACGCACGCCCGCCCTGTCTCCCCGCAGCGCGATAGTAGACGCGGAGGTGTTCTACTCGCGGAGCGCGGACCACCTCGGCTGCAGGCGGCAGGAGCAGGTACCGACCCTCGTTGAGGTGCCAGCTCTGATGGGCAGGCACCGACTACCGACCCTGGTCTGCCGTCTGTTACGGCTTCGCGTCGATGGCACCTTTTCTGACGTCGGTTAGCCAGGCGCTGTCTCCTGGGGTGAAGTAATTCCGAATGGTTTAGTCCCATCGAAACACTGTTCAGCGTGAGCGAACTGTAGGAGTCTGGTATAGCATTTTCCTATGGTACTGCAGCCTCGCAGACAAACGGCATAGTTGAATTATCGGATACATATTCAATAACAACAACAAAACGCACTACAAGTTATAAATAACTTATATACACAAAAGCTTTCTCTAGTACAATATACTTGTTTTTATATATAAAATTATAATATATCTGTTGTCCCCTCAATAGGCAAGCCTGTATCGAGGAGAGATATATTTCTTTGAGATTTTAAACATAAATATTTCTCATTGAGCAGACATTGAGTTGGACTATATATTACAGAAAACTTAAATACACGTTAGACATTCCTATGTGACGAAAATGACATTGTTTTTAATTTGTACTGTGGCAGGAGCGGGTACCGCCACTGTTGCCACGCGCCGAGCCCGACAAGCCGCCACTGCTGCCACGACGACCCGCTTCGCCGCCCGCGCACAGCGGTACGTTACGTGCGCACGCATACATGCATACGTATACGTACACATGCATGTACACGCACTGCACGCACACGCATACACACGCACGCATGCACGTATGCGCGTGCATCCACATGAAAACAGGCGTGAAGAGAGCAGGCCTGCTTGACTGCACATCCACTTCATAAGTCAAACTTTAATACCACTTTAACCCTTGATAAACGAAATTTAAAGGCTCGTAAGCATTGTCGGTACTGACAGTAATTGTTCTTAGATTACTTCCTCCAGTTCGTCCTAATAATTGGACAAAAATAAAACTTTTTAATTTTTAGTGCTATTCAACACCATATCCAATTTACGCAACAACACTATATTAAATTAAATTAATAACAATAAATCATTACAATAACGCACTCTTTTGTTGTTGCATGTTTCCAGCAACCTGCGAACCACCGCCGGAGCCGCCGGACAGACCGCTGCCCAGTCCGAAGCACCACGACTTGTTCAGGTTCGTTAAAGGAAGAATCGTGTCGCCATTACAAAATAAAGTAACGTTGATTGTTAAATTAACCCAATTAAATATATTATTAGTATTTTTTGTTATAGTGGCAACAAAAGTACATCATCTGTGAAAATTTCTACTGTCTAACTATCACGGTTCATTAGATACAGCCTGGTGACAGATTGAGAGAAATAGAGAGAATTAGAGAGAAATGGAGAGGGTGCTGAGACTTAGTAATAGGGTCCTGTTTTACCCTTTGGGTACGGAACCCTAAAAATGTACTTGTGAGACTTGAGAGGGTAAATGTAATGAATTCTTCGGTAGGACGCCGGCGATGTCGCCGAAACGCTCCCCCGCCCCCGCGCCCCCCGCCAGCCCTCTGGCGCAGTGCAGCAACCCCGAACAGAGGTAAGGTCCATCTAAATAATAAATAAATAAATAAATATTTTAGGACACATTTTTACAAAGTTCTCCAGTCCCAAACTAAGCAACGCGTGTACTATGGGAACTAGATAACTTATAAAATACCTTCGACATCAGCGAATACGAAAGAGAATAGAAAAGAATATATCGAAAACCGCTTCAGATTACTTTATCAGCTTGCAATTGCTGTTATATTTTCGACTACATTCTTATAGTGTCGATAAATTAGGGTGTAGCTTATATTTAGAAATGGTACAAATGTAAATGTTTCCAGGGCTGCTGCGTTCAGCTTTCCGTCGGCAGTTTCCCCTTCAGCATCACACCATTGTAAGTGAAACAACAGCCTATATTTATGATGTCTCGGTTAAAGCAATGCCCTTCTTTCTACAGAGGGCGTTCGAATCGAAATTTTATTTGATGCGATAATTTAACGATTTTTTATTTGAACATTTGCTAACCACTGATTTATAAATGGACAATTATTTACTCTCCTCCTGACTTATGGTGCGGTTATGTGTGGTGGTCAAAAATCTTTGGGCTGCACAAATTCTTGAATCGTTTGGGAATTGAACCCATAAACTGCTCAACCCATCAACTGCTGCTAGTATTTGCGCCATCGTGGCATCTAATTCATTAACTAATCAACATCAGATCTAATATAAAAATATACGCCTATGAGTCCTGTTTAAACTAACGCAACATGACTAAAGACATAGTTCAAATCTCCCTGTATAGCGATACAGGGAGATTTTTTTGAGAAGTGCCCAAATTTACACAGGAGGTTCAGACTCGGTAGTATAATCATTTATTGCAATCATTTGTTTTTTATTGCAATAAATGATTATTGATAAATGATTTCTATTCCCTAAAAAACAGAACGAGTTGACAATGCGGTAGTCATTCATAAATACCTAATTTTACTGCGCACGAACTTGTGTGCGTGTTAGTTATGAATGATCGCGCGTAAAATAAATGAGTTGCGTATAAATCAGGCACTATTTGAGATAAGTTCTAATGAATGCAACTAATAACTTACGAATGATTTTAAATATTTATCATTTTTATATAACATTATTTATGTCTAGAATTTAATAAAAAAATGGATATACTTAGAAAAGCCCCCCTGTATATCAGATTGTATTTATTCAATCCTCACCAGACCATCAAGTTGTATTATTTTCACCGTCATAATTTCTAGCATAAATTATAAGGAATCATAAGCTTTATTTTTAGTGCTAATCAATGTTGGAAATATTTAAATTAAATGAGAAACTTAGTGCCGTGTTTTGGTTAAAATATATAAAATAATTACATGTCAATATTACGGTACAATATAGGTGAAATTTTTGTGTCAGTGAAAAAACTAATTAATAGTAAAGTAATTTTAATATATAGTTAGGCTGAACCGATGTTAGGTAGACTTTCTATACTACCTACCTAAGCACATGTGCACATGCGTGTCCACATGTGTGCACATGTACTTAGGTAGTGCGTCGAAATTTTGAAATAGCCATATGAATGAAAATGTGTCCGTTTCCAGCGACGGAGGGGTGCGGGGCGTCGCCGCCGCTTCCACCGCCTTTGCCGCCGAGGCGCCGCCGCGACTCCACCGCTCCTCCCACTCCCCTCCATCAGGTACGGTGTAATCACCCCAAAGTAACGTTAAGTAACAGCCTATACATGTCCCACTGCTGGGTAAAGCCTCCTCCGTACTAGGCATAGTACACCGGGCGACCCCACTGCAGATCGGAGGATTTCACATGTTCCAAATATTTTTTTTTTCGAAAATATGCAGGTTTCCTCACGATGTTTTCTTTCGCCGCTGGGCATGTCATAGTTCAGCACTTAAAATTAATAATTTAATTGGTACTAGGGATTGCTCTAATTACTAGAGCCCACTTTAATAAAAGGTGGCAAGACATCTGCAAGTGTGTTGCAAATGTTCATGGGTGGCGGTTATCACTTAACATCAGGTGAACCGTTCGCTTGCTGCCTTGTGACATAAAAAAAAAGATAAAATTTTGAAAGAAAATTGATTCTACCAATAAACGTAGGCCTGGACCCGATGCAGACAGCGTCTTTATTGTCAAGGCCCCAGCCGATCCGTTAACCTTTCGCAATTCATATAAATGCGCGTCGGAACGCAGACGACGTGGAGCGAGTCGGGCAACGCGAGCGGCGGCGGGTCTCCGGCGGGCGGGACGCTGGCGGCGGGCGCGCCAGGGGCGCCGCCCCCGCTGCCGCCGCGGCCCGCGCCCGCCCCGGAGCTGCTGCGGCCCGCGCACTCGGCGCTCCTGCAGCGGCGCCACCACACCGCGGCGTGAGTTCAGCGCCACTGCCGCTCCCATCCCCATTCCAATCCCATTCTTCACAATTGATTTCTTCAATAGCTGCTCCTTCGATGCGATAGAAATTCATAGAAATTCATAGCATTTCCAACGTGTTTCAATGTCTCGAAAAAGAATGAAAGAAATCTTTTGAAATGAAGTCGAGCTTGTTCACTTCTGTGATAGAGCTAAGATAAGCTCTAAATCTAAATAAAACCAACAAATTGCTGAATACCAGGACACGTGCAGTCTTGGTCATGGTCGATATTTTCGGCGATTAGTGGCCGACAACGAGACCGAGAACTCAGCCTTATTTCGAGCCGAGAATGAGTGGAACCGAGATCTCGGTTGGACCTTACCTGCAATGAACTATTCTAAAATGTAATGAAAACCGACCAAGGGCGAGTCGGGCTCGCACACAAAGCTTTACCCTACCACCTACCATCGTCTATAAAGACGGCAAAAAATCACGTCTGTTGTATGTGAGATCCACTTTGATATTTTTTTGTTCTGTTCTTTAGTATTTGTTGTTAAAGCGGCAACTGAAATACATAATCTGTGATAATCTCAACTGACTAAGTATCACGGTTCATGAGATACAGCCTGGCACGGACAGAGAAACATGCAGCGAAGTCTTAGTAATAGGGTCCCGTTTTACCGGTACAGAACCCAAAAAGAAAATGCCTATAAATGCCCCATTGCTGGGCCTCCTCTGTTAATATGGCATCAGGGCATAGTAACATTGCTTTGGTTCTATTCTGCCGGCCCGATATCAATCCTCCTAAGGAAAATACACTCGGATCCAGGGTCGAACTCAAGACACCGGCTTAGCACATGCACCGGCGAGTCATAAGGCATATAAATATAATGAATGTCTATCTATCAACAGCCTGGCACCGCGGTTGCCGCCTAAGCCGCCGCCAGCCGCCGTGGCGCCGCGCACCTAGCGCAGTCGCCCTCCGCCCGCCATCCGAGCCGAAGCCTCGCCGAAAGCCGGCTTAAGCTGAGTTTCAATCAAGCCCGACAAGCCCTAAACGTAAGCCGACATAAGCCGTCGAAAGCCCGGCATTGGCTTAAGTTGAGCGTAAACTCGAAGAGCGGGCTTAAACCGGCGGAAGCATTGGCTCAGCTAAACGGAAGCCCATATAAGCCGTCGAAAGCCCGGCATTGGCTCAAGTTGAGCGTAAACTCGACGAGCTTAAACCGGCTTAAGCTCATCGCGGCTCTCGCCCGTTCTAGTACAAAATGTAAACTATTGTTTTATAGGCAACGTAATACCCCCAATATTCGGTAATATGCACTTAGCTGTGCTTATCAATCTCTTCTCATTCTCAGACTCGAAACTACGCGGCTTTTGTATACTTTTTCGGGCTTAGCCCCTTACGGCTGTGCGGGTGTCTGTATGGAGTTTCTATACTTTGTGTAGCTGTTTGTGTGTGTCTGTTTTAGATTACGCGTTCGCAATTGGCATGCGTTCTACGTGTTTAATCGTTTTAAGCTAAGATAGTCGTTTGCCTATCGCCCGGTCTTTCGTTCTATTTAGAAAATCCAAACGAAGAGTGGGCAAAAAAGAAATAATGTCGATAGGTCATGAACATCATAAGTGCAAGGCATGGTTAGTTTTTTTTTTTAATATAATAATAATGAATTATCGTATAAATGAAATAACTATGTCCTATCGAGTGAATAATATATATGAATAATGGCCTATCGAGTTCCTGGGATAACTTATCTGTTTATTCATGCCCTAAGCGGATAATATGAACTTTGTTTCATTACATTATTGTAACTAATATGTATTGCTGTCGAAATTTTAACGACAATCTTGTGACGCTTACTGTATTTATAAACAAATGGTCGGCACGATGGTACCCATAGCCCTTACATCAATCCAGTCTTATTGCAAAGCCTTTAAGGCTGATATTTGCATAGATAGCTCAATCGTTTAATTGGCCTCTAAAAGACTTTCCCCGCCGCGATATGGGTTCGATCACCATATTTCGGTGATATATTTTAATACTCGTGATCTCGCAAAACACAGAAATTGTATCGTAGAGCGAGTCGTTTTTAAAAAAAAAACAGATTTAATTTTTTTCCGTGCGGCCGTGTTTCTGATAGAGACCGGTTGTTACGCACAATTTAAAATTACTTTTGTTAGAAGAAGTATTAAAAAGTCTGGCCTAAAGAAGCAATCAAAGAAGTCTATAACAAAGGAAGCCATCGCACTTACTCCATGATTACCCGAATTCTTTTCCAGCTCCAGTAGTTTTACGATTCCGTAAAAAAAAAAAACATAATACATCGGATCTATTACGAGAGTCCGAGAATTTGTGTTTGATCACAACTTTCGTTTTTCGTCTTCCCATTGTTACCTGTTTTATGTCAAAAGATGAAATTTATGTGTAGAGTGTGAAAGAGTTTTCGAGAAACAAACGATAAAAGAATGCTATATATAGTTGTTAAGTTGGATATTGTACAGACATTCCATAATTATCTTAACTGTATTACATATTAATTGATCGTAGACCGCTGATGCATTGTGTCGCTTTCCTCTGACGGTCTAAGAATAACTAATAATTCTAAGAATAACACGTCTTGCAAATGACGAAAAATTGGGAATTAAATCATTAAAAAAGCTCAATACTTACAGTCCAGTTTTCAAAAGGTTTTCAACCCTCGGTTTAGCAGATGTGTATGGGCGGCGGTATTCACTTAACATCAGGTTAACCGTCTGCTAGCTTGGCAACTTTTCACTTTCAAAAAAAAACCAATCATATTCATGAACATAATCCAGACTAATATTCACCTGCAAGCTCGCTTACAATTCTACGTACACTACTATCGTCTGCCTGAAATATATGAACCTTTGTCCATTAGAGAATAAGGTAAAGTTACAAAGGGGTCTATCTGCAAAATAAAGTGAATGTTGATATTCTATTAGATACGTGGTAATTAAATTTTAAGCTGACTCGTGAATTGATTTAGATGTTAAATGTAAATATAATATTATAGATATAATAGTCGCATCTTGTTGTGTCCAACGGATATAAGCTTGCGCGGCGGCACATGACCATGACAAGCATACATAAATATACATATATTTTTGCATTGATACATTTAATACGAGAGTTTGTTTCTTAGGTGCCATATTGAAACAGTATAAAGAGTTATATATATAATATTTACAGATTTTTTAAATGATATTGTTCCTTGTTATGATAATGTATCGCCGATTACGTTTGACCTCCGCATAGAGAATTATGAAATGTTTGTTTTAATGTTTAATCGTTTTAGCGTCGCTCTAAAAACTTTTGAGATGTTACTATATATTCCTTCTATAAAGGACATGTTGTTCTTAGTTGTTTTGAAGTAGCTCGTCAACGCAATAAAATGTTATTCTTAAAGAATGACCTTTAATATGTTGTATCCGTAAAAACATATACGTTGACCTCGACAGAATCGGTTGTTACTGAAAAGCTATGATTAAAATTTTAATTAAAATTTAAAAACTGATTAAGTTTTATTGAAAGTATTCGATTAAACAATAAATAATAAGACAGCCTCCAAACATCGTTGGCGAGCTACCAATGAATGTCCCCAAACTTGCGTCAAACTCCTTGTCTTACAAAATGACTTGTTGAATGTTATAAATAATTTTAGCGTAAAAGCGAAACGTACAAATTATCTTCCAAGAGTTTATTTATAGTTGTTACTTTAAACGCATTCGATGTGCTTTAGGCCTAAATGTGTGAAACATCTCTCCCGGCTGCCGTTTCACACACTGATACTGAATTTATCATAAATGTTAGCGATAAATTTCGTGTTAAAGGATTTATCAGAGACGCCATTGACGTTGTTGTATGACATTTTGTGTACGAAAGGGAAATATTTACGGCGATGATATGTAATTAGATTTTAACGTTCGAATAGATTTTGCAATAATAAACGATATGTATTATTACACCGAAATAATTCATGTTAATGTCCGGTCCCTACCAACGGTAGATGAAATCCGACTCGTGAATAAATTCCTAGGCCACTACACCCAAAAATTTTAAAACGCAATATTTAACTTTGTTGTTTACCCCAAATAGTGGGTTTCGTCTACGGTTGGAATAGACCCCAGTGTACAAGTACAGTATAAAGTTGTAAAAATAAAGTAGTCGATTGAGAACAGATTATTCCTTATGTGTTGCCATAATCTTTGTGATCGTATTGCCAGCTCTTTAATAAAGTGACGCCACGAATAATGCAAATAAAATTCTTAGATTCCTTGTTTGTTATCATTGTCGCTTTATTATTCGGTTTGCAATAATAACAAATATTAATATATGTAAGTGTATGCGTTGAAACAATCTGCATAATTTATAACACGCCTTATATGAAATAAGTTTAGCTACTATCAGAATTAAATAAAAATCAATATTGACCCAGTGACATACATTATAAATTTTGTACACAATATCGTCATTTTATGTATAATACATAGTACAATATTCCTTCATAAAAAGTTGTGAAATTAATATATTATTCGCCCATTTATTTGACTTTTAAATATTGCAGATTGTTCTGACTATAGTAGGTTTCATACACAAGTATTGTAAAACATGTACAAAATGCTTAAAGTAAAAAAAAATAATTTATATCAATGTTGATTCTTAGACGATAGGGACAAAGTTTTATGCCATGACTGAACGGGAAGGTTCGCGAGGATATAGCGTGTAAATTATGTATTTTAATTTTTTTTTTACCGGCCTAATAGAAAATGTAAAGGGAATAAAAATAAAATCACCATCCGAACACTGAATAAGCCTATGAATTAGCTAGATAATAAGAACAATAAAGTGAATTTGGTCATAGTGTTGCCGTTACACTTGCTACTTATGTCAGTTTGAAATTGTAAATAATGATATGTGATACTTTGTCTGCGGAAAGTTCGCCCGTGGCAACATGGTCGCACCGCAAATTACATTATTACGTTTGTGGTCATTCTAGGTTTCTGATGAAATTAGCGTTACCATAGTGGAATAAAATTGACCATGGACTCCTAAAGGTTGCAATTTTTTTTATAATATGACATTTCAATATATGTAATCACAGTGAACAAAAAAAAACTAATGGAAATTAATATTTATTGATTAATTCGAATTTATTTAAATCACGAAATGAATTTATAATTCATGATGATTTAGAAATAATACGCGGTTATTAATCGTAAGGCTCTATGGTCACGTTTGTTCCTACGATTTAAAATGTAAGAAAAGACCACCTGTATAAATTTTAGTAGTTGTAAATATAGCGCTGAAGTGATCGATTGCATAGAACATACATTATATACACAGTTATATATCGTTGTTTCATTTACATAGCGCTCTTGTTTCAAACCCCCATTTATATCATTAAGAAACTTAACCCAAAGCAAGGCGGCAACTTTAGGAATGGTGTCGCATATGTAATTATTTGGGTTTTGTCGATTTTTACCCATGCATAACTAAATTGACCATCTGTCGAGCTGTCTGCTGTTTTGTCATCATCATAGAGTTCTTGGATGTGCAAAGTCCAAAGCTGTATCACGATAAGTGGAAAATAATTATATTTTGCTAGTCTTGGCGTGCTAATAGAAACTTATTCGATTTCAGACGTTAAAAACAATATGAAAGTGGGTAATCCCATAAACGCACCGACCTGTATCGTTCAAGGTCTCAAATCACTTCTTGCGGACAAACAATACGAACTATTAGGCAGTGGGTGCAGTCGATCATGAGAATAAAGTAAAAGGAAGAAATATATAGATATCTATAAAAATATTAAAGACCTCGATATACCGAAGAGAAAAAAATATATCGGATAATCCTAGAAAGTTTTGTCCAAAAAATATGTCAAGTATTTGAATTCCACGGACTCTGTGCCGGATCCGAATTTTGGAAATAACTTTTTTGATACGTACGACTTTCGATATTGACTATTTTGTATAGATACATCGAATCCAAGTATATCGATATTTAGACTAAAAAATATCGATAGATCTTTTTATCACCACATTTACCACTGCTGCTAAAGTCTAAGAGAAATTCTTGAGATTTGAGCCAGAACACTTCTAGTTCAAGCTACACAAGTAAAACAAACAATAAATGTAATAACTTATATTCAATAAAGTAACATTATATTCATTAAACTAACACATTTGAGCTAGACATCGAATAACCAAACATTGAATGTATAGTTGTCAACTTAAATACACCAAAGTAATGCATTTAAAAAAAATATGCTTTTATTTTCACAAAGTAAAAGATTGCCGGTGTTAAATTATAATAATATCAGAACACGAATTAGCAACTTACATGGATTTTCTGTTATGTTAAAGATAAAAATATTGATTGTGAAATTGATAAAGAAAATACCATTTTGCTTTCAATACAAAATATGAGCTTCCCTCAATTTTTAACATTATTGTAACACCATTCAGTGCTACTTATATGCTATTTTCTAAGTTTTAACTTTTTCTTGAAGAAAGGATTAATTGGTGATGGCATTGATGGTTTAAGATTTGTTTTCGAAGGTTGTTTACTGCTATCAAATGGAATATTAGGACTCTGTTTAACACTCTTATAATAGTCTATTGGGGCTTGTGCTCCGTTATTTTTTAAAACAAACTTAACCTTCTTTGGTGTATCTAAAGATAATTTGTGTGTATCTGAATGTTTGAGTTTTGTCAGATTCTTACTGTTTTTAACTTTATTTACAACTACAGTATTAACTTTGACAGGTTTCATAGGCGATTTTGCTTCTTTAGATTCCATGTTATTGCTGACTCTTTGTTTGTCAATAATTACTTTTTTATTGCTGTCTTGACTAACTAGGGCAGATTGCTTTTTAATGTTGATAATTGGTTTCTTATCATTCTCCTTATTCTTTTCTTTCTTCTCCGGAGTTTTTAGTTTATTGTTATTTTTTCCGATATTTAAAGTACTTACAGGAGTGTGGATTTTCACCATATTGATTGCTTCTTTAGATTTACGCTCTTTATTTTTTTGGATCTCTGTAGGTTTCGCAGGTTTAACTTTTTTCGCTGCTGTTGATGTTTTATCTGCATTCAATTCTAGTTTCCTTTTTCTGTTCGATCTCTTCTTATTTGCAGTTTGGTTTTCCTTATCTGATGTGTCCTTTTTGGATTTGGTTTGCTTATTCTCATCCGCTACTTCTATTTCCCAATCACCAGCCTGTGAAGTTATTTGTGATCATTTATTGTAATCATATTTATTAATAAAGAAGCGTTTTGGTAAATTTTTACATCCCTTTTTAGTAAATTTTTATTATTTTAATGGTTTCAAATACTCACAGTTGACTCTGCGGGCACTTCCAAGCCTGCTTTGGCAACATCCTCGATTATGCTCAAACCTGCGCGGCTTTTGGCTAAAAGACGTTTACGGTGTTTCCGGCTCAAACCTGAAAAACAAAACAATAATGAGTTGAAAACGAAATTCATTCAAAATTTTTATTGACACATAGACCCTGGACTATGGCTTGAAACTTCTGCCATTATTGGTACTCTACTATATGTCTCAAAACAATTACAATGATGATAAATTAAAAGTTGCCATAGAACTGAAAACGGATAATAAGATGAATATTAAAGATTGCTCAGTGGCACTGTTGCTAAACTTTGGCTTTGGCATAGGGGGCTTGATTCCCACACGGGACCAGTATTTGTATGACCAACGGATGATTGTTCCGGTCCTGGGTGTTTGTTCCCAAGGACGGTTCATGACAGACAGGCGGTCGGTCATGGAAAACCTAGCCAAGACCACTTATAGCATATTTACATGTCGTGCCGACCCCACCTAGGTGGAGTAAGGGCAGGAAGAAGATGATGTAGTAGTGTATGGCTCACCTCTCAGAGCCAATTCATCGGAAGCTGTCACTAAGCGCTTTTCGAGCGCTCTCAGCCTCTTGGCTACTTGCTCAGGCTTCGGCGCCATATCCCCAACTTCGGCAAGGAAGTCCGAATCTTTCACGCGTAGCGGGTACTCGTTCTTGCTTAGCTGCTCGAAACTGATTTAAAAAAAATTAACGGTACATAGTTAAGATCACACACGGTGGTGGCTGATTAACTTCAAAGCAAATTTTTGGCTTGCTCTATATGACATTTATTTAGAAACCACATTAATAGTACAAGAAACCGTCATATTCCGATTTCAGACGCTCCAATTTCATCTTGGTATCCCAAGTCGAAAAATACGTTTCTAATATGTATATATTATATAAAAAAAAAACGATTTCGAAAACTATACGCGTGAGGAAAATTGTGCCTTAATAACATCTGTAAACGCTCAACTTTAAATAAGAATTATTGGTTCATGTAGTTTACACAAGAACTGTTAGTATCATTTCTGCAATTTATCTATTAGTATTATTATCTCAAAATTATCGTTTGTTTCACCATCATTTATGATTTTGATAATACTTTTATTAATTTTTTATTACAAGCCTGTGCAATTTGGTATTAGTGTCTTAACACCGTAACTGTGACCAATTAAGATATAGCTAACCGTTGCAGACAGATCTTGGCACGTTTGAAGGCTTTAGACGCGCAAGAAGTAGACTCCATGAGGCGTCGCATGTCTTCTGCCAGTAGACCAGCAGGCACTGGGAGCAATGGCAGTATCACGTCGACTTTACCCGCACGGGGGTCCAAAGCTGATACCCTGTGAATATTAAAACATACAAGTTTTAATGATGTAACACCTTATTATAAATGTACCGTATTTTTTAATTTGCCTAAATGTTAAAATGTGTAGAAAAAGTAAGAAAAGATTTTCGCCGCTGTGGGAATCGAACCCACTTCTTCGGCATTCGCGGCCTGACGCTCTAGCCACTGAGCTAAACGGCTGATTGCCATACCGACGAAAATCTTAACGTCTTTTATCTACATTGTTTTTAAGCATTTGAAGCAAATGCTTGGCGCATCCATTGTTATATCCTTTCCAGCATACAAACAATTTCAAATATCGTTTTACTAATGATAATTTGAACGAGAGATGTGTCGCCATTGCTTCTTAGAAATTTAAATTATTTATAGTGCTAATCTCTGCACTTAAGATTGAACATTAAAATTTGTAGAAAAAGTACGAAATTTTTTACAAATTTTAATGTCAATCTTAAGTGCAGAGATTAGCACTATAAATAATTTAAATTGTCTAAATGTTCTAATTTATTGAGCAATTTGCAATTGCTACCAGTATAAGACTAATCCTACATACAAATAATAAATATTACCATGGCATATTTTTGCACAACATTATGTAGATCTACAGCGTGTCGTTACCATCGCGACAATAAATGAACACACGTCTAACGCAACCTGCCAATAATCATAAAAAAATATTAACGTTAAACAAAATCGATATTTAAGAAAAATATTTTACGAACAAACTAATTAAGTAAAAAAGAAACAAAATTTGTAACATCCTATACAACTCACGCTACAGCGTCGTATTACATGCCTCTCCTTCTAACAGTATGTTTTGTCTCTTTTAAATTCATTCAACCCATTCATATGTTTTGTGACCTTTACATATGAACTTTACGTTATGCTTTTATAGGTAAGGGTGTTCTAAAATTTTTTGTTTTGGAAAATTTAATAACTCTGTAAATATTGATGTTTAAAGAATTTAAATGTTTAATACAACTTTAAAAACTTATCCCCTATATGTGTGTTCAGTTATTGTCGCGATGGTAACGACACGCTGTATAATAGGCAAGGCTTGTACTAGTAGGTACAAGGAAACTGATAAACATATTCAGACATACTTTTCTTTTTATAAATAAATACATATTATAGATATATACAGCCAGACACTGGAAAACCACTTGGTTCATCATATAAGATTTTCCCGGTAGTGGGGATCGAACCTATACCCCCTCTGGCGCAATAGACACGGTCACTTTCCTCTACGCCAATGGGTTGTATATAGACTATAATAAGCCATAAATTACTGCTAGTAATTGTAAACTTTAGCATCATATAATTACTTGGTATTGATCTAAATTAAATTTTATCTGATATGTAAAGTTTAATAAATAATTAATTATTGTAACATTCATAGTCTCGTTATAATCTTCGAGTATACATACTTTTCAGAATCTTCCTCGTCTTCTGGGTCTGTTTGCTCGTCGCCTTCCTCCATTTCCAACTCCAAAGCTTCCGGACCCCCTGGCGGACAGCCCATCTGCAAAAATCAAGCTCAAATAAGGTAGGACCGTTTGCAACGGTCATTAGATGATCCGGTGACGCAATTGCTGAGCAATTGGTTTCAGCGTCGGAGATAGGGGGTTCAATTCCCATTATTTTTATGCAAGTTTCATTTTACTGATTGGACTATTAAGCTCCCCACAGGGGACTAGTGTTTGAGTGACCCAAAGATATTAGTTCTGTGTCTGGGTGTTGGTGTGTAGTTGTGTCTGTTGTCTCTAATGAGAGTTGAAGTCAAGCTGGTGGCAAAAAAAAATCTAGGCAATATGAACAATACATTTGATTCACATGTTGGGCCAACCCCATCTAAGTGGGATAACGGCAGGGGAAAGGAGAACAGCGTTTAATAATGTTTGTTATTAAGGAATAAATTTTCAATATTTTTTGCAGAACAAAGCCCAAATCCTGTTTCACTATTGGATTTTATCCCTTCTCTTACCAGAAAATATAAAATAACGCGTAACGTCTATCGTGACATAAAAGTGGTAGACACTGTTTAAACCGGCATAAAGTAGAAGTGCTATACTTCTGAGTTTCGTCTGGTGATTGAGGAAGCCGGGGCCCACTTATTGAAAGGTGACAACGCATCTGCAACCATACAGATGTTGTAAATGTCAATGGTCGGCGGTTTTCACTTAACATCAGGTGAACCACCAGCTTACTTGCCATATTCTCGCACAAAAAAAACGTCTAAATTTTAGACGGTTTTTTTGGCGCTTCTTTTAATAATAATAATAATAATAATAATAAAATATCTTTATTCACATAGACGCTTGCGCGTTCTTATGAAACGTCAAAATTTTACAAGAAATTAACACGTTCGTAAGTTACCACCGGTTCGGAAAGCAGTTTCTGTTGAGAAGAAACCGGCAAGAAACTCAACAGTTGCTCTTTTTTAAAAAATCAGTTTACAATATAATAGTACAGGTACAATAGTCTTGTTTTAGCCTACGTGAGTATCAACAGTATTAACCCCACACATTGGCGTCGTCAAGATATACGGCAATAGTATACTTTAGCCATAAGTTTACTTTTAATTTTTCGTTTAAATTCATCAAGTGGCAGACTTAATATCGACTGTGGGATTTTATAATACATGCGCACACTTTGCCCCATGAACGACCTCTTTACTTTTTGTAGACGAAACAATGGCGTAGTTAGTTTGTCCTTATTTCTAGTGTTTAGTTTATGTCTGTCACTATTCTTTAGATAATTTTTAATATTATGTTTAACATACAAAATATTACAATAAATATATTGAGACGCAACAGTGAGTATATTAATCTCTTTAAAAAGATCTCTGAGTGTATTCCGGGCTCCGATGTTATAAATTGCTCGGACAGCTCTTTTTTGAAGAATAAATATTGAATTTATATCAGATGCACTACCCCACAACAAAATGCCGTACGACAAGAAGCTGTGAAAATGACTGAAATAAACAAGTCTGGCAGTGTCGATGTCTGATAGCTTCCTAACCTTCCTAATTGCAAAAACAGCGGAGCTTAGCCTATTCGCAAGAGATGATTACGACTCTAAAAGACTCGTAAAGATTTAGACTCTAAAAGAATACATATACGATTTTATAGAAAGCAAACAATGACAGTTCAATAACGAAATTTTTCTGATAATGTTTTCTTGTATATAATACTTATTGCACATATCATATTATATTATAAAGTGAAAAAAAAAAAAAAATTGTACAAAAAATCAAATACAACACCGACGTTTTGCCAAGCGTTTTCAGCATCTGCGTACTGCAAGCCTTGCTCGCTTTGACGCAGCAATGCGGTGAGCAGTCTCCGAGAGGCGATGCAGAGCGCTAGAGTTTCTCCCCCGCACACTTGAGCGGAGAACGGACGCATCAGACAAACTACGCTCTCATCCGGTATTTCACCCTTCGACACCTGCAATAGCCAACAGCAAAAAAATTTTATATGTTTTTTTATATAACATTGACCTTACTGTTGGATAACGTTATCCTGTGTGTCAAGGTTGATTTCAAAACGTAAATTTCACGTGGACAAACATCCAGAATCCGAAACAATTGTCTGCTGCTCACACAAATAGTTGGCCCGTGTGGGAATCGGACCCACGAGCCCCGGCGCCGAAGCTAATGCCTTGGCAACTCCACCGCGGAGTCGTAATAAAAGAATATCGTTCTTGAACATACTTGACCGTGATGTTTTTTTTTAAATTTAATTAAAGGGCTTTCTCATTCAATGTTCTGTAAGGAATTCATTTACACAGTTTGACTGCCGTGGATATGACCAGATGAGTACCGAATTAATTTTCAATCCCAAAAAATGAAACTTTGTAGTATCAGCCTATACATGTCCCACGGCTGGGCAAAGGCCTCCTCTATACAGAGGGTATCAGGGCATAGTCCACCACGCAACCCCACTGCGGATTGGCGGACTTCACATATCTTCGAAATATTTTTTTTGTTATTATTTCGAAAACATGCAGGTTTCCTCATGATGTTTTTCACCTTCACCGCGGAGCAAGTGATAATTCGGCACTTAAAATTAACAATTTCACTGGTGCCGGCAGCGGGGATCCAACTCAGGTTGCTCGAGTATATTGAATTAAAGGCGAGCGCCCGGACACTGAGCTACTACGGCTCTAAAACTAAAATGAAACTCTGTGTCACCACAAAAAATAATCCTGAGCCTAGCTGCAGCTTTACGTTTATAATTTCATACTTGTAGATCCCATCAAGAGAGATAGCTATAATTTACTAGGGCAGCTAAAATCAAGCACTATACTGAGGCTGACTTCATTCATAGTTAAGATTAGAATTCATATACATATGTATTTTGTTTAAGTTTAAGTTTCTTTTTTTTGCTGATAAATAGGTAGTACAGAAAAAATTTTGGTCTTGTTATCTTGTTATTGTCACAAATGTCAACCTAACCTATTTAGCTGTTTTAAACAGCATGCAAATGTCCAGAAGATATATTTTTATAATAGTTTTTTTTTTTTTTTTTTTACGTGTAACTAAAATCGTCCTACAATTTTAATAGATATATTAATTAATTAATGCATCGATTTTAAACAAAAAAAATAATATATGAAATAATATTATTTAGACTGCTAGTACAACTGTTTTATATTAATAGGCTTCCACGGGTCATAAGCAATTAATGTGGTAAAAATACTATAAGAATATTTACCTTAGCTAACTCTTCAAGGAAGCAGTCCACAAAATGGAGAATCATAGACATGGCGTTACGGGCATAAGATGGTGTTTTAAGAGCCAATATACCTGAAAATAAAGTAGGGTGGTAGGTCTGTTACTACTTTATACAACGTACCCGTCTCTTCCCATGGGTGCCGTAAAAGGCGACTAAGGGATACAAGTTGTTGGGATGCGCGCAGCGACCATAGCCCAGAAGACCGAGTCTACTCACCGGTTGGACGGGGGGCTTGTCACGTGATGGTGTGGACAAGTATAGTGTGGATCCCTCTCGCATAGCGCAGTCTGATTTGTTGAGAAAGGCCATCCACAGCAGATATGCAACATGCTTGGACTCAGCGGATCAGCAAGGCAAGGTGGATGGCCAAGGGCGACCTTAGAGGGGTTATAGTAACTTCGGCCACACACAGCATCTAACCTCTCCTTCAGTTGTAGTGGTTTTCCGTTCCACTGAATCCAGGAGTGGAAGGACGAGTGCGTGCTTGTGCGCGAACGCATGCGCACCTTAATATATCCTGCGTATCTGACCGCTTCCGTAGTTGAAGAATGGCCATGGCCGAAATCGGACGGAATAATATCACTTTATGCAAGCATAGTTATTATGTTTTGGTCAGTTTTACAAGAGCATTACAAATTTTAAAACTTAACTTGAACAGATTTATTGATAGTGCAAGGAAAGATGAAAAAAAGGTATGGAGCGACCTACCATCACTTGCTGTTAACATTTTTGTATAAATACTGCAACTCTCCTGACTCCAATTACAGCGTTTGAGACACCGCAAGCTGCCACGTAAGAAACGACGCACAAACTGAAAACAAAATATATACAATAAATTCCTACTTTATCAAGCATGCAAATTATTCAAAACATAACAATAACTCATTTTGAAATAAATTCAATATTATACACCGTTAAATAAAAACAATTTACGGATTTTTTCTGTTTAAAATTGATTTGAATTCACAACTTTTTGAACCACAGAGTCCTTCATTAAATGGGAAAATCCCGTAATTCAGTTATATTTAACAATAATTGTTACTTTCTTGCATTTAAAAAAAAATTACCATCATAAATTTATCCATACGATGCTGGTCAATTCCATACCACTCTGTGGCTAACACTTTGAAACCAGCCTTAGTCATAAGAACAGCATGTTTTATTTGTTCTACTGGAAATAAATCCAATATTCCAGCTATACTCTCACACAATTCTTCCTGAAACATTCAAAAGGTTGGAAATTTTTTTTTAAAGATTTTCCCTTACGTAAGGATGTTTTAAGAACATGAATTTCATGTGGACAAACACAAATAGACATCCTGTTTGGGAGTCCAGAACCCAGGTGCTTGGCAAGTGTGTCACGGAGTCCTCGTATAAATGCTAATGTAACATTATTTGAAAAATTATTCTTATTTACATATGAAGTTTCTAAATGTTATTGCCTTGAATCTCGTATCATGTTTTAAATATTTTAGTTATGGGCAAATTTTTTCTCCAATGTAGAAGATATATGAGATGAGAATTGTTTATGAAAATGTAGTATGGCGTAATCTAGTGCAACAATTAATTTGGCATTCTTGGTTAGAGTGAAAGAATTCATTCTAATTAATAGTAATTAACCTGGATTAAAGGTTTGTCTGACATCCACATAGCATAAAATAATCCTTTCCAAACACGAGTAAAATCATCCTCCTTAAATTCTGAAAAAAAAAAAAAGAAGTATTATTTAAAGTAAACATTGTAAGGGTACATTTCATAAATATTGAATAAAAGAATAATTGAATAAAATAAAAATACTAGCTCTTCTACTTTCCGCAGACCGGAGAATTCTGCTTGTTGATTAATTCATTAGTGATTTTTTTTACTGCATTATTAATTTTGAAATTTGCTGAATGTTTGCCTAATATATTTCTAAGCACCTTTTGAAAGATCCCAAAACTTAAAACTTTGAATGGTAGATGTGGCTAATGGGATCACTTTCAAACCATTAAACATTTTGAATTTATTTTTGATGAAACTCAGATAACTAGACATGTTACTTCTTCAAGCGATTTTCATGGAATCATCAAATATGACACAATTCAATCTGAACAAATAAAACTAACATTCCAAATTTAAAGTAATTCAAATATAACACATAAACCAAACAGATCAGAGTTGACGTCAAATGTATAATCTTTGATTAACAATCAACGTCATTACCAATACAATCAGAAAAGGTTAAAACTAGTGATGTCAGTGGAATTTGATTGCATGATCTTAGATCGCAAATCGGCCATGACAGCAATTACAAACTATGGCTTTTTGGGGACTGTACACAATACAAATATATACATCACTATCAATACAATATATACATTACTATCATCAATTACATTATATATATATCAATATAAATATATACATTACTATCAGCAATTACATTGAATAAAAGCACCGGAAAAATATATACTATTCAGTTCTTTTAGAAATGTATAACATTCAGGCAGTGGCAAATCGCCATGCGGTCGTTACAAATACAATACCATAAAGTATCTTTTATATTAAATAAGGGTTATAATTTCGAATGCTGGTGACTACTCTAGGTTTTGAGGTTATGTGTGTAATAGACGCACATGTTAAGTAGCACCGTGTGAAATGTAAACAATACCTTCACTTACCATAATTTTTTTCAAAGCAATTCAAAAGCCATTTTTTTAATGCTTTTAATACTCGATCGCGTGTTTTCTTCTCATTGCCAGAAAGTAACCTTGCGAATTTAAATTCTTGAGCTACAACAAGTACATGTTCTTTTTTATTTTTAATTATGGGTTTCTTCTTTATTTTTTGTTTCTTATCTTTCTTTTTGTTATTTGGCTTCATCTCACAATTTTCACTATATTACTGCAAGCCAATTTCAATGTTTTTGGCAAGCGCGCGTTTCACACGACGACGTTTTGTTTTTTATTCGAATTTTATAAGTCAAATCAAATTCAAAAATGTGAATGACATATAATTTTGACAAAGATCAAAGGCGACAACTTGACAGTTGACACATAATTTTTTCATGTTCAAGTTTAGGCAACAACAATTTGGATATAAATATATGTTCTTCAGAAAAAAATTTTTCAAACAAACTAACAAATGACTGATTCATACATTCAGAGACTTTTTCATTCGTTGCCACAGCGTCGCAACGTCGTACAAATATCTCCCTCTAACAGTATGTTTTATCTCTTTTAAATTCAATCAATTATCAACCCATTAGTTTGCTTTGTTGACCTTTACAAATGAACTTAACGTTACAGTTTTATAGGTACAGGTGTTCTAAAATTGTTTGTTTGAAAATTTAATAACTCTGTACATATTGATGTTTAAATAATGTACATGTTTATAAAACTTTAATAAGTTATCCTCTATATGTGTTGATTTATGGTCGCGGTATTAGCGAAACTTATATGCATTTCTGTCTGAATGTTACGCCAACGTACTATAATACACAAAGTACAGAAAGAAAACGTTTGTTCGCATTGCCAAGGGTTAAATTGATCGTAAAAAAAACTCCTTCATGGATGGTTCAGATATTACTACGTTCGATGAAGTTAAATGGAAGAACTATGGAGGTACTCAGCCCAAAGGTGTGGAAAGTATTCTGTCAAAATCCGTTCCGTTTAATAAGAAATAAAGTTACAGCATTCAGGATTATTTATTTTAAAACAACATAATATTTTACATTTAGCATTTTATACATATAGAGGCACTTTAATGTTTTAAAAATTCGTTAATTACAACATATAAATATCGCAGTATTAACATGTATAAACCATCGACAACACTTTTTAAAAATCGGACAAATAGATACCATTTACCAATAAAATGAAGGTTGATGTAAGGAAGAGGTGTTTATACTAAAAAGCAAAATGAAACGGACTAAATAAACCTACAAAAATGTTTACAATGGTTTTAACTGGATTTTGGTAACTTATATAAACCGATTGTTTCATTTTAGTGATTCACAACACATTACAGACAATCACACAAATATATACTGCTGGAATGTAAAATAGCAACCTTTTATTGTAATCGTAGTAGATTTTATTAAACAAGGTACCTACCTAAAATAATATTTTTAATATTAATGTTTGCAAGTACATAAAAGATACCAAAATTTTTTCTTCATAACTGGAATTCACAACATTTTGAAACACCATTGTATATAGTAATACTTGAAACATGCAGCACTGGTTTTATTGTCATTTATTGTACTTAAATAACATGTTACTTCCGATATATAAGTAAGTAGTTCTTCACTATGTAATATAGTATAAATCACATATGATGATGGACTATGCAAATGATACTCAAATTATCCAGTAAATAAAATTCTCACAAAAATTCCAACATGACTTTACGAACATAAGGTGTCCCTTCAATAGCCATGCTAATAACACAAATGGGAACCAAATTACCAAATAAGAATCTCACTGACATTGTACAATTTATGTTTATGTCCTCAAAAAGAAATTAAATACTTCACACTAATACTTTACTGTTAAATAATATTTATATATTTTATAAAGAATAATGATGTTTTTTATTGTGAAAATACACTTTTCATGGCAGATTTCTTAAAAGCCTCATGCAAATTGTAATTAAACTTAATATGAACAATTCAGTAACTATTTATGATAAAACATTTTTATATAAAATATATTAATTAATCTCATTGTAAGAAATTGGAATGAATATATTCAATCAATTGCACTTGGAAGTATTACAGATGCGTTCTTTTATAAGGTACCTTAGAAATAGTTAAATATTAACAAATTTAAACAGAATTATATTATCCCATACTTTTATGAATACATTGGCACTTTGGTAAAAAGGGCCAGATTTAGAGCTCCTATAAATATTAACAAAGTTTTTGTAAAGGCTTTCGCAGGTTATTTAAATATCATCAGTTACATCATTTGTAAGTAATGACAATGGATCCTCATCCACCGATTGCGTGTGCGTTGGTTTTACTTCGTCTGCTTTTGAATATAGTGGTTTTTTACCTGTAAATTAACCAAAAAGAATCTTAGAAAGAAATCTTAAGATTTCATTCTAAAAGTGTAAGTTGTAACACAATTTTTTTGTGTATTATAAAATGCTAAAAAAATTAGTACCTGAACTACTGGATTTTCTACCGAAAAGATCGTCATCGCTGTCATCATCGAAAAGTGATTTTTTCACCTCCACTTTAAAACTTGTAGATTTTTGTATGTCTTCTCTATGCTCAACCGGTTTTTTAGCATTGATCCCAAAAAGCTCTTCATCACTATCCGAACCAAATATATTTTTCGTTTTCTGTGCAAATGGTTTCTTGCCTTGAAATAGTTCAGTTTCATCATCACTCAAATTATCGAAAATAGAAGCTGTATTTTTTTCCATATTGTTTACGGCTTTGATGGTGACATTTTGGTTTTCTCTGTCCGTTTTACTTTGGAATACATCATCGGGTTTGCCAAAAGTGTCACTAGTTTGTTGTTCTTTTTTTCCAGTTAAATTTAATGCAGTTGAGCTTACGAGTTTTGCACCCTTGATTTTTTTGAAAATATCATCATCGTCAGAAGATTTGTTAACATCGGTTTTGAGTTTCTGCGAATTTTCTTTTATATTTGATATAACTGCTCCGCCACTGTGCCCAACAGTGTAATTTGTGTTTACATTCGAAAATATATCTTCATCGTTCAAAATGTATACAACTTTAGATTTGATATTTTGTTCCCTGCTAGCTTTAACAATATCTTGAACAGTTTCTTTGCCTGTATTTTCAGTTGCGCCTGTAACTGTTGCGACTTGTACATTATTAATGTTATGGGAGTTATCTGTTACATCTTCACTCACGAAATCAATACCAGACCTTTTAACGGCCTCGCGTCTAGCTCTTCTGGTAGACGGACGCCTTTTAACTTGTATTTTAGCTCGTTCCTTAGACAACTTATTATCAAGCAACTCTGAATCTGCTTCACCTTCAAAACTGACAGATTTAACAAGTTTTGGTTCCGCGTCCCCTTTTTCGATGCCTGTGTTAACGTTTGATGATGACACAACTTGACCATCAACTTGTTCAAGAACTTTAACTTTTTTAGGGGAAGCTCCTGGTAGTAGTGAATTTACATCGATATTGATAATCATTGATTTCAATTTACCAATAGACTTTTTAGTTTCGGCATCACCAACTATTCCCGTTGGATCTTCTTTATTTTTTGCATCTGCCTGTGGTAAAAATACCTCACCATTATTATTACGAATTACTTTATTAGTTATCGATTCTGTATCATAATCGTTCGATTCTAAAAAATCGATCGGCTCCCCATCTTCCGGTTCACTCCTTTGACTTTGGGTAATTCTTTGAGTGAAATCAACGTCAATGGCTGGAGGTTCATCAATAAATATTCTAAGTAAGGTATCGTCTTTAGCAATAGAATTCAAATCGGGTTTTTCATCAGAGATTATATCGTTCTTCTTAAAAAATAGTGTCTCGTCGTCTGAATCATCGTCAAAAAGAGCATTGACGTTTTTGCTCTTTTTTGGTTCTTTCGGTTTTTCAAAAGCGGGAGGCACATCATTAAATATATCACTAAAACTATTAGCAGTTCGGGTTGTTTTATCGCTAGCCTCTATGGGTAAATCGGGTAAATTCTCACTGTGTAAATCAATTTTATTACAATCACTGTGCCTTTCAACTTTACTCTCCGTAGGAATCTCTAAGGATGACGGAACAAACAAATCATTATTTTGTTCAGTTTGCTTAGAGCTCAGATGTTGTTTTTCAACCGCTGTATTTTTCATGACATTGCTACGGCTATCGTCAGCTTTAACATCTTCACTTGATTCGATTATATTTTCCTGCTGCGTTTCTGTGAAATTTGAATCGTCCCATTCGTTTTCAATCATGTTTTCATTATGATTTACTGAATTAACCATAGTTTCATAGTCATTGACATTAGAACTTAAATTATTTGAGTCTTTAGACGTTTGAGCATGGCTAATTAATGTCACATTCTGACTATTATGACTAGAGTTATAAAGTTCTTCATTATTAACTACTTTATTAACTTGGTCTGTTGCTTTACTTACAATGACGTTGTTTTCTTCTATGTTTGTTCTAGATTTAGAATAACTATTATTTATAATTAGATTACCATCGGAAAATAAATAATTACTATCACCGTCTTCTCCATCTTCGGTTTCTTCACTTGGCTTCATAGAATATTTCTCTTCAGATTCTTTTCGTTCGAATAAAGTATGTTTATTAATATCTTCATTAGAACGAGTTTTAACATTTATATTAGAGAATATATCTTCATCACTGTCGTCATCAAAAATACTTTTAGGTTCCTTAATCTTTATTGGTGAATTGTTTTCCGCTTTACCTATTACATCCTCTGCTTTTTTAATATCTTTAGAAGTATCCGAAAACAAGTGATCGTCATTGTCACTATCAAATAAACCTGCTGTATTATGTTTACCTTTATAACTATTTTCTTTTTGAGACGTTACCGCAATATCGGCAAATAAATCATCGTCGTCATCGTCAAATATCGATTTCACGTTTTTATTAGGTTCTTTTATAGGAACTCTTACAATCGTGTCTGTGAAAATATCATCGATATCATCAAAGATATTGTCACTGAAAAGTTCGGTATTTTCTTTAGCTTTCGATTCTTGTCTTTCTGTTTTGATTTTAGTTGGTTTATTTTTATCCAAAATATCTTGCAGAATGTCTTTTTCTTGCTTTCTAACAGTCTTTGTTTCACGTACAGATTGAACTTTATTTGTTATACTACCATCAACTGTATATAGATTGACTTTTGATATACTTGCTGAGCTATTTACATTTGTGTTTACCTTCTCTGGTTCTTTCGTAGGTTTCTGTTTATTTATGATCATTCCCTTTTCACTCTCTTCATCTGAACTATAGGTTTTACGTTGATTCCGTTTGAGGATTGCAGCACCGATGCTTTCGGTTCCTTTACTAGAACCGAAAAGTGAGATACCGCCGATGGGTTTCTGAAATCAATTACGGTTTATATAAGGTTTTTATGTAATAAGATATTTAATTTTTTTATAGTGCTAATCTCTGCATTTAAGATTGAATATAAAATGTGTAGAAAAAGTACGAAGATTGTTGCCGCTGTGGGAATTGAACCCACGTCTTCGCGGCAGGCCGTGAATGCCTAAACGTGGGTTCGATTCCCATAGCGGCGACAAGCTTTTCTACATTTTTCTTCATGTACTAATATTTAAAAACATCTGTTTTTTTCTGCAACTGAACGAGCCAGCAGTTCATATGGGAGTAAGTAAAGACAGACAAAGACTTCACAAAACAACAGATCAGGCGTGTTGCCAACACTAAACTTACACATATCTGGAGCGGTTATATGAGTTTTTGTTTTCTCTACCACAGTGATCCATTAAAACTCGAATGATTCCACCTCGCTAGTATAGGGCAGAGGCATATAGTTCTATCCACTTTTCAGAAACGTTTGTCACTCGACACTTAACGCGTTGGCACAGCCACTGTTCATCATGTCACTAAACATAAATTATTATACATATATAATTTTATATTTTACGAATACCTTATCACTTTCCTTTGCAGGTTCAACATTATTTATCTGGGCAGTTGTGGAGTCTCTTTTCTCGGTACCGAATAAATCACTAGCGATATCAGGAGAATTATTAAAATCGCCGAAAAGATCCTCGTTCAACCGACTTTGGTCTTTGTTCGTAGTGGAGGACGGTTTCGTTTTGTGCAGCTCTGCGAAAATATCGTCGTCTTCTTCGTCGTTGTAATCATCCCTGTCCGATTGATATGATTGATCTATGGGTGGCGGCTCGTCGAAGAAAATTGTTGCTGCAAAGAAATGTCTTTTGAACGGTACTAAAAGGAATATTCATTATTCCAGTTATACGTTTCTTTCCAGATTGCGCTAGATAGAGCAGGATTATTAAAAAATAACGCGGTCGGAAGTATATCGTTCTCAATAAGATATAAATAAATAACGCTTGGTAAAAGAGAATCATTTACTATAGTTAAATTAACCACTTAGATCTTGTAAACTACAAGTTGTAATAATTCATGAGTCTTTTTAAATATTATTTACGACTAGAAACTTACAGATTGGAGGGTTTTGCGGTTTATAAATTAGTGACGGGCCAGTGGGCGGCTTAGCTGATTCTGGCTCTAGATCCGGTGTACTAACTGGGATCTGTAAAGATTTGTATGTTTGGATTTTGACAAAAACAAATTAATAATAATTACGAATTTTCACATTCCGCACCACTCTTGAGCCCGGATTGACCATCAGGAGATGCGATGAATAACTTAATTGAATTTTAAATAATTATATCGTGCCTTCCCACTGAGGATTCTACTTCTGAGAAGTCTACCGCTTCATGTTTATTCAAACTACCAATGATCACAGGGCTCGGTTTTAATACCCCCCCAGCCCCCCAACCACCTCCCCCTTACCTCGGGCAAGTTCCCACCCAATTTCCGCGCCAACTCGGCGGCTATGTTCGCTTGGGTGACAGGTGCCGCTGGGGCGCTCGGCTCTGAGTCCGCCATAGAGCTATTCGACGAGACCTGAACGGGTCGGAATGATAAAAATAAGTTTTTGGTGTATGAAAAAAGTACAAGGATTATGAGATCTTTTCAAGCCCGGTGATAGTTAAGAACTTTGTAATTGACTAAAATGTCTTCCACTCTTAGCTTAATAACGTCAGTAGCTTCGACTTACGTATGATTTATTATGATTTAGTTGTGTACGGCATGTACGGCACAAACTGTAAGATTAACGGCCTGTTCCAGGATAGAATAGGCAATTACAGATTAAAACACACAGATTGCTACCGGCTACTCCAAAAATGTTGACATATTTGTGTACAAACAATACAGTATTTCCTTCTTGTAATGAAATAGTACTTAAGTATTTTAATATTGCAATGTAATGTAATATTATCATAATTTTTGTATATCAATACCAAATGTCTATATTAAAAATACCAAACAAACGATTTTAAACATAATTAATTATCCCGCTCGCCGGATTGAACGTTAAATCGATAACGTCCATAAAATTGCATTAAACATTAAAACGATAAAATTAATAAGTACCCCGGTCTTCCGTTAGATCGTGGCACTGCCCTACCAAATACAACAAAAACAAATAAAAACGCATCGTATGTTCGATTTCTGTCTGCAACTCACTGTTCTTTGCTGCTGAACCAATCTGTCCGTCCGCGTGTCCGTCAACTCGGACTCCGACTCTGAGTACTGCTCCGGCACTTCGTCGTCTTGCTTCGATGTGGTATCATCGCTGTCGCTGTCCTCGGCGAGTATGCCTGCGAAGGAAAACAACCTTTAAAATAAAACTAATAAAGACTCCAATTGCAATAAGAGAAAACTGAAGTGAAATAATTCAATAAAATATTTTGTGTACTAGTATGTATTTCGTGTACTATCTAAAGTAATAGAAGATTTTTTTGGCTGCCGTAATTCGTGACTCGCGTAAGAAAAGTCTGTTTACTTTGTATTTATAGGTATTATACCACCCCGTGTTGCAGATTTCTACGTAAGATGGCAATGTATTTTTTAATTTTTTTATGTGAGAAGGTGGCAATCGAGTTGCTGGTTCACCTGATTTAAAGTGATGACCGCCGCCCGTGGGCATTTGCAACACTACGGCTGTGGAAAATACATTGCCACCGTTTTAAAATAGTAGGCCCCGATTACCTCACTCACCAGACAAAACGCAGAACTATAACATCACACACACTAACTAACTATAACAGCGCATGATTACAAACAAACTCACCAGCATGCCATTTATTTTTCCAAGCTTGCGACCCAATGATGTAAGGCAAAGGCCGCCCGGCGTATAAATCCTTAGGCCTGAATACCATTCTGTAAAAAAGCTAAACAATTAATCTATTCAGATAAATAAAATTGGAGTGTCTGTTTGTAATATTAAAATAACCGCTACATATACCAAAATAACATTTTTTACAATTTTTATCTGTCTGTCTGTCAGTCTGTTTGTTCCGGGTAATCTCACATACATACACTACATATACCAAAATAACATTTTTTACAATTTTTATCTGTCTGTCTGTCAGTCTGTTTGTTCCGGGTAATCTCTGAAACGGCTGGACCGATTTGGACAGGACTTTCACTGGCAGATAGCATTTGTAATAAGGAGTAACATAGGCTACTTTTATTTTTTTTATTTAAAATTCCACGCGGACGAAGTCGCGGTGACAGCTAGTATCTAATAAATTTCTAAAAATTTTGCACAAATACGAAAAACAAATGAAATATAAGTGATATATACTCTTAAGATAAAATTTTAATTACGTCTTGCAACTCTGGTAGGTAAACATAGGTAGCCAATAGTAATCACATCTATTTTGCTCGTGGAAAATTAATAAAATGGTAAGTTCTTGGTAAGTATTTTTCGAACCTGCATTGGGACCGTCACAAGACTTTGTCAATAGACGATTACCGCCTACTCGAAGTGACTTTGTTTTATCCTAGCTAACTCTTTTCAAACGTTTTTTAATGTGAAAATTTGCCAAGCGATCAGACGGTTCACCTGATGTTAAGTGAATATCGCCGCTCATGGACGTCTGCTACACCCGAGGGTACCAGATGCGTTGACAACCTTTTGAAAATCGGGTGCCAGCCACCTCTCTCACCAGACGAAACGAGAAAGTATACTTCCACTTTACGCCGGTCTTCCGTGAGGTCGTGGTACTTACCCGAACGAGGCTGCCCATTTGGGCAACAGCCGAGGCTGCTGCGTGGCCCTACCACCGTAAATACTTTTTCTTTATTCCTAAGCGTGGCTTCCTTAGGAATCTGGGACCAGCTGCAGTCATAAGTCAGTAAGTATACATACCCATTTCAAAGTTTTTTATAGTGCTAATCTCTGCACTTAAGACTGAACATTAAAACATGTAGAAAAAGTACGAAAAGATTGTCGCCGATGTGGGAATCGAACCCACGTCTTCGGCATTCGCGGCCTGACGCTCTAGCCACTAGCTTTAGCCACAGCCGTTTAGCTTAGTGGGTTCGATTCACACAGCGGCGACAATCTTTTCGTACTTTTTCTACATGGTTTAAAGTATACATACCTTCCATCCACCTCATCCGAATCAGAATCACTATCGCTGTCGATAATTCTGACGCTTTCATGCATGGATTCCAAGACCTTCAGGCTCTGCTTTAGCTTGGCAAGCTCTGTCATATCCTGGTTAGGAGTTACAGCACTCTCTGCCTGTGAGGTGCAAAATAGAATTAAATGGTACAAGTATGAAGCGTAAACCTACAAATCCACTGAGTTAACACACATTAATAAAGACAATTTATTAGTTCAAGTTGTATTAGGTATACATATGTTGGCTTGGATGCAAATCTCTGAAAGCATTGAAATGATTCTAAAAATGGTTGCTGAGATAAGAAGCTTCTTCGTGAGCAACATGAGCTATTATTTATTTGGTATTAAAATAGTCCACCAAACTAGGTATTCTAAAGAATTGATGGTAGCCTGAGTTAACTCTGATATCAAGATGTGAAACAACTCAGTCGGCCATGAATGCTGGAAAGGTTGTATTTAAAAATCCAATTTATGGCGATAAAATCCGTTTCATTTAGTTTCACCGAGTTTCATTTTTTTTTTTTTTTTTTTTTTTTAAAAATTTATAAATTCAAATTTTAAAACTAAATATACTCATTATTTCGCTTTACAGGTAATCTCATGGATGAATTCTATATCTTATACATATTTGTATACCGCAAATTGGGACATGGAAATTTAACATAACTTTCTAGTCATAGTCATGGCATATCATAGTGTATCCATGTATGGGTGAATAGAGCCAGCTAATTAAGGACCTACGACTTGATATGTGTGATAAACAAATAATTTTAGTTAAATATCACACTTCAAGCATGCTAGAAAATTATCGACTTTAGCACATATTTGAATTCAAAAAAATAGCTTACCTTAGTTACTTTGTCCTCAGTGGTGACTTCCAAGTCGTCGTCGTAAACTCTGCTCTCTATAAACTGACTATTACTGAGGGCCATGAATCTAGAAACAAACATTAAATATCATATTTACTTTTTTTTGCTTTCATTACATTCATAAATCTGTAACAATTTCACAAATTATACACTTCCTATAAAATATAAATATAATAAACATACTCTCAACCAATGAACATTTTACATGCACATATAAATAGATAGAGGCAAAGGTAACTATTCCAAATTGTGCCACAAAATACTAACAGAGATTACACAAAAATAAGTTCATGTATAGGTTATTTATATACTTATCTCAGCCCTTTAATACCATCACTGTTTTGAACCTCATCAAAGAAAACATGAGTGTATGAAGATATTGTTTTATTTATTTTAGTTCTACAATACTGAATAGTCTATATTTCAGCTTTAGGTACTCTTTGATTATGCACTACTAAGCGAAACAATATTTATGGATTTATCGTGTTTATTTTCAATATGCTGCTGGATCCGAAATGGTGCATTCTGCTGGATCCGAAATGGTGCAATCTACGTGCGGAGAACACAGAACAAAGCTCCTATTCTTATTCGCTCGGAAGAAGACCTGGATCAGTACCTTGGCCCGGTGTGCTCAGCATCTCCGAGCAACGCACACGCTACAGAGTTTGCAAAGGGTACCAGTGCTTGTGATGTGTAACTTTTGTTTAACAAAAACACATATCTTTCTATTTTTATTTTTTTAATACGTTTTTTAACATTCCTGTCTTAAATACTTTTGTTACATGGTGCCTAAATCAAAGTCTTCATACACTTATTCCACTGCAAACAAAAACACAATCAAACAATATTTTATTATTACTTATGCAGATATCGGTTAAACATTTTTCTCGTCAAATAATTACTCAAAAGGGCTCCTTAAAGTATATACACATTAAATATTTACTTATATTTTCTTACAATTTAAAGCTAATTATTCACTGCATATTTTGTATGGAAATTGCAATGGAAGAATAATTAAAATTAATACTTGTGCTCATAAATGACGCTCATTAACTTAGACACGTTAAATGAACTAGACCATACTTTAAACATAGAATGTGTTGAGCTTAACTTGATGGAAAACTGTCAAAATATTCTTACAGATAAATATAACTTTAAAATATTAACTTATAATATTCGCAGTATTCGGCACAATTTTAATTATTTTTAGTAGGTTTCGAAAGACTAAACACGAGTTACGACGCAATTATCCTGACGGAATGTTGGTTGAACGATGATACAATTGCAGATGAGATTCGTGGATATTCCTCGTACTATACATCTAGAACTTGCAATAAAAATGGCGGTGTGGTAGTCTGTAAAATCATCCTGGAATGCAACAGCTAGTGAACCAGACCTCGTAGAAGCTGACTGTTTATCAATTAAAATAGCGGATATTACATTAATCGGCATCTATCGTTCGCCATCTTTTCAAAACAGTCAAAAGTTTACATCCTCTGCAAGTTACTCAAATCCTATAAAAATGACGCTTGGGGATATTAATATCAACATTTTATCTACAGATAATACTCAATGTTCATACTATCTTTGCTCTATGGCAGAATTAGACTTTATCTCTGTTATTAACAAACCAACGAGACTATCATCCTGTCTCGACCATATGTTTGTTAAATCTAGGTTCAGAAATATGATGGGAATTGTGTGCAAACCAGATATCACAGATCATAACATAGTCATGCTGGGGATGATGAACCCGAACCCAAGAAAGGAATACCATACCCGCATTAAGTCAACTCTCAATTACTCAAAAATAACCGAACACCTAAAGGAAGTAGATTGGTCAAACATATACCACACAAAAGACGTTAATGACGCAACATCTACATTCAACACCATAATAACAGAAATCGTAAGTAATAGCACTTCTACAAAACGTGTTCCGAGAGCCCAGTATACCCTTAAGCCTTGGATTACCACGGGTTTACTGAAATGTATGAAACATAGAGACGCTCTACACCTTGACCTCCGAAAACATCCTGAGGATCCCGTAAGACAAAACAATTACAAAAAATATAAAAATGCATGTAATGATTTGCTTCGCAGACTCAAAATATCCTACGAAAGCCAAGTGCTCTCAGAAAACAAAAACAATCCAAAAAAATTATGGGAGTCAATTAAAAAGTTCATAGGTTCTTCCAGTGATAAATGTTCTGATAATACTGACCTGTTAAATTGCAAATCGAACCCATTAGAGTCTCTAAATTTTTGTAACGACTATTTTTCTAATCTCGGTAAAAAACTTGCACAAAAAATTCAAGAAAAGACTACGACGAAAACAGCAAAATAATCAAATACTCAAATATCCAGCATACTTCTCAATCACCAAAGTCATTTTTCCTACAACCTACGGACGAATATGAAATAACTAAATTGATTACGCAGTTCAAAAACGGAAGTGCTCCTGGCGGTGACGGTATTAACGGAACTTTACTGAAAATTATAGCACCACAGATATTGAAACCTTTAACACACCTACTAAATTTGAGTCTTTCTACTGGTATTTTTCCTACCGCTTGGAAACTTGCTAGTGTAGTGCCCATACACAAGAGTGGGCCTAGAACATGTCCTGAAAATTATAGGCCGATCTCACTCTTATCACTTTTCTCAAAAATTCTTGAAAAGATTGTTAATAACCAATTAATTAAACATCTTAATCTTAATAACTATCTTTCCAAGCATCAGTACGGCTTTAGGCGGGGCTATTTAACTGAAAACGCAGTCACAAAGGTAATAGAAACAATTTCCAAGTCACTCGATTCTAATAAAAACTGTATAGGAGTATTTCTGGACTTATCTAAGGCTTTTGACACCGTATCTGTGCCGATCTTATTACACAAACTTGAAGGTCTAGGTTTCAGAGGCTTACCCCTTAAATGGTTTCGTAGTTACTTAACAAATCGTCATCAATGTGTGAAAGTTGGAAATCATGTTAGCTCTAATCTGCCAATCAATTTCGGAGTTCCGCAGGGTAGTGTTCTGGGTCCAACACTCTTTCTTATATATACCAATAACATCGTGGAAGCGGTTGACAAGCAATCTGACGTTTGTTACGCTGACGACACGGTATTAATATGTCATGGAGAGTCTTGGTCAGATACAATCTTTAGGGCCGAACAAGAATTGGGTAAGGTTTCAGAATGGTTAAACAATAACTTCTTAACCCTAAATACAGAAAAAAACAAAAATTATATGTTTCCATAAAACTAAAGCCTCACAACCTCGAATACCTATTTCTATAAAAATCCACTCCAACTGCATCAACCTCCAATCATGCAAATGTATAGAAATAGGACAAACAAAAGCTATAAAGTATCTTGGCATAACATTAGACAAAAACCTTTCTTTTAAAGCTCATATATCCTCATTGACTTCTAGAGTTCGGAAACTTAATCACGTTGCACACCGCATTCGCGATATAGCTGATCTCAGTACTTTACGAATGGTATGCACGTCACTTTGCGAATCCATAATAACTTACTGCATAACAGCCTGGGGTGGTGCAGGTATATCCGCAATGCAAGAAATTGAACGCGCTCAAAGAACAGTACTAAAGGTGTTATTAAAAAAACAAAAAAAACACCCTACCAATGCTCTATACTCCGATTTTCATGTCATGAACGTACGACAACTATTCATATACAAAACAGTCCTAATGCAACACAAGAAGACGCTTAGTTCCTACGACTACAAAAAATTTTCTGAAAGGCGTATATTTAGACTTACTACGCCCAGAGTTAACTCAGCTTTCGCTAAACGTTTTTCATACTTCTTAGCTCCCTTTGTTTACAACAGAATTGCAGCAAAACTTGATCTAAAAATGCATATTTATGCATAATTTTTTTAGTTTTCATTATAATTTTTCTTGTCTTTATTAGTTTTTAAATCATACTTTTTTTTTCTTTTTCTTTTTTTTTTTGCTTTCACCAAGCACTGCCGTAAACCGAATATGTAAACATTCTAGAGTGGGTTCTCACGATACAGGACAGGCCTAGTGTGAGGACCACAAGTTACATCTTGCTTTGTCTAGTGCTGCAGTCCAAATGTTTCTCTTAATTTGATAACTGTAAATCTTATATTCAAATGTATATTGTTACTTTGGACTTTAATAAACTTATTATTATTATTATTATTAATATGCAGGGTCACAAGACAGACTGTCCCGTCTGATTCGTTGGGAACTAAAATTAAAAATAAACGCAATAAATCCGTAAAAATAATTTTGTTTAGTATAAACCTTGATATTAAATTATTCCCCTAAAGAAGTTTAAAGAGAATCAAAGTAGAATTATTATTACTTGTTGTTGACATTCTGCAAGTCGATGTTGGCACCATCAAGTGCAATCATCATCTCTTCTAACTTTGAGCTTGTTTCTTGACAGCGGGTCATTATTTTCTGAAAGCAAATATTAATAAAAATAAGTTAAAGATTATGTATAAGCCTTAAGGGTACTTTCATTCAAAACACTTGATCAGAAAGTAGAAATCTTATATGGTAAAATTAAGTGTAGTTTAATTTGTCAACAATAAATTTTTTATATATATGGTTTTAATATGTATAGTAATGTAAATAATGAAATATATGCTAAGAGAGTAAACTAAACCATATTCAAAAAATATAAACCTCTAATGTTTTATTGATAAAAGGACACTAAACTTTAAACCCACTACTAAGCAAAATAAATCTAGGTTAACTAAACTGCACTTCTATGATAATATAAAAAACAATTCTAATACAAAAAAAATTGTCCTGCTGAGTTTCTTTCGCAGGTTCTTCTCAGGTCAGTGACTGAACCAGTAGTAGCATTTTTGAAAATCAATAAGTAAGTGAAATGCTTCTATATTGAATAAAGATATTTAAATTTAAATACCTAATTAGAAAGATATTTCTTATAACAACTAAAAAGTGCATTATTTCATGGTTTTGTCTTTATAGTTATGCATGCTTCCTTAAAACCACTGTACAAAACACTCATAAAAGATAATTAAAAATTTTGTAGGTAATTAACTGCCATTATATATATATATATATAGCCTAATAAATTTTACACAAAAAATTACCTGGTGAATATCTTGTAAGAGACAGAGAAGCTTTTTGTCTCCAGCTAGACTCCAGTTTGGAGCTAAGCTACGGAGACACTCAGTTTTGATGACTTCCTCCATTATGTACCTTAAATACCAATACAATTATATTAAAAAGAATGAATAGTACTTACGACATGAGTCAAAATATAAGTTAAAATTAATTAAATTTAGGCACAAATAGAAAATCATGTTTTCTAAACTTCATATATTTATGTAAAGTTATTGCTATTTTTTAAATAATATACTACTTTTGTATAATTATAGTCCGTAACAATACAAAATTACACAAATTACTTTGTACCCTAATAGACAAAACTGCTCCGTAAATAATACTTATAAAAATAATTTTGATGTAGCACCTACCACACTACAAACTGTTAACTGAACTAGCGTAACGTAAAAGTATCCAGCAAATATTTTAGACATTTACATTTAAATTGATCTTAGCAATGCAGTTGTGAAACATACCGTCACAATTTTACATTACTGTTAGAAAGTTAATGCTGCGAAGCGATTTAATCGCAAATAATTAACTCTTTCGCTTTCTACAAACACTTGTTCTCCTATTTCAGTTCTTGCGATAGAAAAATATAATTGAGGACAACAAAAAGGCAGCGAATGAGTATCATAATTGTCAATCTGTCAATTAAGTTTGCATTATTAAACTTCATTTAAAGTTAGAACTGCTGTATTGTATTTAACCAATATCACATCTTTTTTATTATATTTATTTACCGTCACATTATTTTGATTGGCTAAAATGTACGATAACGCGATTTCGTATGTTGTTTGCGTTTCTAATCAAAATGAAAATGTACCTTAACAGATGACATTGACATAAACAATAAACATACCAGGTACCAGTGAGAAATTTGACATTAATTAAGCAATGTTGCAATTGTATGTATTATGTAATTCATAAAAAAAAATTCAGTTGTTAGCCTGGCAGCCCCTATGGGGAGTTGCCAGAACTTGGGACCAATTGGAGCGTTTATTTGAACGGGGAAATTAGTTCTAAGTGCTCAGGAGAGGGGAGGGAAATTTCCTCAAATAAACCTTGAACCGATGCATCCGCATGGCGCATCGCCACTTACCATCAGGTAGAATGCCAGCCAAGTGCTGACCAGTTATGAATTAAAAAAACCTGCGACACTCAGGGACTGTCGCGGTAAAGCTATTGCATAGCATTTTTTTATCAAATTATGCAATCAAAATTATTTATATATGCAGTATTTTTTTTCTTTGATATTAATTTAAGTTTTTTCTTTGATTCAAGTTACACTTTTGGAACGTGGGGAGCGATAAGAAAACAATTTTTTTTCTTTTATTGAATAAATGAGAAGTTATTATTGTTTAAAATATTTTTATTACCTTACAATTGTCAAGAGCCGTGATAGCTCAGTGTCCGGGCGCTCGCCTTTAATTCATTATACTCGAGCAACCTGAGTTCGATCCCCGGTGCCAGCACCAATGAAGTTTTTAACTTTAAGTGCTGACTTATCACGTGCTCAACGCATCAATTATATCAAAATACGAAAAAAAAATTTTCTGTACTTTGTTATATATGGTTGTTTTTGTAATTTTTTGAAGTTTTCGAAAAAAATATAACGGTTGATATTATTTGTTTATAACAAATTGTTAAGTTCATAAACAATGAAATTATTTATAAAAAAAATTATTCCTCTGTTAATCCATTGAAAAAGATCAATGATGATGTTTAAGAATAAAATAATTTCTTAGGTAATTATTTAAACAATTGAAATATAAGAAAACGATTATAAACAATAAAAAAATTTATTAAAGAAAAATTTTTTTTTCTAAAAGACATTATTTAACCTATGCAATAAGATGGTAAAAAAAATTATTTTAAAAATCCCAAAATAGTCTGTTTGTTTATAAACAATTTCTTAACAAATGACGTAAAAATTTTTTTTCCAATGTTAATTAATACCTATATTAGATGCAAAAACAGCAGTAATAAGATATTACTAAAAAAAATTGTTTTGATAACATTTTTTAGAAATTTTAGTTTTTGATAATTTAAAAAAATTTTAATGAACAAAACAATAAACTTTAATAAACTTTTTTTGCATTTATTTATTAAGTACCTAAATGAAAAGAGCTCCACGAAGCGGAAAATTTATAGACCAATTATTTAAACTTTTATGCCGTAATTTTTAAAAACAGAGATTGGAAAAAAATTAGTTAATTAACAATGGTGTAACTTTTTGAAAAATCGACATAAAATTTTTCTTTCCACCGAGATTTTTTTCCTTTAAGTGTCTAGATTACACCATAAATTATTCAAATTTTTAAATTGTTATTTAATACTTCAAAATAGCTAGTTAGATCAGCCGATTACAAGCCGTTATATCACCTAAAATAATTTTTTTAATACTATAAAAAAAATATTTTAGGTGATATACCGGCTTTTTAGACGGCGCGCCTATGCCGTAACGACCTCGCGGAGCCCTATTTTCAGCGTTAAAAAAAATTATAAATAATAGAGATAGAATTCCGGGAGTTGGAACTTTTTTATTGGAAATTTCCTCCTCTTTCAGGATCTTCAAAATTCATTAAATATCATTATTTTAGAAATTATTAACAAAAAACTAAATACCCTTTTTTAAATCTTATTTTGTTAATAACAATCGCAATTTTTTATGTGCTAATAAACCCTTAAAACACATTTTTCTAGGCGTCATTCTGAATCGAATGAGCTATCACACATAGTTTTAGGAGCTTTATATCTATTTAACACGTTTTTGAACTTGTTGACTAGACCAATGATACGGAACAAGATTTTGCCGATCCCTCAGTGACATCATTTAAGTCCACAACCAAAAACTCTTGTTAAGAACGGAGAAGTTGGCTTTGGAGTTGCAGTTTCGGATTGAAAATGTGATTGAAAACCACATTATACCACCGAATCTTGACCATTGAGGAAGTAGCGGACAAATCCCGCAATTTAAACAGAAGATTGATTCACAGCTTTAATATTCTACGCGGCTAAACTAACCGTAAAGAATGTACAAGCTGTACTTGACGTACTAGTAAACACTACCAACGAACTCCGTTGCTAAACTGCGTTCAGTGCCTTTAGCCATAGATTAATCGATAAAGTTGTGCGCATAGCGACTAAGGAAAGCAACTCCTATCCTGGATAGGGGAAGGACGGGACCCTTCGTACGGTTTTTATATTTTATTTATTTTCATTTCAACTATTCCATTAAATAGTGAAGTTAGTACATACAGTACTAGTATATTAGTCTGAGATTAATAAAAAAATACATGAGGGGTTTTGGGGTTCGATGGATGCAGGTGGCTCAGGATCGTACTTCGTGGCAGTCTGTGGGGGAGGTTGCACAATTATAAATTAAACTTAATCTGAAGTCAATCGTACGAGTCGGCCCCACGTGTGGGATAGTTTCATACATTGCGATTAAAATTGCAAATAGAATATTTTTTATTAATGTGGACAGAAAATAATAGTCACAAAATGAACAAAAAATAAATGACTTTTTTCCAGTCAACTAAAATTATACGTAAATTATCTTCAAGTTAACAAATTATTAAAATACTTTTCTTACATTATATTTTTATAGGTTTATAATTTAGCACCACTTTCCTGTAAAGAAGAATAATAAATACATATTATAATAAAATTTACATGAACAATCGGCATGGGGCACATTCGTAAGCATACCGCATATGAATATCATATGAATATGCGGTATGCTTACGTTTGCAGGTATACCACCGATAGCCTACGTTGTAGGTATACCGATAGCCAACAAGATTATCGCATCAGTTGCTAGGTAGTTGAGAGGTCTTCTTCTTCTTCTAAGGCAATTGACGGTCTTAGTTGAGAGGTCACTGTGAGTTAAATTAAGAATTTAAAGTTTCTACTAATGTATATTATGTCAAATTGTCAAATTTTTTGTATGACTTAAATTTCTGAAACCCGTAATGTTAAAAACTAGTGTTTATTAAAGAAAACAGTTATAGTAAAGTTTAGTTAAAAAAAACAGTTATAGTAAATTTTTGTTAAAAACACTAGTACCTAGTAGTAAAAGAACTAGTAGTTCTAGGTAGTTTACTCGTATTTAATGAACTTTTCATAAAACGCATTTGATTGCCATTTTATGTCAAAAAGGAATACCTACGTAGCCTATACCTATTGTAGTATCACTTTGTACTACAATAGCGCAATAATAGAAATATTCTGACGACACAAAATTCTCATTTGAATAAGCGCAGCAATCTAAAAGCCAAAAAACATAACAGCTTTATTGCCGCCCACAGTCAGTATACTAAAAAAAACATTCCACCTAATCACAGCCCGGGGTAACCGAAATTCGGAAGACATTTAAGGTCGCACGTGAGTGAACATTGGCTTTCTTTTTATAAAAAAGAAGCAGGTAAAAGCTTAACTGGACCATGACGAAAGGAAAAAAAATCACGTAGCGCAAGTTCAACACAGACGAGATTCGAAATGCTGTAAGAAGATTAATTAAAGAAGAATAAAAAGTTTGATCACCCACTTAAGCCTGCTGCTAAAAAATTAAACGCTTTGTTCAATAAGTAACTTAATTAACGATCATAATCACACCGCAGAATAACCAGTAAAATATAAAAATTGTTATAGCTAGTTATCTATTTTCTAAGTACCTATTTCTTCAATCAAATCTTCAACCTTCAAAAGAAGGTTCATTTGTGTAACGTTACAGATTAGTTACATTAGATATATTACGGAGCAAGTGCTTCTACAAAACTGGTCTCTGATGGCTCTGAGATACATAGAGGAAATTTTAATTGAGCGTGCTTGCCCTTTCTTAGTGAAAATGGGGACATATTCTATTTTTCGCCACGATAAAGCGCGGTCGTCGCGCTCGTGGAAGAAATGCAAAGTATTAAAACAACAAAAACTTTATTATTTCTTTATGAACCGTTTTTCGTATTTTATAATTAAAGTTAAACAGTGCAAAGTTTTTTATGTATTTTATTTTATAAGGATATATACAACTTACTACAACTATACTACACTTTCACGAGTAAGCTTTAGGGGTAATATTTAA